TACTGTCATCTGAAGAGCTCACTGCTACTGTCATCTGAATGAAGAGCTCACTGCTACTGTCATCTGAATGAAGAGCTCACTGCTACTGTCATCTGAATGAAGAGCTCACTGCTACTGTCATCTGTAGAGCCCATTGCAACTGTAATCTAAAGACCTCGAGTTTTGCTTAATTTTCTGAAAACAAAGGGTCAAAAAGAAATTGTAGATTTGTTTCAAAAACACTTCCTTCTTAAAACATTTAATATGCTTTGGGGAGCATTGCTGTTTCCCATACATATACAGTAGATGTAGGTGTAGGTGTAGGTGTATGATATTCCTACACACTTCAGCTCTCTAAATTATCACATTGGTTACTGTCAGAAGCAAGCAGACATACAGTACAGAAGCAATAAAAAGGATAAAAAAGTTTACATTGTAAAGAGTGTAAGATACAAACTACTGTATAACTACTGTATATGGCATGCGATTTCTGTCTTCTTATTTCAAAAGGATAGACATAATCCAGTGCAAAATCCACAACACCTATCATTTGAGGGCTTAAAGGAATGAGTAATGTAGACAGGTTGAAGGAAATAACTTTTTGACCTTCAAGATATTTTAGTCTAAGATGTTTAAGTGGCGATTTCCAAAACTCTAAAGTGAATAAATAAGGTTGACCCCCATAGTTGTGTACAATGTAGGTTCAGTAAAGAAAACAAGAAGGAAACTTGTTAAAACACTGATGCCAGAGCACAGCATTTATTTTAAAGAGAATTTTCAAGGAACATATTACCAACACATAGAGGTAACTTTCACAACCAACACTGTTATGTTGTTATAATTGTTTTCTGTTAATTTCTTTAGACTTCACGTGTACCTATGTATTATGTAGGATACTTTATACTAATCAAACCCTTTGTATAAATGGTATGAAGGATGTATTAAATACAGGAAATTTGATCCATTACAGCTAGATTAGGTCATGCTGTACCATTACTCAGACTAGTTACAGTAATAAAAACCTAATTAACTACTGATTCCTAATTACATGTTACTAATGAACATATGCAACACTGGGGAGGGGTTCTAAACCAACACATAGGAACAACACTACCAGAAAACCAAATCTGAGCTCAAAACATTTCTTCAAAACCAGTAAAACAATTTTGTAGGAAGACAGTGAAAAACTGATTAACATATAGATTAAAGTCAGTAGTTTGATTATGGGGATTGTTCCCTCTGTGATTCCATAGAGGTACAAGCTAATTTTCTAACTGGTTTATACAGGTCGCCAAATAAAGTTTTTTTCAGCAGTCACAGTTTGTAAAATCTGTTTTCTGATCTTTCTTCTGGGGTTGTAGAGATTATCGACTCCTGCAAAAGCAAACTATACCAGGATTTCACAACTGAACTGGAAATCACAAAGGTTGTACATATCTGTTTATACTATAGTTAACCATTTGCAGAAGCAAATGGTTCAAACAATTATTTGTTTGATTAACTTTAGTGTCACAGATGGATAGAGACTTTTTTTTAAATAACCTTTAATAATCCGTTCTTCTACGAAATCATAAGCCATGATTTAATACAACTGTATCAGTAATTTAAACATTGCATGTGGCATTTTCAATTAAGGTGAGTATTAACCTCCCTCCCCCTCACATTTCCTCCAGAGGCCTGTTGCAGACAATGCAATAATTCCATATATTCAAGTGTTTGAAGAAGTAAAGTTGTGTGCTTCGCTCTTTCTTTCTACTTTTCAGGGTGGAAGTGACATCTACTGTACAGTATGTATTCCTTAAAAGCTCGCCAAACTGGCCTATTTCCCAGCTCTAACACAGACAGAAAATCATACCTGTTACTCCGTCATAATTGCTGTGACTCTATAAAGGACTGTAAGAACTCATTCACTTATTCTGTGTTGCTTAAGGGAGGCTGTCACTTCCTCTTGTCAGACCAAGGGATGAATGGAACATGAGAGTGTTCTGAATTAGCACACCCCCTTGACTATAGTCCGGAGTGGTGCAGTGGCTCTGTGGCTAAGGATCTGCCCCTGTTGCTGGAGAGTTGCTGGTTCAAATCCTGTGGCTGGCAGAGGAATCCTACTCTGGTGGGCTCCTGAGCAAGGCCCCTAACCCCAGCTGCTCTAGGGGCACTGTATAAATGGCTGACCCTGTGCTCTGACCCCAAACTTCTCTCCCTGTCTGTGTGTCTCATGGAGAGCAAGCTGGGGTATGTGAAAAGACAAATTCCTAATACAAGAAACTATATAGGGCCAATAAAGTGATCTCTTATCTTAGTCTGCACTGGTAAGCCAAATGTAGACATTGTTGCCAAGGTGCTAAAAAGGAAAAAAAAAACATGGATAACTTTATTTCTGAACAAACTTAGCCATCCCTCTGGTCCCGTTAATGTTAGTATTTCAAAGTGCAAGTATAGTTTCCCCTCACACTGGTGAGTGAGTAATTTAATATTGGTTCAGAATTTAAGGACATTGCAGTCAAATTATTTGCACAGGCACTCCATGCCTTCCTGCTAGACACTGTACACTCTTCACTGATCACCATGATCGTCAATCCTGTAGCAAATGCTCAGGCCTCTGACGTTTCAGCTGAAAAGTGAAACGTGCAGAGACAATTAATCTCTCGATGTCTTGGTAATGTAGCAATTAACAGAGGCATTCCTGTCCCATGCAATGTCACAGGGCTCCCACCCTGAACATATCCCAGAGTATTGTGCTCCAGGCCATGGATAAAATACTGTAACGCATACGGCCATCAGGGTGTGTAAGAGCCGGCTTACCAGAGCGGTGACGTCGCCGCCCTTCCCTGTGATAGGAGGACCACAGCCCCTAGGCTGTGGAGAGATCTCTCTTTGGCTAACCAGGCTGGGTCCCTGCTGAGTGACATGGGAGTCCTGGGTTCGAGCCCCTGATAGTGGGGGGCTGACCTAATGTGGCAAGGGCGCCCGCCTGAATCCCTGTTGTGTTACAATACTAAACCACTGGCCGTGTCGATAGGCAATAATGCACATTTTGTATCGACTCAGATCCTGAATACAAAGACTTCTACCAAGCAAATGAGCAAAATGGGTGAAAGGGTCTCTTGTCAGTTCTAGCTTTGTTTACGTTCCTATTTGCTGCTTATACTGCTGAAGTACTGCTGGGATAGGAAGCACTGATTTTCCAATATATTGCTCATGACAACATTTGTTGCTGCTGAATGGACCACTGACTTAACAAAGACACAAGGACCGAATAAAACAAAATCTCTTCAAACACTCAATGAGGGCTTAGTAAATACTAGCCAGTAACACTAGGAAAACATCAGCAGTGCTTGGTCCCCTCAAATCCACTATCATCAAGACCTGCAAAGTCACAATCAAATCCTCTCTCGGGAAACAACGAGTTTAATGGTAGATCTGCAGGTTCATCAACCTCCTGTTGATGTTCAAGTTCAAGGCCTTCTGTGTTTGGTAGAATGACATCAACTCCAAGCAAACTAAACCAAGATAAGACAAGGCAAGCTTTGAAAGTAAGATCTATAAAAACAGACAGTGGAAAGACATGTTAACAAAGGTCAAGTATCTCTCCAATATCCACAATATGCTCAGCACTTTCAGTGTCATCAAAACCATCTAGTGTCCAAGAATACAAATACCAATCTCAATGAGACTTAAGAAGACACGAGATTTGATCAAGGAGAAAGAAGTTCTTAGCAGTCATTGGAACATTTAGAAGAACATCTTAATGAAGACACTCATGTACAGTAGTAGACACTGGTCTCAGCTTCACTTCACAACAATCAGTCATCTTTGAACGTGGAGAATGATAGAGAGAATTTTCACCTTTTCATCCATCAGAGAATAGATGTGCAAGAAGCCACCTGGGTTGTCTCCTTCCACATGCTGAAAAGCACTTTCCACTCCTCTTAAGGTGGCTTCAGACTTTCAAAAGGACCAAAAGGATCTTCACTGAGGTTTACAAGAGAATGGGACTGGCCCTTACGTCACTCAGAAGATAAAGACCCTCTCCAGCTCTGGCAAATTCAGATTCACAGGAAGACTCTAGAATTCATTAAGCCTTTCTTGCACCATGGAGAACATTTCTCACAACAAGGCCTGTCAGTTGTGATTCCTGTCGTGTTCCATGGAGCTGAGACATAGACAACTGTAATAGACCTCCCTTCAATGGTTGCATAGCAGGGGAAATCTGGACATAAAATGTCCCTATTTCGAGGACGTTAGAGAGTCGATGGACCACCCTGATGTTAATATACCTTCCATTCCTTGATGTTAGTCCATAAGAGGTCACACCTCCCACAGATAACAGTGGAAAACTCCTGATTCTCTCAAACTTGTTTCTCTGGTCTGCTCAAAACTGTCTTCTGTCTTCCCAGTTGGCTGGCATAACTACCTTTCAAAATGATTGCACCCAATTGCACCCTGAGATTTTGCGTTTCACTGTTAAGCAGGTTGTGACGGTCTGAATAGACAGGCCTTGTTTGTAGGTCTTTTTATGGGCCCACAGTGTTGACAGATGCAGCCAGTTTCGTGTCGTTGCCTTCTGGCAGTTTGGCTGCCGAGTTACCGCAACACAGAGAAGAAATCAAATCCGTTTCAAAAGCAGTTGTCTTGAAAGATCTTTCAAATACAGCCAGAAGGCCGTGCGTCTTTTTCAAGCTGATACAACACAAATCTGGGTGATGTAACAGAGGACATCCACTTCGTCGCAGCAGCTATCTCATCTAAATATCCAACTCCCAAAGCAAGGCCTTTATCTGTCTCAGATACGTTACATACTGAAGGCAGAGGAAGCACGTCAAGGCCAGGAGGAGGAAGTGAAACATTGACAGGAGGCTTTGGGAAACTACTGCCTGTCAGGGAGGAAGAATCTCCTGCAAACGTCTCAGCAGCTTCCCACCATATGATGGCAACACGAGACAGGAAGGCAGGGACAGAAGAGTACTGAGCTCACTCAGTAGGCCCCGGGCCTCAAAACACAGTGTTGCTGGATTTCTTGATTTGCGTTTTTCCCTGTTGTCATACCACTTTTACGAAAAGGTTTTTAACTGGGAGGCTTCATCAGCGTTGTGGGGTACAAAGGAAGCAGCAGAGGCTCATTCCACACTGGAAAGCAGAAAGAAAAAAGGCCCCAAGATGTGAGAGGAAGGCTCCACAGCTGAAACACTGTGTTGTTTCTTCCTTCTTTTTGCTTTTCAGTGTGGCATTAACATCTCCTTGTTCCCGTGAGCAACATCTGAAAACACGATCTTTTCCATGAAGCTGAGATTAACTGACAGGAGATCGCTGACCCTCACAGAACAAACACAACTGTTATTGCACTGTGGCTGACTCGGAGTTTGGACAGTCAACTTTTTGCAGTTGCTCTAAAATGTGCGCATCTCCAAAGGGTTTTTCAAGGGAATTCATAAAACCTTAATGTTCCCCTAGTTTAAAGTGTGTGGTAGCATTGAACTTTTGACAGTCCACATTTGTTGACAACATCATTTCTAACTACAGTCCCACACAATTAAGAAATCAAGTAAAATTTAACAGTAAAATTTAACTGAAATTTAATTTATCACCACTGAAACCATTAAAACCATTAAACTAAAACCATTCAAAACTATTCTGAATTCAGAAAATGTTTCCAAAGTATTTTTTGCTGCTCTGTAGCTTTGGTACAGTATGTTTTGTTTATTCCATCTATTTAATACAGTATTTGTACAATGTGGTCAACAATTTTTTTTATTACAAATACTCTTTTTTTAGAAATCCAATAGACTAGGATATCATAAAGGAAAGAAAAAAACCCTGAAGTAAAAATCGTGTTTTTTTGTGTGTGTGTGCTTTTAGGCACACATTTGATTTCAAAAGAAAAGAGCTTGCCCAGCTCAGTTCGTCTATCTTTAAACCGCTTACACAGACTGCAGGAATCCAACAAAAAGAAGAGAAATTGACATTGTAACTGTAGGTCTAGGTTTGTCTGCAAAGTACTGTACATCAGATGAACGAGCACGACATAAACGCTAATGACAGCAGAGTTTGACAACGAAACGGCATGTCATGGTGTAAGAACTAAAGCTGCTAACCTTGTCCTGCAGAGGAACAGGACAGTCCTCTTTGCGAGATACAGTACTGGTCACAGATAAGCAGAACGAGAAGAGTTAGCGATGGCGCAATCAGACCCACTGTGTTCCTTTCGTTGGTAGGAGAAAACAAAATCATAGGTCCTGACGTGGAGACCTGTGCGTTTTCACTGTTTTTAGGCCTCTCTCGTTTCCCCTGTCATGCTGATCTTTGAACTTTTTGCTGCCATCTGCCTTCAATCTGGAGGGCTCGATTCCTAGCTAAACTGCAATGGCTCGGCTTTTGCAGATCTGCCTTTTCTTCGCTGCGCAGGCATCGGTAGGAGCCGAGGGTATGTTGACTTTCGTTATACTGTGTCAAGATCGGTTATTTTTCTTTGTTAAAATTCATTTTGTTCAGCCGGTTTTTTTTTCCCTCGGATGTTTTTTTTTATTTAAAAAAAAAACGAACCTTAGTAGAAGAACCCAGCTCACAGTTTGTAACTATAGTCTGGGATGACATTTGGGGGGAAATATTTAAAGAAGTAGTTTGAGGTGAGCCATGCTAGAGGTATTTATCAATATTTGAAACCTAAATACAATAATAGACTGTGTGCCAAAGAAGTGTGCCTAACTGCCACGGCTAGTGTTTTCTTTTTTCGACTGAAAAGGGGAAATATCAAAGTATAGTAAATGGACATAGCCTGTGTTTTCAGTGTTTGTGGACAAAGCGAGGGCAAGCCAGGTCTTCAGCAGGAGCCGCCGGGCGAACACTCCCTTCGAAGAGTTTCGGCAGGGCAACATCGAGAGAGAATGTCACGAAGAGCGCTGCAGCTACGAGGAGGCGAGGGAAGTGTTTGAAAACACCGAAAGAACGGCAAGTACAGTTCTGTGCCATCTCCCCACCGCAACACGGGCGAAAAGGGCCGCTTGAACGGTTGTCACTTGATTAATGCCACCATAAACTGGTAGAAGATGGGCTTTCTTCCTACTGTACTGTACGTGTGACACGGTTTTTTTTTCTTTTTTCCTAGGATGAATTTTGGAACGTGTATTTTGGTAAGAACCCCAGATATGAACATGTGTGTGTGTCATAAGCTTTATTTTAAAAAAATAAAATATTGAAATACATCGGGTCACAGGCAAGGTGGATGAAATGAACACAGACCGTCAGTCACATGTGAATCTCCGGGGCTGTGGTATGTGGTAGTTTATGATCTCACACCTGAACTTGGTAAATAAGTGGGGCGGTTCATATTTCTCTCTTGATTCGTTATGTGAGTTAGCGGATGTTAAAATATTGCATTTTAATTGAGTGAAAGTAGTGAGAATCAGTGGCATTCTGTCGCTGTGTACATGCAGTACTGTATACAGACTGGTGTACCCACCCTTTAAAAATAGTAATCTCTTATTTGTTTATGTTGGGTTTTTTTTGTATGTATTGCATGTTATTTTAAATGTATATATCAAAGAAAGATAAGCAAATGCCAGACATTTCTGAGAATTAACAATATATTGTAGGAAAGCGTATTGGAGGAAATGTTTTTTCTTCTTTAAACACACAATGGTACTAAATCATTTAAAGTTGTTTCTAAAAATTAAGTAAAACCAGTATATCCATTGGATTTTATCATTCTCATCCTTGTTCTCCCCAAGGTTTGTAAGAGAAGGAAATGCGACTAAAACTGGGCCTCTTCATTTCCCTCTCTGCCTTGTGTTGGTAGATGATTGATGATCTAAACAGGGGCTCCATTCCTCAGATTCTCTGGACAGGCTGTCTCTTAATCAAACCGCTGCTGGGCTTGAGGGCAGTTTAGACAGGAATGTGCTCGTTCAAGGAGAGCCTGGAAGGGGTAACTCCTTCAGAATTCTGAATTCTGTGAGATTTTTATTATGCATTTGCTCCAAAAATAAATATACTAAAGACCTGTCCCAAACAAATATATACAGCATACAGTACGCAGAAGGTGATAAACTAAAAAATGCACTGAAACATTCTGTGGTGAAGAATTCCGTCTTAAGGCGGTCTCAACCTCTGAATGCAAAATAAAGCAAATAAAGGCTAAAGCTCAGTGAGTCCAGCTGCAGACTCATACGGATGGAGATATGCACCTAGACCTCACTGACCTGGATATCCTTAGTAGATACCAGGCTTTGCAGTGGATGTTGGCTAATCTCTCAGCTATGACAGCTAGCAACCTCCTCTGTACCTCCGCTTTGGAAGAAGGAAGACAACAACAGAGAAAGTAAACACGAAATGAAATACATGGCTTCCTGTATGGCCCTGCAAAGACCAGTCAGAATAAAATCAAATGGTGCCACAGGGCTGAGAGAGCACAATGGCAGAAGGTCAGAGAGGTGTACAACCAGGAGGAGAATGAGAATCTGAAGTGTAAATTAGCAGAGTGTGATCCTCTGTGTGGAACCAGTAATACTGTACACTCAGATTCAGTCCAGACAGCAGACCCTCAAGGCAATTTAGGTACATCAGTAGAATCAACTTGTGATATTCAGCAAGGAAGAGTGAAAGTATTTTTCTTCGTAAAAAACTTGCTGACTTGATGGGGGACAATGTGTTGTGCAATAATTAAGAGTCCTTGTCATTTTCCAAGGACCATATTGATGAGGGTTAAAAGACACTACCATTCCGTGGAATCAGCTTCTTGTTTCCAACCAGCAGTTGTTTTCACATTGCCTGTGTCAGTCTACACACACACACACACACATACACACACACACGTGTCATCATCTCAGAACTCACAAACCCCTTTCCCCCAGACGGCGATGCCTGTACATCTCAGCCCTGCCTCAATCGTGGGAAATGTAAGGATGGCATTGGAGCTTACAGCTGTCTCTGTGAAACTACCTTTCAAGGGAAGAACTGTGAAATCGGTAGGTGGGCAAGTACACCATATTATAAACTCTGAACCATTAATCATTCTGGAGTCTGACCCTGATCTGTGATCTTTTCTGACCCCCACCCAGAGATTCCAAAGCTTTGTGAAAACAACAACGGGGGCTGCCAACACTTCTGCAAAGTGGTAGATGACAAAGTCACGTGTTCCTGTGCCACGGGCTATTACCTTGATGAAGACAGGAAGAAGTGCTTGTCTGACAGTAGGTATTTTCAACACAGGACAGATAACTCGCACGCCATACTTGTTAAAAAACAGTACCTCTAGCTATATCGTATTTGGGATCACTTTACTCGCCAGTGGAATTTTAATACAAAACAATTGAGCAATTTATGAGGCACTGGTACAGCACTGTAAAACTGAGGAGCAGAAATTCCATTGCAGTGGGCTGCCAGTTGTGAGTTGCAGGGTGATATGGCTGCTGGCCCTAATTTTTGCTGTTATTAGAGGGATAAGAGCCAGCGAGCAGAGGTAGAACTTCTCATAATGTCGGACTTGATCACGCTAATCAATGAGCACTTCAGAGAGAGTAGATGGAGCACGAAAGTGGCAGCACAAATCCAGAACTGTCTGTCATCAGCAGTAATCGGTTTATTACCAAATCAAAGTTGTTGTCAACTGGCACAGTAGACCATACAAGTCTAATTCTGGGAATTTGGAAAATGATAAAAGGATAGTAAACACTGATGCACAGTAGGTCTAACTGCTACTGTTCCAATGTGGCTTCTGTCTCTGATATGTATTTTCCTGAAATTAATGTGATGAATGATTTGTTCTTTCAGCAGGGATTATTGACATGCAATTGTGAAGATGTATGGAGCTCATTATGAAACCTCAGAATATTGTTACATCAAGAGATCAGAGATCAGAGTCTCATTGTTTTTGTTTAATCTCAAGTGTTACCTGGGGCGCTGAAAAAGAAATAAATGACTAGTCATTTCGTAAACAGAACTGCAGGGGCTCTTTGCTAAATGCTGCTACACCAAACATGTGGCTTTCACTTGAAAGTCCTCCTAAATGTTCAGTCATGAAATTCAACTTTCCTGCTTTGTTTCCACTACAGAAGAGTTCCCTTGTGGCGTTCTGAAGACTTCACTGACCAGGACATCCTTAGTAGATACCGACTTTGGCAATGATACAGAGATTCTGAACAGCACGATCACACCTGATACTGAAGAACCCATGATATTAAGCAGTGCCAACTCAGATGCGAGGATAGTCAATGGAAACGAATGTCTTCCTGGACACTGTCCCTGGCAGGTGAGTAGGTCAGGCAAAAAAAAAACATCATTTTAATACTGGCAAGATTTGAATGCAAAGCTTCTGAATGAAGCTAACATTTTGCAAGGCTGTCTGTTAAAAATTCTGAACCCCGTACAAAAGGTACCTTCCAAGGCCATTGTAAACTACTTGTATTTCTTCAGAGCACACTCCAGCAGCCAAGCCACAGATAGATTGCTTTCTACTATCTTTTGAAGGTGCACTATAAAGAACACCAGGACTGAAAGAAATAACATATATACTTTCTATAATGATCAGGAAATCAGCAGTCCATTTTTCCTCATGCATTTGGAAGCTGCTTATACACATTTGTTATGCTGCCATGCTGTATAGGCATATTTGAAGACATGCAGCTCAGGTGTTTTCACATTCTGTCACTCTCCACCTTGTCTTGCTTTGACCTCTGTGTTAGTTTCTCCACACGCTGCTTTTGGCCGTGCTGGCCGTCCTGCTTCAGAAGAGAAGGAGCAGGGAAAGCGCAGTGGCTGAGAGCACTCACAACAGGATATCGAAGGGGCAGAGATAGGTGCTACAACATCCTTTTCAGTTGTTGCCTTGTAAATTTGCAGTCCCAGGTGTATAGTTGAACTTGTTTTTCAGCCAGGGGGTAAGTCAGACAACTGAATGAAATTAAGACAGAATTTGAATGAAATTAAGAAAAAAAATGAAAAATAAAAGACATCAGTTATGAAGAGTACATAAAGCTTACGGGACTGAACCAACAATACACTACCTGGATGCAAATTGTAAGTCATTGGTATGTCATTTGCTCTTTCATGTTATTTTTCTTTTTGTCTTTACTTTTTTAGGCTCTTTTAATAAACGAGGAAGGAGTAGGATTTTGTGGTGGGACCATTCTGACTGAACATATTATATTATCAGCCGCACATTGCATGAGAGAGTCTAAGTCATTTACAGTAAGGCTTGGTATGTGTCTTTTTTTTATTATATTTGAGGATTCAATAGCATAAAATGTTTGTGTCTCCTTATCTAATTTTTCCTTTTTCAGAGTGAAGGATATTTAATCAGTCAGTATATTGTTTAGACCAATAGTCAAGTTATATTGTTAATAATGAGTTACACAGTTCACTTGTGTTAAGCCCTTCATGCAGTGTAAATGGAATTTGTTTGCCTTCAGCTCAGCATGTTAAGCCAAATGTATTATGATGAAAACATAAAGCTTTTTTTAACATATTGAAAAATAGACCTAATATGCTTTAAAATAAATATTCACTGTTTCTTCAGAAAAGGTTCCATGGGAACTTTGATTTTTGAAAAGTATTAGCTAATAATAAAATATACAGCACTAGAACAACCGTTCATATTTATGCCGTAAATTACATATAAATTCAAACTTTTATATCCCTAAATTTCAGGGGACTATGACACAGAAAAGACTGATGACAGTGAGGAAACATATCCCGTGGAGAAAGTGATCATTCACAATAAGTACGTCACGGACACCTACGACAACGATATAGCCATCATCAAGCTGAAGGAGCCCATCAAATTCACCAAGTTCATCATTCCGGCCTGCCTTCCGGAGAAAGATTTCGCCGAGAAGGTCCTGATGAAGCAGAACGACGCCCAGATCAGTGGCTTCGGGCGCACTCACGAGAGAGGCAGGCAGTCCACCATCCTCCAGAAGCTCACTGTGCCCTACGTGGACAGGCTCATGTGCATCGAGTCCAGTCAGGCCCAGATCTCCGCTAACATGTTCTGCGCTGGCTATGACAAGGTAGCCAAGGATGCCTGCCAGGGGGACAGTGGCGGTCCCCATGTCACACAGTACAAAGACACGTGGTTCATCACTGGGATAGTGAGCTGGGGGGAGGGCTGTGCCAGGGAAGGCAAATATGGGGTCTACACGCAGGTGTCCAAGTTCCTTCCATGGATCAAAGCAGTTATTAAGTACTTCAGTAAAGCATGACCTTTCCTTTGCTTCTGATTTGTTCACAATTTTACACCGGGCAAACAGAATGACTAATACTACTAATTTCAGTATCTGATGAATTGAGTAATGTGTGAATTTTAAGCGTGGCTCTGTATCTCAGTCTTTTTCCATGGCAGTGGAATAACCCTGAAAAGAAATTAAATGAAGACGCTGTTTACAGAAAGCATTAAAGGTCTCGTTTGCTGATTTTGTACATCTGGGGCTTGAATACCAGATGATTGAAATGTTAGCGGTGCTTGGTATGTCAGTAACACATCTACAGTACAGTATTCAATACACTAGAAATATATCCTAAACAATGTGCTTTTATCCCTTTCAGATACTTTTTTTGCTGTATTAGTTATGGAACATGGCTGCCTTCCTCTAGCTCTCCAAGCAATAGAAACATCCTCTACACCTCACCAGTTTCCCAGTGCAGTTTCACTCCCTGTGCACGTGAATTCCTTCATGCCAATCTAGCATCCCTGAGAAACAGCAGATCTCGCTTGAACGATACACGGATGGGTGTATCGGTGATAGGCTTCTACTTGATCAATTTCTACATAGAGCTAAATGAAATCGAGCGTCTTTCTGAAATAAATCTGACCTGAGATCATTGCAAATGCAAAATCATCGTATATGTGACACATTCATCATCGGAATGCTGCTGGTTCCCAGTGAGGGGGGGGCCCCACCTGGAGCCTATCTCAGGGGAACAAGGTGCACTCCAGCACTGCTCTGTGAATGGAATGGCACTGCGTCACTCACACTGCACACAACTGTGAGACCCTGGGAGGGTCAGAGTCAACCGGAGAAGAGCCACACAAACACAGAGGGAACATGAACTTCAGCCAGATGCCTCCCCAGTCCAGAGCTGAACACAAGACCTACAGGCTGTGAGGCGGTCGTGCCACACCCCACCCCACCATACTGATCAAAGGACTTTTAGAAGTGATTTTTCTCATCAGAAGTGAAAACGCTGAAATGACAAATTCATTTTGATTTGTGTTGTGTCATGGCATTTGCCAAAACCACTTTATACCCTACGGTGTCGCGGGAGGCCGGAGCCTACCTGGCAAGCAACGAGCGCAAGGCAGGGTACACCCTAGACAGGACGCCAGTCCATCGCAGGGCCAGTGCAGGCCAGTCATACATGGGGACAGTTTGGAGGCCACGGTAAAGGCCGAGGAGGGAAATCTGGCCCGGACACTGGGATAACTCCCTACTCTTCTCAAGAAATGCCCGGGGATCTTTAATGACCACTGAGAGTCAGGACCTCGGTTTAAAGTCTCATCCGAAAGACAGTGCCACTTCAGTATAGTGTCCCCATCACTATACCGGGGCATTAGAACCCACACAGACCGCAGGGTGAGCGCCCCCTACTGGCCCCACTAACACCTCTCCCAGCAGCTTTCCCAGGGGGTCTCCCATCCAGGTGCTGACCAGACTGAGAGCTGCAGGGAGGTATGGCTGCCGGCTGATTTGTGTCATTTGAAATTAAATTAGATTCTAAGATTTCTTTAGAGCATGAAGGAGTACAAGATCAGCCCATCTTTAGGCCACTTGGTTCCTACTGTCTTTTTGATCCTTGTGCATCTAACAGTATTTTCAGCTCTAAATGTCCTTGTTTCTCACTATCCTATATGTAACAGTGTCCCCTGGTCCCTGTAAACCTTTTGAATCCCTCTAATTGATCATTTCGTCAGTTTCATTTTTTTAAATATTTTTTATCAAATCTTTTCGTCTCCTCATTTGCAGGCTGAAAATGCCAACAGAGTCATTTTCAGACCATTGTACCCCACAGTCCAAACGGCTCCTGGCCGTTATTATGGTAGTTATTACAGTTTCTTTCCACTTTTAGTCTGGTCATTTTAAGGGGGCATAGAAACAGTGGAGGAAATGTTGTACTGGTGGAAAAACCACCTCAGAGTGATCCTAGGAGTTATTTTAACCTCTTTTATTTCTGTTAAAGAATTTATATATATTGTAATGATGTTTTCTGACAAAAGGGAAGAGTCCCAGTTCCTTAAACTGAGCTCCACTGTGGTTCAAATGTAGAGAACATATTTTACCACTTTCCTCTCGTTTTTATTGCATTATTGAATTATCTCAAAAAAAAGATTTTGACAAGTCTACATAAACAAATCTTGTCCATTTATTTTCCTCTTCAAGTTCCAGTACCCAAATATCTGCTGTTCACAAACTATATCAGTGGGTTCATTCTTTATTATAATTGTGCTTTCTGGAATTTATTTTCTAAACCTGTTCTGAATGACTTTATACAAACAGAAATTATACATATAAGTAATCATACTGTGGTATGGCTCTAATCTATGTCGCTCCAGGGGGAATGATCATTGTACAAAAAAAATGGATACCAAAGGTTCCCAGTTACAGGGGTGATCACAAAGTCATACAACTTATATAATTCTGGCAAACTGTACACATTTGCAGCAAAAATGTTTGAATAGAAGTTAAGTAGTTTGTTAAAAAGTAACCAGGTAGCTCGATTCAAAGCTAGATTAGACCAAAATTCAGATCCCTGTTCATTAAAAACATTGAATTCAGGAGAAATACTGTAATAGCGACTGAACTCTGACCTTGAATTGGTCGATAGTACTGTATGTTCCAGTCAAACAGACCAGCAAAGCAGGTAGCTTTTAACAGAAAAACAATCCTCAGCCAGACAAATGATTGCTTACTGTTAAAGGTCAAACCTGGAAAACAGGCAGATCTTCCCATTTAACCCCAGAATACATACAGTCTGGAACAAATTTATCACTACCACTATAAACATATCACTATCACCACTTTATCAACAGGACATTTTTCTAAAAAGTGAAAAGTAGTTTTCCATGGACAAAAACACAATGTCAGTACTAAAATTAAACTGATGCATGTGATGTTCTGTGCTTGGAATGTCCTTTGAGAAATATAATTGCACCCTTTCCTTTCATTGAAGTGCGCATTGCTTAGTTTGGTGCACTTCACATGTGTATTCATTGTACTGTCTTTACAAAAATAAAACTATAATGGACAGAAATGAAACCTTGATAAAACATGTACACCTTACATGAGCAATGTGTAGACGTTTCATCATAAGAAACACAGTAGAAAAAATTACAGCATTACAAGAAGTTAATATTAGGGACAATTCTTTTTGACATCTTGATAATCATGTACTAATAAAAACACCCAAAGCCTACAGTACATATATTCAACCATTTGAAAACACTGACACCAACTGGACAAAAATGCAATTTACATGAGGATAAATTTTAACAATTCTATCCATGTGCATCTTAAACTATGTCACTGATCATGCTGAATAGCAGTAGCAGGGGTGCAATATGATTATGTGAAATGATTTTTTCACTATACATTTATTATTTCATAATTTCTTGTTTATTTAGTTGTGTTTACAGCTTACAATTAACTGAACATCTGAAATGTCTGACAGTAATAAACTTTATTTATATAGCACCCTTAAAGGTGGCTTCTCAAAGCTCTTTAAAGAATGACAGTAACAATAAACAAATTACACAGGATATGCATGATGAATTGAGACAGTAGATGGGGGTACTGAATACAGTAGGAGCAGAGGGGTGATGAACAGAACCTGTGAACCTGACTAGATTACAAACTATACCAGATTCTAGATTATTTTAGCTTCTCTGATTTAGTGTCATGTTTAAAAACAAAATAGTGCAATGTTTATAATGGTATTACTAAGGATATTCTTTCTTTTCTAGCAGCAGTTGAAAAGCAATGTTTTAAAACAGTGAGCAATGTAAAGTCCACCCCTGCTTTAAACCAAATATTGCCCCAATGCAGAAAGGTTATGCAATACTCCGAGTAAGAATTGGTGATCTTTGTCCTCAGAGTGAAGGTTTTGTTTTAAGCTCTTTGTACAGTAGCATCTGAATAGGTTGGTGTCATCATGGTGTCTTTGGACTGGTTTTTATGTTTGACACTTGTGGGGTTCTTTTCCATAACTGGTGCTGATTATGAAGGTAATACTTTTCTATTGCTATTTAAAAATGTTTTTGTAATGTCGACATACGTATACACTAACAGTGCAACGTCAAATCTGCGTGTTACAGTTGGCAAGACTTATTCTTGGATTTAACATTTTAAGAGTAGTGATCAGGAACAATAAAGCATTTATTGCGTTTTTATTTGATTCTTGTAAAGGGTTTTCACTTTGAAAAGAGATGTAAGCTTCACGAATCTCTAAGCTTCTTATCAGGAAATGTTGTGATTTTGTGTTCAGCACACTAATTTATACTGTTGAAGATTTTAGACAAAGGCCACCCAGTGTTGCTGACTTAAGAAAAGTAAGTTGCACAGTACAGCAGGATTCATTTCAGAGTAAGAGATCAGACTTAAACCAAAAATGTTTTTGTCAAAAGTTTTTGTATGTTTTTGGTTTCTTTCATTTCAGTTTTAGTTCTTTATTAGAATATTCCACTGGCCCGTTTCAAGATATCTTTCCCATTTTCATTTCAAGACAAAAGACCTCAATGAGAGAAAGACAAACACAACAGCACATCCCTGTAGTCATGAGAGACCTTTGCTGCTTTTGATTTGGGATTGAAAGCTATTGCATGCTACACCTGACTGAAGATGATTGTCTTCATTCTGGTCTGCATTTGGCACTGTCACACTTCTCTTATAGTCTGTATATACTACTGTATTACAGTACGGTGTGTGTACTGTATATCATCTAATACATTCAGCAAGAGAAACACGAGCATCTAACAGATGGACTTCAGGGAAATAAATTGTAGCAGCTACACTGACTTGTCATTGAACAGACTTGGCAAATTCATGACGCTGATCAATATTTCTCATGAACTGGGTTAATCAACAGAGAGTGGAAATCGCAGGCTAGTTCTAAAGGGACTTTGTGCTTGGGTTCACTTCCCAGCCTGCTGTCTGCATGGAGTTTGTATGTTCTCCCTGTGCTTGTGTGGGTTTCTGCTTGTGCTGGTAGGTGTCTGTGTGCACTCTTCGATGGTCTGGAGTCCTGTCCAGGGTGTATCCTGTGTTTGTGTCCGTGGCTTGCCGGGTCAGGCTCCAGCTCCTCGTGGCCCTGTATCGGATAACGCAGGGAGGAAATGGGATGGATGATGTTAGTAAAAAGGAGATAAAACCCAATTGTTTGCGAGATTTGGAAAATTTGAATTTCGGTGTCCGCAGCTAAATCGACAATGTAGTTCAAGTAGGCTGCAAAGCAACGCCTGAAGGTTTATTCTGTGCTGAAAAGAGAAGAAAGGGAACACACCACCCGAAGAAGGCTCCACAGCCGAAATGTTGTGTTTCCTTTTTTCTCTTTTCAGCACGGAATAAAGCTTTATGTAACCCTGAATCGACAATAATAAACTTTAATAATAATAAACTTTATTTTATATAGCGCCTTTAAAGGTGGCTTCTCAAAGCGCTTTACAGGATGACAACAATAGTAAATAAGAAGAATAAATGGCAGGGAAGCGCAATGTGAGAACTCTTCCTGGCTGAAGGCACCGAGTCGGGGGGCTGCTGTGTTTCTTGGTCGTGACACAAACAGTCCCAGCTTGATGCCGTTGTGCACTTGCCTCACGCTCATTGCTGCGGCGCTACGGAAAGAAACAGGTCACTGCAGAGCGTCGCTTTTCTTCCAGTCTTTCAGACCCAGGAGGAAGCCGCCCAGATCCTCCGAAGAACTAAGCGTGCGAACTTCATGCTCGTCGAGGAGATCCTAAAGGGCAACTTGGAAAGAGAGTGCCATGAAGAACTCTGCACCTATGAGGAAGCCAGAGAAGTTTTTGAAGACACAGACAAAACGGTTCGTATTTTTCTTTGAAATGCATGGACCAAAGCTGCTTTGCTGCTTTTTGTAACTCACTCGCTGGCCTGGTTAAGCCCTTTCCTCCAGGGGTAACAAACTGCACAGATGCAGGCACAGGGCCAGCGTGCAATTTGATTCAAACTACAGCATTAGTGTGTATGCGCTGTAGGTGATTTAAGACAGCCCTCTTGCTTTTGCAACAGCAAACGATTGTCATGATATAAACTAAATGTCACACATGGATTCAGCAGATTGAAAATATTATGATAGTTTATACTGCTATTACCAATTATACAGTAAATGCAAAAAGGGTATGGATGGGGTCTCAGTGTTGGCAGCAATGGCACAAGTAAAGTTTATTTCTAAGTTGAAAATTTGAAGAAATCTAACATTTGGGCTGATGAGCCTTCTTCGGGTGTCATCCGTATTTTTTGCGTAATTATTATCTGCAACGATCTTATTACTTTTGAAGTATTCCAATTTGTTCAGATACATTAGGTATCTAATTAGAAAAAAACTATAAACGTTCACCTTAACTACATATCTCTAATTTCTGCCCTTTACACAGACTAGAGTAAAACATGAACCATAAGTCCCATAAAACATTCCCAAAGCACAACCTGTTCCACAAAACTCCCAGCACTCCTTCTAAAAGTCTGTGATCACCCCTCTTTGCCTAACCAAACCACAGAACTGTGCTGCTGGCTATTTCTAGAAATTATTTTATTCAAAGTGTCTTCAAACAGAGCTGTAAGGTGTAATGTCCTGCAGAGTTGAACTAAAGTCTGTTTTTTTTGTGTTTGTTTTCTAGAACAAATTTTGGGCCGTTTACAAAGGTATGAATGGTGTTCTTACAGAACGAAATGTCGGTGATGTTTCATGCATATCTAACTTTCTGGATAATTACACACATTTCTTCAATATTTCTTATGTAGTTTAAGCATATTTACGGCATTTCCATATTTCTCTCCTAACCAGCTCTTTAGCTCATTGAAAGTGCGCTTCTCATAATGAAAAATAAAGATTCCCTAGAACGCCTGTCAGAGGCACAGTGGAGCGCTGGCTGGCATTGCTGCCTCATGGGAACAAGTAATAGGTTTATTCCATGCTGAAAAAAAAGAAGAAAGAAACACGAAGGAGACTCGGAGACCGCTTCAGAGAACACGTCAGGGCTGTGAAGATTAAAGATCTCTCCAAGCCCATTGTTTCTCATTTCACCTCTGACGGCCACGACCACTCTAATCTCTCCGTCTGTGTTCTCCAAGATGGTTTTCCGAACTCATACATCAGAAAGACCACCGAAACTAAAATTATTCTGCAGCTAGGATCACACATTCTCCCTTCCCTTAACGACAGATTACTGTTCTTTTAAATTTTCTCCATTCATTGGAAGTTTCATTTCACACCTCTTGATTGGCCTCTCTTTCTGTCCCCTGCTCCCGCCTCTCACTCCTCCTCCCTCCCAACCTTTGTTCTCCCGCTACTTTACCTTTGCCTACTGCCCTGTCTCTCTCACACCTGAAGAAGGCTCCACGGCCGAAATGTTTTGTTCTCTTTCTTCTTTTTTTCAGCATGGAATAAACCTATTACTTGTTCCTTTGCAGCCTACGCATGCTGACGCAGCTCCCCACCTGAACTATTGCTGCCTCATGCTGGGGTGCGGTCTGTGTGGAGTTCGAATGCTCTCCGCAGTTTCCTCCCGCAGTCCAAAGACATGCTGGCACGTTAATTGGCCCTGGTGTGAGTGCATGGACTGGCATCCATCAGTTATTTATCACATATTATACTGATCCACACAGGGCACACCATGCACCAACACTTAATGATAACATACTGTAAGATAGTACAATATATAGATTATATACTTATATAATACGTAGATATATACTTCATGATACTGCACTGATAATACACTCAAGGCATTTTAGCCGAACTGAAAAGCAAAAAAGGGCCTTTAGCTCTCATGACTAAGTAATACCTTATTACTTACAGCCGAGATTTGTACAATCCTTGTGCTGAAGGGCTGCTTTCCTCCAGATTTTCTATCCTGTCCAGGGTGGACCCTGCCTTGTGCCTGTTGCATGCTGGGATAGGCTCCAGCAAACGGACAGATGTATAGACCAGATCTAATCATCCGGATCTGTAGGTTGCATTGCATCTGAGCACCATGTGAGAAGTTATTTCCTTAAATACTCATACTTGTTTCCCTTTTTGGTCGTTCATAATCTCCAAAAATGTTTTGGCGTGCTGAAGACAGGGATGGTTTAACATTGCTGTGACTCAAAAGCGAAATCCCGGGTTCTTCGCCCTTTGACTTGAGTGTAGATGACCCTGTTTCCCTCTTCCCAGATGGTGACCAGTGCAGTCCCAACCCCTGCCAGCACGGAGGGACGTGCACTGACCAGGTTGGAGGATACGAGTGCAAATGCATGGAGCTTTACAGGGGGGCAAACTGTGAAACTGGTAAACACTGTTGAACTCACCAGCTGACGCGGTATTGATAGCAACAGTGTTCACTGACTGGGAATTAATCTGTCAACGTGAAAGCTGTCTATCATGGGGGAAAAAATGCAATACTGATCCATGTCAGTGATGAACACTGTCCTGGAGAGACGCTTTCCAGCAATCGTAGCTTTATAGGTTACACTAACACCCCAAGACTTAGCACAATGTAACTGTTACCAATTCAGCAAGTGATCTGTTAAATTAGTACTATAAAGGTCATAGGTGACGCTAATCAGAGGACCCTCCTCTAGGTACCAGAGGCCTGTTAATTGAGCCATGTTCTTGCTTAATTCATCAATGAGGTGCTGCCCACCTTTACAAATAGCTCACCTGTAATCCTGTCTGACACAGTAAGGGTCGAGACTCCTGTATGCCATGTATTTGCTATATAGCAAGTGCATGTGTTGCTTAGGTCAATTCAGATGCAGTGGATTTTTTTTTTTTTTACAACCGCAGCAAACACCATTTATATTTCTGTGTGAGGTGCAAATGGAAGATCTCAACCGAGGAAGAAGAAAGCCTTGGGTCTCATATTGTAAAAGGCAGTTTACACCCAAAGGCAGATTCTGCAAAACAGGATAGAGATGTTTACTAGCCGGAAGACGAGAGGGTGGGCTAGAACGTATTGGTTTGACTACACAGGTTTAAAAGTCCTGGCCCCCGGTTTACGAAAGGTGGAACATGTGCATTCCTGTCCTTGTGTCTGTGTGGACTGATTACAGATGTGTCACAGTGCACCATCGATGAGCCCCACAGCTGTGAGCAGTTTTGCCACCCTGAGTCCTATAACACATTTGTCTGTTCCTGCACCAGCGGATACCAGCTGCATTCAGATGGGAGGTCTTGTATCCCAAAAGGTAGTGTAAGCCATACAGAACCTACTGATCGTTTTCCATTTGTTTTGATTGTTTTGATGACTTTTTTCATTATTCAAGTCAGTTACATGAAGACGTTTTAGCAGAACTGTGAAAGGCAAAAAGTCCTCATGACTGAGTAATTCCTTATTACTTTCAGCGGAGATATTCAGTCCTGGCCCTGGATGGCTGCTCTCCTCTGCACCTTAGAGGCAATTCACAATCCTGAAAGAATAAAGACCTGGAAGCAGAGGCAGTACAGATCAGTAAATACACAACAGATCCAAGTCAAGTCATTACCAGTACAAAGCGGAATGACACCTGAAGACAGGGCTGCCCTCCAGGTCCAGGACTGAATATCTGTGAACTAGAGCAATAAAAACAGACCAGCCATCAGTAAATCAGGTACAGCAGTTCTGGGGAGCAAAACACTTGAAAGAGCGGCCATGTACTACTGACCAATGAGAGCTGGCCAATGGCATAGTCAGGCTGGGCCATTTGAAAAAGATAAAGATAGGTTAAAGATATGCAAGACAGTTTGGATTGAGTTTATTTTTATAAGGTTTTATCAAAGGGGTTACATTCTGCCTGCATGTTTCCAATTAGTGGACTGAAATGTGCCATCATCTTTCAGGTGTGTGACACCTCTGGGTTGGTTATGTCACAGAGCTACCTTCCAACATAATTACTTTTCACTGAGATAGAGTGTGATAGATGAGTTTTCACTGAGAACAACAGTAATGACATGGCTGTTTGTGTGACGTCCATCGACAGTGAAATTTCCTTGCGGGAAGGGGCATCTCCTAGCCATTCCTGAGGGCAGCGGAAAGGCCAGATCTTCAGAAGCTGAGGCTCTGCTCTGTCCTCAGGGACAATGCCCTTGGCAGGTGACACCAATACATTTCATTATTACTCATTCACCCTTTATTCTTTCTCCAGACATAGCATTCCGATAATGATGACAGAAATCAGGCCAAGTTCTGAAGCTGATTGTAGTTTTATATTTGAGGCCCGTTTTTAAATTTGCAGACACAGGTGTTCCCCAAGGACCAGGGTTGGGAACCAGTCTAATATATTATGGAACTGCTGTTGGGGAACTTTTTTCCCCGCTTCCCCTTAAAACACAGTCAGGAGTCCCTCTCAAAAGTTAAAAGAAGTTTGTATTTCATGCGCATGGGAGCGAAACACACAGAGATGCTCGGTATATTTTTCTCAAAGTAATTCAACTAGAACAGTCCTTAAGTATTTTTCTGTTATCACACTTCTCTGTGCGCAAAAGATTGACAGTGTTCCAAAACCACAATATCTTCCTACCTCCCTATTTGCTAAAGCTAGCTTCTTTTAATACTATTGGTTACTTAGGTTCGTAGCACGCTTTACTATATAACAGTATAGAATTACAGAGTAGCCCTTGTGTCTAACAGTCTTCTAATCCAGTTCAAACCAGTTCTAAATGTCCACTTTATAAAATATTGCATCTTCGGCAGGAAAAGTGTGTACAAAGTTCTCAGAGATCCCCCCCAATACTTCTATGCATTGGAGATTTCCTTCTCCAGTAGTATCAGTCAGTCTCTGGGTTGTCTCTTGGAGGCCAAACAAACATTATCACTATCTGGTATGTTGCTCATACTGTATATAAAATGGTGTCTCTTTTCTGGAAAGGCAATGCTCATCAATGAAGACAACCAAGTATTTTGTAGTGGAGCTGTTCTGGGGCAGTACTGGGTGGTGACCACAGCAAGCTGCATCCCAGCACTTCAGAGATTTTACGTTTCTGTCGGTAAGCCTCCAAAACTCTTAGGTCAGAACGAAATATAGCCCAGATTTTGTTTGGTATTTTTTCCTCTTCTCTTACAGCCGGCAATACACGTTCAGAAATAATCTTAGATGAACATGCAGTACTACCCACCACTACTAAGAGCTGGTGCAGCTACAGTAATTGTAGCGTGATGTTGAAGCTATTTTACTAGTTTAAGGTTTCCTACCAACCCCACGACTGTCCATTCTCTTGCCAGGAGGGCCGACCAAGGGTGGCGAGGGTCAGGGACGGATGTTGAACGTGTCTCAATTTGTGGCGCACGCGAGGTACTCGGCCGAGCACCCGGCCAACGATTTAGCTCTCCTCCGCCTGGAAACGCCCCTCGAGTTCAGCCGACGCGTCTTCCCCATTTGCCTCCCCGAGAAGGATTTTGCGGAGAACGTGCTGATGCTGGGCACGGGAGGCGTGATTGGGGGGCCGAAGGCGGGGGACGCGGGGGGCAGGAACGCCAGCCTCTTGAACAGGCTCTCCTACCTTCCTCTGGAATCCTGCCGGGAGAGGCATAACTTCACCGTCACCAACAAGATGTTCTGCATGGAAGGGCCAGGGGAGGGCGGCTGTGACGTGAAACCCGGCTCCCCTGTGATAACCTCTCACAAGGGCACCTCGTTCCTCACCGGCATCCTCACCTCCCCGCCCAGCGGCTACGACTGCAGGCAGGGGTACGTCTTCAACAAGGTCTCCAGACACCTGTCATGGATTAACCAGCATACAAGGACCTCCACCTAGCCAGCCCCGCGGCGCCGGGAAAGAACTGCTTTCACGCTCTCGCCTGACAGCCCTGTGCCGCGCAGCGCAGGGAAGCCACGTGCTGAAGAAAGAGCCCGGGAAAACCGTGAGCGCTGACTAAATCGCTAGTGGATGGCTTAGAAAGGGATGGGATCGAATCGTTTTTCCCATCGGCATGTGTACATCCGCGCAAACTTCCAAGTGAACAAATCGACAAAAGGAAACCGACATTGATTTATGACCAGCCTGTTGCGCGGGATTTTACAGCAATGTCTAACTTATGGAAAGAGAATAAGATTCAAACTCAATATATATATTTTTTTGGGGGTCAAACAATATTTGTTTTCTCCTTCTGTCAGGAGCCGGTAATCATGCTATTCTTGGTATAAACTATGCTCACATTTTACAGCCCCATACATTTAGCTACGGAATACAACCGCATATTAAACGGTGCATCATTGACACAGTACCTCTTACTTGGCATGCTGAACTGTAGGGTCATTTTTGAGATTACGACTGTTGCATTTCTGAGCACATATTCAGACGCAGAAATGATCTTTTTTGATGAGGCAGATGACAACGATGACAGTACTCTTAAAGAGGAATTGCAACTCTGTTTTTGTATTTTGGTGTTAGGAAGAGCATTGATGAGTACATTTCAAACCACTCTGACATGAAAATAAAGTAACGTAGAACCTCCAATTCACATCACAGAATAGACTAAATTTCCAGGTATGCATAGTGCCATATTCTTAGACTTCGAGACATTTTTGCCGACAAATACAAGTTACTTGTTAAGTCTGCATGCAGATCATGCTGGAACGTTTCTGCAGTGAACTGTCTGCTGCACAACCTGTACGTATTCACACGTACATCACATTAGTCATTACAGTGACTAGTAAGCTGGAAGGGCCACTTCACAATTTGTGGGAACTCACACTCTTGCCCGTTGCAAGACCAGTGGTTTGCAACAATATGGTGATTTACAGTACTATCACAAAGTTCATGATTTTGTGCTGAATTTGACATTTGTAAATTTTTTCGAACATCAAATTAATTTTTGTACTGAGATTTAATAACCGGTCTGAGAAACTGGGTCTGTAGTTCCTCTTTAACAGGTGCCCGAATAGAGTAATACAAACCCAAGCCAAATGCTCAGTGCCCAGTGCTCCACACAGCAGAGAACGCTCCTAGAACTGTAGCTCTTTCTTGTATCTCTTTCAGACTGCTGTCTTATCAGTACATTCGATGAACACCAAAAGAAAACAAATACATCAATTATTTTCATTTTTATTTTTTTCCTCAATTACAGTACAAACGAAAATAAAAAAAATAGCATTTACACAGAATATACCCAATATCAGCTCCTGAACCAAACCAGTCCCCTCCTTGGCCACAGTTTTGGTGATTAAGACACAGTAGAGAGAGGAGGGAATGGGTTCTGTTTACTGACTACCAATTTCTGATGTTGGTGAGAGATGTAACCCTTGATGTGACCCTGCCAGAGACAAACCAGAAACAAATATCAAATTAATGGATGGGGGAAAAACATTTTGTGTTCCTCTACCCATTCAAAGCATAAAATCTTTCAAAACATCCCAAAAGACTAGTCAAAATCCCTTCACAGCAGAATCACAACTTGAGAACTAAGCTTTGGGGTCAAACTGATGTACTGTACAACTGACAGAGGTACAGTTCTTACCATGTAAATCAAATTTGCAAGAATGCACTGGACTTCATCAATGTCCACATCTTCTACTTGCATAAACTTTAGAGCCACTAAGAACACATCCAGGGGCAGCTGGTGAGCTTTAAGTAACAGATACCTGAAAAAAACAAAAAGTTATACAGGTTTAGTGTTTTTACTGCAACCCTTTTGACACCCTATAGTCAGTTAATAAAACCTCAAAGACAAAACCCTAGTTTTATCTCTTTCCATTCAAACAAAGGTTTCAATATTAAAAGAGAATATTCACTGAATTTTCCCAAACTCACAACTTTGTGCCATAAAACATTTCTTCATCAGTGTCTTATGATGTGGATCCTGTAGTTTTCACTGTGACACATAGTTCACTTGGGTTTTTTTGAGTACCCTTTAATTGATCCAGAGATCACTGTTATGATATTTGAACCAAACCACAACTGCCTAAAACTCTGTGTTTCCACAGAACATGAAACATGTATTAAATGCCTGACTTAAAGAGGTGTCCATCAGAGAACACTTAAGAACACGAATTCCTACAGGTATTACTAAGGTGTGTGACCACTAAAAGCACTGCTTTGCTTTGGGTAAGAATGTCATGTGTTGTTTCTAGAAAAAGGCTCATTTCTACAGGCAAACAATGACACTAGTTCTGAGACAAAAGAACCCACCCAATAGTCATTGAATTGGATTGCCAGCATGGCCACAATGAAAACGATGGCCAGTGGAGTTTACTCCATTTACTGCCTTCCCTTCCAACATCTCTAAGAGCAGGCAATTGTGTGACACATATGGGTAACATGAAATGTAGCACGTTACAGCCCAATTTTTTCCCCCGCCATCACTCAGCTCCAGTATGACATTTTTAGGGGCTTTCCGCACACTTTCTTGAAGAGGTTCCTGTAGGTGATAATTTTCAGCTTCTCGAGGATGAGGAAGATGCCGCAGCGGATGAAGAACGTCTCGTGTTTCACCAGTGCTTCGTTCAGGAGCAGCAGGTTGCCCTCACTGCCGACAGGAGAAGAAGAGGAGGAGGAGGTTAACGTGGCGCACAGATACAAAGAACTCCAATGCCATCGTACAGAGCAGATTCCTGCTGCGAGGGACAAAGAGATCTATAATAATGGACTCCACAGACATTGATACAGATCACCTTCTCAAAAAGAGAAATGCAGCCTGCCATTTGAGTGTAAACGAAGTCTTAGATTTCAGATGGTCTATGGCAGGACTCGGGACATGCACAATAGGGGACCAGACTTGGGTTAATTCATGTACAGCATCTTATCCAGTTCTCCTGAGCAGAGACATAGGTCAGGGAGGAGCTAACCAGCTCTGTTACCTCACAGCCTTGGTAACGTCCGCAAACTGAAGAAGATCGTACTTCCGGAGCAGCTGATGTGTTGGCATGTGACCCTGCAGGGCACAGACAAGCTCAAATCAGGCCCTGGGAGAAATCAGGCCCGTCATCGCTTCCTGATCTCCGTCCACAGTCCTCTCATGTGCTCTGGTGCGAGTCCAGATTCCCTGGTGCGATTTCTGCCCAGACGACTGTGCGCTGTTGACTCACCGCCAGTCAGCTTGCGACCCATTCTACCTGACTAGCGAGTTGGCACGGGACTCGGCTGTCCAATCTTCAACACGCCAACGCCTGTATTTATGGCTAAAAATGTCACATGACGGAACTAGAAATGTATTTAAGAGACAGCTGCTGATAAGTGTTCGACTGAAGCCAAACTTAACGTGACTTTTTTGCAGCGGGCTCCGTTTTTTTGATAACTCATTTTAAAACTGGGAAGGCTTTGAATACTGTCCTTCAAAAATCGTTCGGAGACAGAAATATTATCAGCAGATGGGCACAAAGGGACCTGAATAAGTGCAATGGTACAATGCAGGTGAAACCTAAAAAAACTGTGAAATGCCCATCTCAAACAGACCCTGGCCAGCAAAGTGATGGCAGTGTTGTTTCCTTAAGACACAGCCAGACTCACCAAGAGCATTTTGACTGGGAGCAGATAGATGAGAATCATGCGCTTGTTCTTCTGACAGGACCGGTGGCAGTGATGAAAGGCAAACGACAGGTACTCTTCCGCTAGGGGCAGTCAAAGACAAACGACCATCAGAAACCAAGCCTTCACAAAGCACCGGTGCACAAGCCTTAAAACCTGCAGGTCTCCTTGCTGTTTTTGGATGAGGAGCATCTTGGATTTAAAGCAACTCTTGAAATAGCCAAGAAATCCACAGGATTGTTCAAACTCAGGGCAGGGAGGTATGGAGAGGAGCTTAGTATGCAGGCATGTGTAGCCGCAGTGAAGCGCAATTATGAAAAAACATGGCCAGAAATTAAAAGATTTGTTAGCCAAAAACTGGTTAAGTGAAAGAAACATTCCCAGTAATGAAATAATTAGAAATGCGTGACCTGAGATGACAAATACATAAATTAATGATAATATATGAAGTCCATATAAAACACACAAACACAAATAAAATTCACATTTACGTAAAACACAAAATAAACAGACGTAATTAAAACAAACATACAGAATAAAGGGAAAAGGCCACAAAAAAGGAAGTGCAGCTCTTATAAACACTGAACGGTGATGATCGAATGTCTGGTTGGTGCTGATGGCTGATGCCGAGGTAGATAACCGAAGACAGTATGTGGGACAAGATACTTTGGGATAAAATGCACAGACAAAGGCTACAGTTAGACAACAATAGAGTACACAGACAGGGACTGCGAGGGATGGTGGCCAAGACTGGCAATATACTGTGCACATACAGTAGCTATGCATGGACTGTGCTGTCCCTGCAGTGACTGCGTAAAACAAGGATCTAATGTACATTAAACAAAGGTAACCGAGACCCACAAATGGAAAGAAATACTAGTCTGAAAAGGCAGCCGAGCAGCAGCCTCGTCTATTACTGTATAAAAAGCTGCAGAGAGGAGCCCCAGCGGTTGCGCTTGAAAAAGAGCCGCTTGACATCAGTTTAAATTCGCAAGTCTAGCCGGATCCACACCTTGTTTGAAATCGCTGTCAAACATGGCTTTCCTCCCGACGTAGTACTTGTAGGTGACTCTCTGGGCGATGCTGTACTCGTCTTTCAGGTTGGAGCTGTCGATGGCCCTGATCAGCGGCTTGCACAGGTGCAGCTTGTTGATCTGGAACACGGGCGACCGGAGAGAGATCAGGGCACCTCCCGCAGGGCACGCGCGCAGCTGCGGAGACGACAACGCCCACCGAAAGACATCGGCCTTACCTTGAAGTAGATCTTGAAAAGCTGGTTGATGAGAAACAGCATCCCCCACTTTTTGGAGTCGTCAATGCCAGCGCGGCTGAAAAACAACCCAGCGGTTGAAACCTCTTACTCTTCCCGGTCCTTCAAACAGAAAGTTGCACTCGGCTGTATCCTACGGCTCGCCGTTTCAAATCGACAACTAACCAGCGACAACGGTGCACCAAGTTCTGAAATCCTGGAGCAAACAGAGGCTACAGAAGCCAGGTCTTCATCAGATCACTGAAGCCTCACTGGATCGAAGAAGTTGCTTCGTTGGAATATTTGCATTTTGTTTCTAGTCACACGTTTGGGATTTTATTTCACTTACAAAATACAGGGTTAGTCAAAACGCTGCCGACAAGTATAAATGCCAATTATTTTACTAAAGTTTTTCCTCCTCCACGGGTGGCGAAGAATTGCAAGGTAACTGTTAGAAACTTTGTTATTCATGCTTTCGTTTGAAACCTTTTTTGTCACAGTAACCCAAGTCATTAACTTGTAATAAACCGTCAAGGTTGATGACAGCATTTTGGCTGACCCTGCACACCGGTTAAAGCTCCAACATGTGTAAGAGCTGGGAACAGACTGTTCACATTGGTCTTACTATGATGAAGTCAATGCAGGGTTTGACTGTGTAACTGCGGGCTCCACTGGAATAAAATCCAGCAGGTGTGAAAGTCACCAGGACCAGGACTTGGAACCGCTGCCCCTGGGTATCGGAAAAGGCTCAATTCTAGAGAGAATTCTAGAAAGAAAAGCTCCGAGACTGCACACCACTGCTATATGAAGTCTACTGTTCCCCCCCACACACAGCAGAAAAAAGAGCTACCAGAAGACAAAAACACACAAATCAATAAGACACGTTCCTAGTTCTGGGGAGCTGCGTCAGCATGCGTGGGCTGCAAAGGAACGAGTAAAGGTCTATTCCGTGCCGAAAAAGGAAAGAGACAAAGCGCTTCGGCCGCGGAGCCTTCTTCAGGCGGGAGTCTGCTCTCCTTTTCAGCACGAAACGAGGAAACGACGCGCAGCGAGCAGGGCTTACTTGTCGCTGGCACAGATGCGGAAGCAGCTCATGAGCTGCTCGGCGGCCTTTTCCAGCATGTCCCCCACCTTGCCCTTGCCCTTCTTAGCCAGCTGCTGCTCCGCCTGGGGAAGGCACACACATTTTCTGCTCCCTGCGGGCGGACTGCGGCGCGAGATTTCCAGCCGAGAAGTCGCCCCCCCCTCCCCCGAGCACTCGATGCTGCTCTTGGCCCAGTGAACACCGCGGATAACACTTTCCTCACCTCTACTGCACTGCCCCACGGAAGAAGACTGCAAAGAGTGCTTTCACTGAACACCAGCTACGGTCACATCACGAAAGAACACATTTACAGTACAACCACTTACATTGTTGGCGAAGATGCGGAGGTCTAATCCCACTGCATACATTATTGGCAGGGCCCTGGAAAAAACAGGCTAAATAAGAGACCAAAGACTAAGGCCACAGAACTCAACGTAAGAGGGGGATTATGGCATCAGTTGAGTTCAGGTTAGGGTTACTACTACAATTACTGCTTGGTCTGGATCTCCAGAAAACAGAAATAATGGAGAGAAACTAGAAAAAGATGTAAGGAGCACATGAAGCCCAGCTCTGAGGCAGGAGAATGGAAACTGCCCATTCTGTCTCAGTGGACTCACAAGAGAAACCTTCCCATAAGAAAGCAATTATTTGTCCGTGGATTTACTTTACTGCATATCCTTACTTGCACACAAACGTGAGCACTGCACCAAACTTTGAAAACTGCATCATTCAAATAAACTCAAGAAGAACCGAATGATACTCATACCTGCTGATGATGTGAGCCCAAAGTTACAATCTTGAGTATGTTGAGTTTGAAAAATCTTTGGATCAGTTGTCTGATTTTACATTTTGGCAAGCAACTGATGATTCAAAAATGTTACAACAATAAGAATGTATTATTCAAATAATGCCGGCATCAAGACGTTTGTAAAATGTGTTAAATGTATAGATGAGATTTGCTAGGTCTTACCAGTTTTCTTCCTTGTGAGCCTGGAATGCTTTTAAAAATGATGTAAAACATTAAGGAAAAAGAAGCAGCTGTTAATATCCAGGATCAAAGTGCATATCACAAATATCACTGCACTATAAAAGTACAGATTTGACACTGTGTCTAAATCTTTTCGCTCAAATTCAATGCATTTCTGAAGAATATTTTTCTACTGTATCACACAGAACAGCCACATTCACAAAATGCAAGACATTTATCTCGAGCTGCCAAGTGAATTATACGGTAGCTCTTTGTTACTGCTATTTGGCCGTGACAATACCATAAAGACGTTTTGACAACATCCCGTGGCTTAAAAAGAATTGTATTGATGCAGCTTTTCGGTATGAGGTTGCATCATTATTTTGATGATGCCACAATGCTTTTGAGGGGCTTTCTCTGATGCAAATGATAAACTAATTCAATCAATCCTTCAGCAAAGGATTAATGTACTTATTCTCAGTAAAGTTCTGTTCACTGATGTAAATAGCATTCAAATGGTTTAAGATTATTTCAAAATGTTTGCAGGTATTTGAAAGGTACTGCAAACCATACTGTATTAAAGGATATTGGACCACTACTGTCTGGCACTTGTATGCTTCCACAAAGTCGTGATTTGCTACAGCATATGTACACCTGGAATGAGAAAGAAAAGGACACAAAGTCTGGATTAACAGAAGGCCGTACAGCATCCTCAAGCAAATATTTAATTCTGTGCTACATTCCCACTGAAAGCAACTCCAAATCTGTTGTACTGACGTTGTTGGGCGTTATTTTGTGAATTTCAAAACTATTTGTTTCTGCATGACCAGCATAATTCAGAATAATGAACAGACTGCCTAAGCTTCTTTGACAACCCACCTCTTGGTCAGCTTTAATTTGACTATGTCACTGTGCAATTAGGCAGACCCTAGGATACTGTGGCACTTAGATACACCACAGTACCAGGGCCTTAAATCCTCCCGCCTTACCTCAGATGTGCTGCAACCATTTCATCATGGGGGGGTTCAAGGACCTGCTGGCACTTCTCCTCGGGGCTGGGGAGCTAAGAATCAAGAATTAGCACAGTGACACGTACAGTACCATCAGCCCACACAAGCCCCTGTATTTTGGCCTGTATAATTCAGAAGTTTCCCAAGTGCGTGAAGGGAGTTTTGATCTCTTTAGTAAGTTAAATATATGGCCAGCTGTGGCCCATGAGAATGCAGGGCAATCGAATTTCCATTTCAGCTGATCAGTGAAGTACTTAACAAAACCCAGCTTCAGCAGTCAATGCAAATGTGTTCCAGGCATTCAGAGATTGTCAGGATACCCCACAAAGCCCGCTGGACTGAGGCTCAACAGAACCAGGGTTGGCCTGTCCATGACACATGACGCACATACGGTATATGAACATAAAAGACCTGCAGTGTGTGCCACTACGAGAGGCCAAGATCATGCACATCATTGGGCAAGATCATCCTGAATCCTGCAGAGCACTATAGCCTCACCTTGGAGTCTTCCTATTAACCTATGTACAGTAAAATGCATTAACAGCCCCAGAGAGGGAAGAGAGAAACTGTTGCAACAAAACAATATATTAACGAGTTAATTTTAACGAGCACCTTAAAGGAATGGGCCACCTGGGACCCACCCCTGTCTTAGCTTGTACAGTACTCCAACTCTAACCTTAACCCAACTCTGAAGCTCAATGAACCCTTGCACCTCACTAGATCTACCCCAGTCCCTCACTCTGATTCACTCGGTGCTGCACACGCAGTCGTGTCACTGACATTGACTTGGCCAACGTGACCACTGAGCAGGTTGATGTTTCATCGCAGGTTCCTGGCAGCTGCGAGGGCCAGTACTGGGACAGTACAGAACATCCTACCTGAAGCCTGGGGTTGGCCACATGGGGGTGTTTGAATGACAAAAGCTCAGCACAGAATGCTCCGTCTCTGGTGTCGGTGGCTTCAAGTACCTGGCACGAAGGATGCAAAACTCATTTACAGCTCTCCTGCCATCCAGCCAGAAGAGGACACTGAAAGTCGAGGCAGAGTTATCTCACGATAAACACAAGTCTATCCTCATTCAAGCCTCATAACATATTTTTGAATAGCTGTAAGGTCGTAAATTACACAATACCTGCTGGAGGTACTGATTTATTGTTATGTGTGCCATTGAAGATATTCAAGCTGTTCTTTCCTGCGCTGATGTTGGTTCCGTGATGGAAAGCCTAATGAAAGAGGGAAAATAGTTTATTTTTTTTGTGAGACGACAAGCATGGACACATAATTATAACATCAACCAAAATTATTCACGAGATGCGTGATTTAAACGGATAGGAGGACACGGCTTCAAATACAAAAATCATCTTGTGGGTAAAATATGGATTACCCTAACGTTCTTCGCCATCCATATGTTTGCGTCTTTAACGCATGCTGCGTTTTCTTTCGCAGAACCAGGACTTTTTGCAAGTTTTTGGCACGACAACACAGTCATACCGTCAAGTCATTCAACGACGTTTGGAACCGTTGACGTTTCCAAAAAGAAAAAAAAAACCCCACCGGTAGCGATGCCTCCTCAGTTACACGGTCACTAGACGCGTTTTAATTTCAAGTTGGAGTACTCACTATTCGCATGAACACAACCCTGCACGTACTTTGCACTTCCAGTCCTATTTTTGTCTCGGCATCAGAGATGCTTCTCCGCGACGTGAACCGCTGCTGCACAGTCCTGCAGCGAGCAGGCAGGCGCGTAAGGTCATGCGCACGATCTGCTTCCTGTTGGCAGCGTCCATGACCGCGCTACCTGTTAAAGACACAGCATTCACAATTATACAGTAACTTTCAAACACTCTGATTGTGCCGTACAGCGCCGGGCGTTTTTTTTATTTTTAGTAAGGTGTATGCGAAGTCTAAAATGCATTCATGAAAGGTTCTGCTTGTGCTTAGGACGCCGTGCAAAATGCAAATGATGTGTGGTGACGGCGAAACTTAATGCTGTCATCCAGTGTGAATGGCTCAGATCACGTTTTTTTGCCTCAATATTGTCCGAGTTGGTGGCACCGCGTCCGTGTTCAGTATGCCCAATGAGTAAGTTATTCTAAGTCTTCTGAACGCGGTGTCCCCCCTTTTTAAAAGGACTGTAAGGATATAGCAGGAGCATTGCAAGATACGGAAAAACTGTTTCGGGGGGTTTTACAAGTCCAGACCTAAACTCTCTGGTGCAACTATATCCCTTTAATTTCTTTTTGAACTACTGTCAAGTGCAGACTAGGAAAAAAAAATCCTCCCAAGATGCACTGGCTAGGAGGTGGAGAAAGAAGCCATTTTGTTGGTATTTGTTTTCCAAAGATGAAGCTGCTGAGATTGTTCAGTGGAGTTTATAGAGTGGAGTTTCCACATCCGTAAAGAACTGGCGATGGTATAATGACTAACTTTTTAGCGACAGAGAAGCAGGGAGTCGTGGATGTACCTGCCACAGACTGTAGATAGTTTTTGTCCTTTTTTTTTTTGCGCGTCGGTCAAGTGCAACGTACTTCTTGCTGCACCTATACGAGAATAAATTCATACTAACAGGTTCCAGGAGGCTCATGGCGAGGAAGTAATGTTGGAGGAGTACGTGACAAAAGCCCATTGCAGCGACCTGTCAAGGATCGGGCATTCGGGACACCGGACACATGCATGATATAACGGCAAGCCTAACAATTTTCCAAGAGACTTCCTCTAAGAGACACCATTACTCGGGCACTTTGCACCCAGTTCAGAGGAGGAAAGTCTTCGCTTGCGCTGTCCGTGCCCTCCATCTGTAACGATGGCAGAAGACATCCGCCACAGCACGAAGGCAAACTTCTCCGCGCTGGCCGAGCACACCAACGGCCTCACTAAAACTTCCACGCTCGCCTCCAAACCGGGGGCCTCCAAGAAACTAGTCATTAAAAACTTCAAAGGTAGGTCCGGCGGAGAAGGACGCGAGCTCCGCAGGTTTGTCCGCAGCCAGACTTGGCGACGGCTGGCAATTGGCACATGTGGGATAAACGGAATAAGCCCAGTTTTTTTTTTAAACAAAAAAACGGTCTGGCTATAATGTATCCTTAAACATTTCTTTTGACAAAAAATAGTAAAAAATGTAGCCAACTACAGTAGGTTGGTTCTAAACGAGCTTGAGCTGTTCAGCGCTTCAGGATGACTTTAAATGCCCGGGATTGTAGTGGTTAACACTGGCGTGACTGAGCGTCGGTGAGGTGGTTGTTGTTTTTGTTTTTGTGTGTGTGTGTGGCCTTATTACATAACAGTTGGAAGTTAATTCCGTGCACATTCTAGAAAGGGTGCCGCAGAGGTCGCCATTCGTCCAGGCGGCACTCGTTATTTCCCAACTCGGCTTGAACTTCCTGGACGCCGTCCGGCGGAGCGGACCCGTCGCCCTCCTGCCTGCCGGGCTCGGGAAGGAGTCGCGGCTCTGAGCCCCCGCACCCGTCCCCGAAAACCGAGAAACCGTTGGTGTTTTTCCGCTCGTTTTACCTTCTTCACAAACCCGGCATGCCTCGCAGCCCGGGCTAAGAGCCACTGCACTAGAGAGGATGTTCGTGCAACGTTTACACATAGGGGGGGTGTGTGTGAATTGCTCACATTTTCTTTTTCTTCTTCTTCTATGTCCTCAATATACCCAATAATAGGGCCGTTTGTATTGAATGAGCGATGTAAACCTACACGAAGCTATACAGGTCAGAAGTTTCTCCAAATACATGAGCTTGTAGTGCGGTGCTGGACTCAGTGCAGCTACAGTACTGTACCTTATACCCAGCAACACCAGCACAATTAAGAGAGCACTTCTGTACATACATACACATGTATGGGCTACGGGCAGTCTTTTTTATTCCCTCCCAAAAGCTTCAATTCATACATTGTTTCCGGAGACGATAAACCAGACGGGTTCTTTTAATATTCGTTTGAGGCTTGAGGTCTTGAGGCTGGCCTGGATAAAACTCTGTTGGAAATATTTGACACCGTGTTGCGGTCAGTTTGCTGCCGACACGCTTTTCATCGCCTGCCCCCTTATAAACGTTACTGATTTAAGGACTGATACAAGGGATCCCTGGAAAATAATAATAGATACGGTAAAAGGTCTTGCCTTTATGCATTTTTTGGTTTTTGTCAGTGACAAGTATTTTTGCACCCTCAACATCAGTGTTACTGATTTGTTACCGATTACTGAGCGCAGAGTCCCGCATTTGGTCAGGTGATGGATAACGAATTCTAGTTAATTAAGGACACGGGGGAAATACTGTAAGTTGTGTCCAGACGTTATGCAAATCCAGACAAACCTTACATGGACGAAGCTGGAATAACAAGTGTCCATTGAACCGGAATGCTACAAATGGAAAACGCAGAGGAAGGTGGAGATCCATTTTCCCGGCCGGTTCCTGCCCTGTTTTGAAGGCGAGGGGCCGGAGTGTCGGACGGTACCTCGGGGTCCTGGCTCGCTTTCCTGCCGGTTATGGACACTTGGGGAAAGCAGCTTTGCACGCTGCAGAGCTGAAGCCGAAGAGGCACCCAGGTCGTGTCGCACCGTAAATGACTCTAGGGGATCATTGACGCGATTGACGGGCCAGTTCAGGCGGCGGCGTCTCCCTGTAGTAGTGGGGGCTCCACACCTGCGTTTTTCTCGAAATGTCAGTTGCCTCTGTTCTTGTGTAAATACGTACTGTTTATTAGGCTCAGTTTCCTCTGAGAAAGTTAAATGATTAATACTCCGGCAACGCACCTCTGTTATAGTTCAGGTGGGTAGCTGCGTCAGCATGCGTAGTCTGCGCATCTGTTATATAAACAAAACCAAAACAGATCCCCTCCGGAGTCCTTTAGCCTGTTGACTGTGGTTTCAGTGTGTCGCCAAGCTCCTCATACTGCTTCCGGGCATTTTCAGCTGATGGATGTTGTCGAAAGTGGGACGGAGTTAGTTATTGGCCTGGGAGTTACTGGTCAGGGGTCATTACCTGAGGATTATCTGGAAAGCCAACCAAAGTGGTTCACCTCTGAAGAATTGTTCCCCTGTGAATGAGTAGTGGCTGTAGCCCATTAAGGACTTGTTACTTCAACGTCCTCGTTCAGAATTGCTATCTAGGCTGGACAATAGAGTACAACTCTTGCAAAGAAGAACAAGATCTGCCAGTTAACGTATCTGAGTCTTGGAAGTCAGGGATAATCTTTTGATTGTTACAGGATGTTGAGTCCAAGCTGTTATCACGTTGATTATCAGGGTACATCCAGGATATCAACACAAACCTGTTCCTAGCCCCGAGAGCCTGTGAATCTACAGCATATTGTGGAAAAAAATGTGAGCAGGCTATAGAAATACACAAATTCTGTAAATCACCAGTTCTGAAATGAGGCTTATTTACTGACACTTTTTTTGGTCATTTCACAGTAGCACTCCGAACTCTGGTACTCAGTGATTTAATGGGTGTTCTGATTTAATTTAGTATTGTGTTTTCAGATAGACCAAAGCTCTCAGAAACCTACACTCAGGAAACATGGCTGAAACTTCAGGAAGCTGTCGGAGCCATACAGAACAGCACTTCCATTAAGTACAACCTCGAGGAGCTCTATCAGGTAAGCCTGTCGTCTTCATATCCTGAGCATAAAAAGATGAGCATGTATGATTTTACATTAAGCATGTATGAGTGACATTAAATATTGATTAAATGTTTTTCTTGTCATTTTGATTAGTCAGACTGTGGTGCGCTTGACTGTTGTATAAGCCCTAAATCACCTCATTGGTGAGTGTTGATTGAGCACAGGAGATACAGGTTAAAATTGAGAAAAACACAAGAAGGAACGTCTATGCCCTGCTTTATCAAGGGAAGAGTGCCTTTTCTCATCTTTATGTTGGAGACTAGGCTAAGTTAGTTCAGGAGGACTGAGCAACAGTGAGTTTGCAAATGTTTGCATACATCCGAATAGGTGATTGTGAAGCCCAAGCTTTAAGGTCTTAGCAGGAGTGTCGCATCGGTACTGAAGTGCATTTGACTGATGGCGACCTGACTGCGTGGCACCGTGTTGAATCTCTCCGGTTGCCCATCCTGACATGACAACATTCCAGCAGGACAGTGCACATCCTCATGCTTCCTGTGAGGTGAACATGTGACAGCCATACCGTGGATACCCTTCACAGCAGGCTTGAGCCCCAGGGTTGAACTAGGACCATGTGTGACATCTAGCGCTAAACGACCAGTTGGCAGTTGAAGATTTCTTCCAGAATCTGCTGTAATGGAGTCCCACAAGACCGCATCTGTGACCTGGTGCAGCTCATAAATGTGCCTTTTACCTGACTAATGAAATGCATTCGTGAAAAACCAAATCAGCCTCTTAGAATTGGTAGGCTTGGGAAAGCACTTGTAAGTGTGGTATTCCTGTAGGTGAGCTATACAGTGCTATGGTCAGAGTGTTCAGAAAGCTCAAATTCAAGTTCACGTTTATTTGTCATTCCAGCCATTTACAAGTATACAGTGGAATGAAATATCGTTCCTCCTGGTCCACAGTGCAAATACAGACAGGACACGGAAATAGACATTGTAGACAGGATACACATAGTGCAAAGTGCAAATAGTGCAAATTATGAAGCAATACATAATACAATACACACAACACACTGGAGGGATTTAAGCCCTATTTCTGGAACTGGAGAGGGTGCAAGTAGATTCCAGGGTGTTGAGGAGCCTGACAGCCAGCATGAAGAAGCTGTTACAGAGTCTGGTGGAGCTAGATGGAGTCCCACAAGACCATATCTGTGACCTTGTGCCAAGCATGTGTCAGTACCAGCCTAAGACTTTTCTCATGAGTGTCATGTCGTTACAATAACATTTTTGAACGCAAGATTGTAATGTTTCTGCAGATAAGTTTGTGAATTTGTTGTAAGTTTCTTTTCAAGTTTAGTATGTCTCCCAACTGTTTTGGTAACATTTGTCAGGTCTGCCCACCAGTTGTTTGCATAGGACTAGATATGGGTGTAGACTTCTTTGCATTGAACGTTCCTGTCTTTCTCATTGTCACACCTGATGTGTTTCGCTTTCAGCATTTTCCTACTTTGTAACTAAAGTTTTGTGAACATAGTTCACTCTTTCTTTAATGCAGACCTTTCCTAGGTTTTGTCCGTGTTAAGTCTGATAACTGGTGTCTCTGGCGAAGCCTGCCAGCTTGGTTGCCCACATTATGGTCACAGATGCGGACGGATTTGTTTCGAGTGCTAGACGTCCTGTTTGCTAAGCATTGTGGGCATATAGGTCATGTGAGTTAGTTATAGCAGCTGTACGGTGATGCTGAATTACTTCATGAGGACAGTACACTAAACAGAGGCTGACCAGAGTGATGGACGTGACACATTCTGACCAATACAGAATTGCAAAAGGCAGCACCCTTGTTCTGAGGTGTTGGTACCGCCAGCAATTTTAATTCTTGTTTGGAACCCAAGGGGCTATAGCAATAACACTTTCTGCTCTCTGCTCTCATCTGTATGAGATATTTAAGCTTTTTGGCTCCTTTTTATTCCTAAATTTCTGATTGGAAGGTAGAGTTAAAAGTAAAACAAACAAAAACAGCCGGACAGTGACCTGAAATTCTGATTGCTGTTTTTGTTGAAGCTTTGTTAAAGCACGGTTGTAGTGTTTCTAGAGAACAATTCTGTAGATAAAAGTTGCACGCAGGGTGGTCCTCAGTGGCTCAGCCGGCAGAGGAGCTCGTGTTTAGCCCAGGCTAAATCCAGAGGTCAAGGGTTCGAGCCTGGGTCATGTGACTATCCAGCTGCCTGGGTCCTGCAGGCTCTGGGCCACGTCAGTGAGGGAATAGCCCCTCCCCCAGGTGGCGCTGTGCACCCTGTCTGAAGAGGAATGTGCGGGTAGTCGGCACCATCTACACCTCTTCAGTCGCCCCTTGTGGGTACAGGCTCCTCGTTGGAGCTGCGACAGAAAAATCTTCGGCAATTCAAGATGGTTACACACTGAGCTGCTTACTGTATTGTGAATAAAGAAGTATTCCTTTATTCGCACCAGACTTGAGCCCCATTCAACGTTTTTGGTGTGAACTCGGACGATATGTGACATCAGGAGCTAAAAGACCAGTCAACAGTTGCATATTCTTCCAGAAGCTGCTGTAGGAGTGAAGTGGAGTCCCACAAGACAGCATCTGTGACCTGGAGCAGCTAACAAATGTGCTCTTTCCCTTTTGGGTTTTTGCAGATGGGCAGTTTTCACAAAGCTGTTCTGTGGATTCCATCATAATGACTAATGAAACACATTTGTGAAAAACCAAATATGCATCTTAGAGCTGTAGAGTTACTAGGCTTGGGAAAGCACCTGTAAACATGGTATTCCCGTTGGTGAGCTGTACAGTGTTATCGTCTGGTCGTTCCTAGTATGTACGGAGAAAACTGATCTCACATTTTGATTTTTAGTTCGTTCATATCCTGCTAGACAGTGTTCTGTTTACACTCTACTGTTGCTGGAGTACGGAAGCGTATTGCTGCTACCAAGGGAAAAAAAATCCTCACGCTTATCTCGTAATTACAAGAAGAATTTTTCTCGTAATTATGACTTCGTAATTATCGGGTATTTTATGTTCTCACGCGATAGAACACTTGTCATATAATACCTATATTGCAAAGGAACACGGTAAAGGTTTGTTCCATGCTGAAAAGAGAAGAAAAGAAACACAGCGTTTTGGCCATGAGGGCTTCACGGCCGAAAGGTTACTTTTTTTTCCTCTTTATTTATTCCATGCTGAAAAGAGGAAAAAAAGTTCCATGAAGCCCTCACAGCCAAAACGTTGTTTCTTTTCTTCTCTGTTCAGCATGGAATAAACCTTTAATTTATTCCTTTAACACTATAGCGCTTTCAAGTTCTCGTGGGTATGCGCCCCCGTGGCTCCCGCATCAGGTCGGCCCTCCACTGCTGGGGCTCGAACCCGGGTCTCCGGCGTCGCTAAACAGGGAACCAGCCGGCTGAGCTCAGGGGAAAACTCCCCTCAGCCCGGCGGCTGAGGTCCCTGCTATTCACTGCCCTGGCAGCCGGCTCGCGCAACCTGTAATGTCGGCCGTGTCCGTTACAATACCTACAGTATATCGCTACGAGCAGACTTCTAGTTTTAAGCAGTGGAAGTGATTGCACGTGTAACTGTTCATAACGGAACCATCAATGCTTTGATCTCTAAATCCCACAAAACAGGTCCTCATGCTTGTAATGATTCTGTTCATATTTGCTAAAAATTGCAAGATTTCGTTATGACTTAACCCCAGTCGAAATCTGTACAAATTCTGCAGCGCTGAAGACATTGACACAATCGTTAAACCGAAAGTGCTGGCCAAGCTTCTACATGCATTCAGTGCACAACGTAGCAGGTTGTACATACACTGACGTAAGCATTGCTATAAGATAGTTATGCTATGAGAGAATTCGTTATCTCGTAATGATGAGATAAGGGAACAAATTATTTTTTTTCCCTTGATGGCAGCAGTTTGCTTCCGTACTGGAGTGCAAAGCGCTGGAGCCATGTCTGAGTTTCTAAATAAGACATGGACGATTGAGAAGTTGCGAGAAATGTTAGCTTTGTTGTTTACAACTGTTGATGTTTGTTTATGGTCATCTTTCATAAACAAGTTTTTAATTAACATTATCTTTATACTAATTTTCATCTTTCTCTATATTTTCCTAGGCAGTGGAGAACCTGTGTTCTTATAAAGTGTCTCCTACGCTCTACAAACAGCTCAGGCAGGTGTGTGAAGGTCATGTCAAAGCACAGATCCATCAGTTCAGAGAATATCCTTTTCCTGGCTTGGAGAGAGCACTGAAACACAAGACGTAGTTTCAGTCCTCAGGGTTGTTTTGGTTCGGTTCAGTTGGTTTTGAATTTGTCGGGGGACATGTTTTGGAAGTCACCATGACTATTCGGTAACACAAAGCAGTGGGTGCTTTGAGACCCAGCTTACCCGCCAGCTTGTTGCAGGGTGTGAAGCAGTGGGTCTCGGCAGTGGCCTCTTGAAACACAATGTCCATCTTTCAGTGAACACATAACCACAGGCCCCCTCTGCTGTATGGAATAATATATATTTTTTTTAAAAACCCTCCATAATACAAAATCTATTTGTAAACTTAATCTTACATCGAAGGAAGATATTTTTTCATTTAAAAACAGTGAAACGGATTGAAGGTAGTTTGATCTGAACTCACAGTCAAGCTTCATTTGCTTTAATTTATGAGTTTGCCTCAGACCTGACCAATGTGAGCTCTGCTGCATATTGGCCCAGATTTTGACATGTGGGAGAAAGGACAATGCGCCAGTGCCTGTGAGCATCAAGTCTGTTGCCGTCTTTCTTTCTGATCGTTGGAAGTATGGCATACCCAGCCTCGCACAGACAGGTGGCTTGCCTGTTTTGTGGGGTAGACAGCAAAGTATTTCAACCACAACGTCTCCAAAGAACAACTGAGGGAAGATGACACATCTGCCCGAGACAGATTTTGTTTGGGTTGTGTTTTCTTCCATCATGGTATGAGGTTAATGGGGGGAAGGACTACTAAAACATGTTAAGTTAAACAGCGGTTGATTCGATGGCTGGTAGCAAATACAATTCGGTGACTAAGACACCTAATATCAAGAGAAACTCAATTAGAAGGCAAGACTTTTTTTTTTTTTTTTTTTTGCTCGTTCATGGATGCAAAAAATGTTGCTTTAAAAAAATGCCCTATGTAAACTCTCCTTAAATGCCCCCTTTAGTGGGGGTGCATCCCACCGGTTGAGAACCCTGGTGACTAAAGTCAGAAACGTGGGGGGACATGAGGTGTGTGGTGACCCGTTGTCACCTCAGGTTTCCACCAAAGCAGGGCACTTGCAAGCTTCATCACTTCATCGTGGGGGAAAAAAGGCCAGACGCAAGCTTAACGGTTTCAGTTAAACTCACAGCTGCTTCTTTTTCTCCCCTTCCGTTATTGCTTTGCTGTTAGTCGTCTACTCTAGGTGTATGAGGTGTGCCATTCTTTTTCGTAACTTTAATTATTGCAGTGCTGTCATCAAAAATAGTTTCTCCTTTAATGGTGATGGTGTGAGCGTGGCGTCCTGGAAACATTTGGGCAGCTTCAGGTCGTCTCCCAGAGTTTCTCCCGATTCACAGAGTCGAGAGCCCTTGTCAGAGAATGCTAAGTTGAGAGGGCAGTGTCACTCCTGACATTTATTTCCGGTAATGGACATGTTGGCTCTTGGGGATATCCCACTGGAATTCTGGGAAGTTGTGTCGCAAGCAGAATGAGGTGATTTGGGATAATTATTCAAATCTTGCCCCCAGCAGGAAGCAGCAAGAGCCCTCTGTAATTGCCAGAGTCAGGTTTGCCCCCTTTGTTTGAAGCATAGCAACCTTCACTCCAGATCAGCACGATGACACTGTGGAGGTGGTGTTAGTTCTTGTCCACAGTGCTTAAATGTAATCATCAGGAATTCCATCACGTCCCTCTGCTTTGTTGATTAAGGCCGATAAAGGCATTAGGGCTGATAAAGTTCCTAACTTGTCTCTCGTCGTGAGATGGAATTGAGCATGGATCTTCGGAACACACCTCCCGGCACGCGTGGGATGTCTTCTTTTGCTTAATCCCTTCTCCGCTTTCTTTACGTCTCAGAGGGACCGGTCCTTGGGTACTTGGGCCATTAATAGTGCTTGTGGCCCTAAACCACGAGTAACTTTTGCCTGCAAGAACTTGAGCTTCTTTTTCCTTGCGAGTCCCCCACTATTCCCCTCCCCCAGCCTGAGAGTAGAGCAGATCCCCGACTCGACCTTATCAGCGACCCTCAGGTTCATGGAGATCCCCTCGACCGCGATGAGCAGCCAGCGCTGAGGACGAGAAGCGTGAGGCTCGGGGGGGGCACAGAAATTCTGTAGTAGATGCCGTGCGGTGCAGGTCTGTGTGTGCTGATGGTCCACACTGCTCCTTTCTCACTCCTTCCTGGCCCCTAGCTGGAGGGCAGAGTGTGCTGATCTGCGGTCTGCAGGCCTGTGATAACACTGCTTTGCTGGGCTTCGATAGGGAGAAGGAAGGGTGGGCAAAAGTTCATTTTAATTACTTCTTAGGAAAGCGTGCTCACTGGTCACTCCCACATCTGTCCCTAGGTGGCAGTATGTGCCTGAGGCTGCCAGCGTCTTAAAACGGTGACTGTTGTGTTGTCTCCTGCAGTAGTTGTGCCAGTTTCGCACTTTCACCTCTCTTAAAAATAGCTTCATTCTCTGTGGTTCTCACACTGCTTGTTAATAGCATTTCAGCCCAACCCAGTGTTAGCTGTGTATACATGATCTTAATTTTTCCACAATTTGTACAATTCAGCAAAGATTTTGTTCTGACTAATGAAAGTTTTGCATATTTTTCTAAACCTTTGGTTATTCAACTAGTTGAGTTTAAATTTTCCACTGTTCTTCCGGTCAGGCTACAGTACGCTAAACCTTTGTCACATGGGATCTGCCTCAGCTGGGTGAAAGTGTTTCTTTTAGTGGTGAAAGACGATGGCGGAGGTAGTTTGAGTCACAACTGGATGTTGTGATAAGGTCCAGTCTAGAACTGCCATCTTGTTCTCGGAGATTGTCCTGACTGTCGTCTTCAGGTGAGGACGAGACCACACGGTTCCCCTCTTCCTGATGCCGTGGGTTTCGAAGAAATAGATGTTTTAAGAGAAACGTTGAAAAGAGGTTTAACGGGGACGTTTGAGGACATTCACTGACCATCTGTTCTGCAGTGTTTTCAAAAATAACAAAAAAAAACAACCCCCCAGAATGTAAAATAACAGATACTTCTGTCAAATGTGTTGCATGTCCTGGGTATTTTTGAGTTTTGGGACCCTGCTGTTTATTTTATGGTGTAAGTCAGCGAAGGAAATGTTCCCGAATTTAGACACGCTGCCTTCACTTCTCGAACCAGGGCTGAAAAACAAAAAATTAAGATTTTCTGGTGAGGGGGAAAATCCTGTGTAATTTTGTTTTTCTTTTCCTTAATATTGGTTCACAGATTCTTTGGACTATGTTTCTTTTCTAAAAAGGATGAATAAATGTTGGCAGGATCACTGTAGGCAAATGGTAAGTTGATTTTTTAATCGTTTTTTTCCGTCCTAGAAAAGAAGACTCACAGATATGCTCCATTGTTTGAGATGACGCACATGGGCCTTCTTTAGAAATCTGTGGGGAACGCATGACTAATAAACCTCAGCACCGTACCGATTTTTAGAAATGTTTTGTTCTTCAGAAAAACAGACATTAAAATGTTGGTGTTTTGGTGTGACCTTTTAAAACTGTAGATTTTGGTGATAAGTTGGAGTGTCCTTACATTAAAATAATACATATTTTTTCATGTTTCTCGCAGATCATGATAAGGAGCATTTTCTTGTTTTTGGATCGAACATATGTGCTGCAGAACTCCATTTTACCATCCATTTGGTAAGTCCCAGGTGATTCTGAAATATATCCTTGGCCATCAGCTGTGGTTCGTGGCTCCGGCTGCTACTCCAGTGGGGTTTATGACGGATTCGAACCCGTTTCTGGCCCCTTGTTGAGATCTCCCGGATGGTTCCTCGCTGGCCGATATGAAATAGGTGGTATTACTGATGCGGTGACGTCAGTACATCGTGTGGCCGCAAAACAAAAACCCTTCCGCCGTTTGCGCGAGCCGGACTCGGTGCCGGGCCCTGTCCGCGTCTCCGTGGCTGAGCGCTGGCCGTCTCTTCGCAGGGACATGGGGCTGGAGCTCTTCAGGACCCACATCGTCAGCGACCGGCTGGTCCAGAGCCGGACGGCGGACGGCATCCTGGAGCTGGTGGAGCGGGAGCGCGGCGGCGAGGCCGTGGACAGGAGCCTGCTGCGCAGCCTGCTGGGCATGCTGTCGGACCTGCAGGTGTGTGGGCGGGCCGGAGGAACACCCGCCCTTGCGTCAAGGGTTACACCTGCTTGTGCCTTTTTGTTTTGTCGTTGTTTATTTCATTGCTTTTTTTTTTTAACCCACCTCCAACTTTGGAGGGCTTCTTTATTTTCTTTTTTTTTTATTTTTTTCCGCTCTCTCATTTTTTTTTTTTAGACAATAACAAAAAAATGACATTCACTAATAAAATCATTCAAAAAACTTCCTACTAATATTCTTAACATCCATTAACAGCCATTCAGGTATGTCTCTAATGGGCCCCAGACATTCCTATGCTCATGAAGTTTCCCCTGTAAATTATTTGATTTTAATTTCAATGCTGATGTCAGGACTTCCAAGCAGTCAACAGGGAATCCCTGCTCAGTGTGGTATTTCCGGGGATAATGCTGTCGTGTTACTGCTCCGAGATGATACTCCTGCGTGCATAGGTGAACAGCACTGATGATGTTCACAAGGTCCAAATGGGGAAAGTTTTTAGACAGCCCTATTTTCCTAAACTACAGTAACTAATGGAGTGACGGAGCAGGAAAAAAAAAAATTATTGTCTTTGTCTTTGAGGTTAAATGCCGACACTGTTTTCCAGATGGAGTTTTTCTTTTCCATTTCTTCACAGGTGTACAAGGATTCGTTTGAGCAGAAATTCCTGAAGGAAACAAATCGTTTGTACGCAGCAGAGGGCCAAAGATTAATGCAGGAGAGAGAGGTAAATGTAACCCAGCTCTTCCATCGTGTGTTTTGAACCTGTGACAGGAGGGAAGGACATGTTCACTGCTAAGGACACCAACTACATCTTGTTCAGTCGCTCTGGCCTTTGACACCTACTCTGCTTGCTTAGTCACACACCGAGCAATCTTACTAGAAAAAGAAATTATAGCATCAGATAGATTAAGCATTTGTGTGAGGTGTTTTAGTGGTATTAATCCAGGAGTTCAAATAATGATTTTATTTCATACATAGAAAATGCTAACAGCTGTTCATAGAAAAGCAAGAATAAAATTCAAATAATTTTACAAAAACTTTATGCCGTCACAGGATGTAAACTGAGCTTCCTGGACAATGCAACATTATCATCTTTCCACCTTAAATACTGATTTCATTTTATCAAGTCATAGTCCTTTTATACAGTCTCCTGCTGAGTTTTCACTTTTCCTGCTCAAAGAATGAGTTAATCCCCTTGCCTAAGGAATGCTGTAATGCCACTGTTAGTAGAGACCTCACTTGTAAAGTGAGACACCCATGCTCATGCAAACTTCTTCATTGCACGAATGCACTGCAGCTCTGCAGCTGTTCTCATCCCTGAATGTAGGGACACTGCATACATGTCATACAGTATGTGCAAGGTGAGTCCCAAAGCATGTTCAGCAAGATTTATCTCTGGTGTGCAGTAAAGAAGGAACGTGGAGTTAAATGGAGTAAGTTTGGAAATGTGCAGTGGTAGAGGTTTGATCCCAAAGAGTTCATTTTCCAGTGGCCCGCTCAAGTCGAGCTGCTGCTGTAACTGTAGCTGCCTAGTGTGGGCTGGGTATTTCTCCACAGTGTCACCTGAGATGTGGTGCATGATCTCACAGGTGTCGGAGAGGCATCCAGTTACATCTTACAAAACATATTTTTTGTCATTACCTGTCAGGCGGGTGGAGAGCTGCTGGAGTGTAGCGTTGCAGCCAGTCCAGTGAGATTGCGAAATGCACAAGTAATGTTTCTCTTGCGCTGTCTACAGTATGAGCGACTTGACTTGATTAAACTGGCAAAGGAGCAGGCGTTTGTCCGCCTCGAACAGCAGCAATAATGTATCCAGGCAGGGGGAGAGGGGAGGCAGGAAAGAACATACAGTAGGCTGTTGGCCACAATGTTGGCTTTGTGTCCCCCTGCAGGTGCCGGAGTATCTGCACCACGTCAAGAGGCGCCTGGAGGAAGAGAACGACCGAGTGATTACATACCTGGATCAGAGCACACAGTGAGTGCATGCTGCAGTTATACAAAGCCTGGTCTTTCAGAAGGGACTGGGATCACTCTGACGGACGTGATCTCTGGTCACCACCAGTGAAGGATCCTCCTATTTCACCAGTACCTATGATCACCAGTACTCATAATGTACCTGCAGCTTTATCACTTACACTGCCCCCGGGAGCTGAAGAGCACAGGAGAGAATGTCGCTGATTAACTTGGTATAGCCAGAATGCAGGCGCATTCATCGGAAAGCTAAGGATTTGTCAAAGAAACCCAGAGAGGGTCCATATTATTCGCTAGAATGAAGTGGGTGCAAGTCTTTAATCTTGGCATCTCTTTTGATGACGAGGCTCATTACGGTAACTCATGTGAGCTCATCTTCACAACTCAGTTCTCAGCCTCTGTGACGTAAGGCATGTGACTTTTACCAGGCGACAGGCGTCACATGCTGCTGTCACACAGGTCAGATTCCGTCGAGTCAGCAGAATGGTTCCCATCCGGTTGATCAGACAAAGTACTGTGGATGCTGAGTATTGCAACAGTCTCTCGGCAACATTTGGCCTTGATGTACAGTCGCAGTCAGCGCAAACTTCACTGACTGCTACAGTACATGAAGATGTACAGTTTCAATTCATTGGCGAGGAGTAAATGCATGCGCTGTTCAAGGCGAGAACACAAAACTCTTAAGACAGCTAGTGATGGTGTTCAGAAGTCTGTGGACTAAAACAAATGTCTGAATTTGCCCCAAACAAAAAAACGAAACAGCCTTGGCACTGAATGAATGCAGCTGACAAGAAAAGAAATCAAACACTTCAGTCTGATACGTTGATATGCCTTTGATGGTGTTTTGGTGTTAAAGTGACAGCACTGCTGATCCTTATTTATGACAGTACTGTAGTGCTCTTGCCTTGATGAACACCAGAGAGGTTACGAAGAGGAGGAGACTGTTTGCCTGGTGTAGCTCGTGGGGTTGCTAGGAGTAGCCAACACCTTGACTTTTTTCAAGCTGGGACAGTGAGGTGTGAGTTCGTACTTTGAACATGAGCATTCGCGTCATTTTTCGAAGTCCAGGCCTGCTTTTGTTTGAAGAAAAAAGTGCTTGGAAAACTTGCACGTTATAACTTTGTGTGTTTTTTTTTTAAATGGTTGATGTGACGAAACGGTTGATTCGTCACAGATTTTAGCTGTCTGTTTATTTTTAAACAGGAAGCAGCTCATTTCTACTGTGGAGAAGCAGCTGCTTGGTGAACATTTGACAGCCATTTTACAGAAAGGTACATTCGTGACTTGTCACCAATAATAATAATATTTTTTTTAAATAATAATACATTAATATATTAATCAAATATATATGATATATTCAAATATCTTATAAATAAATATTAATCAAATAATAATAATTTAATATTATATTAAAATATTATATTTTAATATAATAAACCCTTCATGAAACAGAAATGACAGAGGCCCCGCCTTTCTAATTGAATATTCATCCTGTCAATGAACGTGTGAAGAAGGCTCCACAGCCGAACCTTTCTGTCTCTTTTCCTTTCCCTTCGGCACGGGATAAACTGGTGCCTGTTCCCATACGAATGTTAAGTTAAGGACGTAAAATTCATATTCTGCCGAAAAAGGAAGAGCGTAGTTATGGCATCATCCCAACAGAGCTCTCCTTTCTTCGGCCATTCGTGGGGGCGCCGTAACCCGCGGGAAAGAGCCGAAAGACCCAGAGAACACTGCCCCTCCTACGGGCTGTGAGGCGCCCCCGAGCCCCCTCCTGCCTTTCGCTCCCTGGTGCAGACGGTAACCTCCTGCCCTCTCGCTGTCGTGGCCCCGGTCCCCCGCAGGTCTGGACAGCCTGCTGAATGAGAACAGGATCGGCGAGCTCACCCTGCTCTATCAGCTCTACGGCAAGGTGAAGGGGGGCCTCCCTGCGCTGCTGCAGCACTGGAAGGAGTTCATCAAGGTAGGGCTGCCGGCTGCGCTTCTGGTCGCGCTCTGATCTGGCTTCGTCGCTCTGCTCTCCTCCCCCACTGAGAGCTGCTGTGCGGGGGAGAGTCCTGGTGCAAGCAAAGTGCTTCTGAAGTTGCCCAGCTGATGAAGGACCTCCGTCCGAAACGTCCCGTTTCTCCAGACACCTTGTGTACTACACCATGACTTTTCTAACCTCTCTCTCTATATACGTGCACATGGTTAATAGCTATTATGCACGCAGATAAGGTAGGCCTAGTAGTGATTAATATATGTGGGCCGTGAGACTTGCTTTTAGCCATGGTTGTGGCCCAGTTGATTAAAAAGGTTCAGAGCCACTGATCTAGAGCCACAGTATGTCGAGGGTTGGGTAGAATTCGTTTTTTGTTATCGCATCATTAATTAATGAAGTATGATATGGTCAGATGTTACGGATTCAAACCTTTGTTTGAAAAACGTTGGGTTTCACTGCTCGGGCGATTCTAAATTGGGTCGACTGGGAAGCTTCCTCTTGAATGGGCACACTTTGCCAACGAGTATTCAACAGCTACCGCTATAGACGGGGAAAAAACGCCTGAGAACCCTCCATGTCGGCTCATTGACAGGCAGCGGATGGTTCATTTTGGGGGTAAAATCGGTGATTCATGTGGTCTTGGGTCTATGGTCTATGGCAGTGGTTCCCAGTACTGGTCCTGGTGACTCACATACTTGTTGGTCTTTGCTTCTCCTGAGCCCTCAGTTACACAATCAAGCTCTTCATAATTTAATAATAAAAGAATAACTTGAACTGTATGTACCTAGCCCTCTCCTTCAATCTGTTGGAGCTTTGACCATAGTATTTACTTAGTGAAATAAAATCTCAAGCTTGTGCCTAGGAACAAAATGCAGATTTTCCAATGAAGCAACTTCAGTTAAGGCTTCAGTGATCTGATGGAGGAGGGCTGGAATGGAAACTGGCAGGTGTGTGGGGCACCAGGACCAGAACTGCGAACCACTGGCCTGCGTCCGCGCGGACATCGTGCTGTTGTGAAGTGCTGTCTGGCTCTGTCTGTCCCCAGAACTTTGGGGTTACCATTGTGGCCACCCCGGAGAAGGACAAGGACATGGTGCAGGACCTGCTGGACTTCAAAGACAAGATCGACCGCATCACCGAGAGCTGCTTCCAGAAGAACGAGTCCTTCGTCAATTCCATGAAGGAGTCCTTTGAGACCTTCATCAACAAGAGGCCCAACAAGCCTGCGGAGCTCATAGGTACACCTGCCCCACTCTTCTTACCAAGAACCTGAAGTGTCTTTCTTAGGGGAAAACGAGCAGCTCTTAAGTCCTTTTGGCATTTGACTTTTTCTCTGTGGAATGATGATAAGATTATTGACTGTTGCGGATCGTTTAGAACTTGTCAGGAATTAAGATAATTGAAAAACTACCGTCAAGCAGTGACTGTGTTGTATAATGGCACATTTAAGTCATAAAAAATAGTGGGTAAAACAATACAGATCTAACCCAGCGTGTTCTTGCATTCTCCTCGTTTCTAACATTCGTAAAATGCTGAACTTCACTTTGTTCTTCCATTTTTTTTTTTATCGGACCTCAGCCAAGTATGTGGATTCGAAGCTGCGCGCTGGGAATAAGGAAGCCACGGAGGAGGAGCTCGAGAGAATCCTGGATAAAATCATGATCATCTTCAGGTTCATTCACGGTGAGACGGGATCTGCTGCTGCTGCTGCTGTGAGATGGCGGTGGCCCGAAACAGAGACGGTTTCCAGCCCCCGCCTGAACACGCGGACGGGTGTCGAGACGTGGTTATTGACTTGAGCTCTTGCAGGACGTTTTCACTGTTGCTTTATTCAGATTAAACAGAGAAAAGTAATCTTCAGAACATGTAACTTGGATGCCGATGGTTATTTTTTGGTCCGCGTTTGTTGGGCAAGGAAATGTTAGATCTTAAACAGAACTGTTGTTCTGATGGGCCGGGGTGTGTTCCGCATAAGGTGCCGCTTTCAATTTCTAAATCCCAGCACACTTACGATGTCGAGTTGCTGGTTTCTCTTCGACCACTCTCCTTGCGGGGGCTTCGTCTTGGGCGAGCCCCTGCCGTTTCTTGAGCTTGAGTGGTGTCGCAGTGAGCGAGTCCCCCGTGATTTCAGTTGTTTTCGTGCTCTTGAACAGGAAAAGATGTGTTCGAGGCGTTTTACAAGAAGGACCTTGCGAAACGCCTGCTGGTGGGAAAGAGCGCTTCAGTAGATGCTGAGAAATCCATGCTGTCCAAGTTGAAACATGGTGAGTGCTTGGGCAGTCCTTATCAAACACATTTATGAGAGCTTTGAACGAGTGCACGGAAGGTCTGTGGTCACTGAGGTATTATGAGACTGATGTGGCCAGTTAAAGTGTCAGAATGCAGCTGAACGTCTTAGCATCCTACAACACTTTAGACTAATCAATGATATCTTGGCCTTAAAGCCCTTTCAAGGCTGTCTTATTAGAAAAGCCCTTAATAGTGTCCTGGTCATTCGTACACGTCTTGCAGCTTCTCCCCCGTTTCTTCAGCCAGTATTTCTAGGGGAGCGTATTAGAAATGGAGTTGCCAGGCTCTCTTTTCGTGTACCTCGTGTACTGAAGTGCAAAGGAACCGCAGCAGCTGTGCTTGTGAATGCATGTGTTGTGGTGAAGTGGTTCTCTGTTCCTGTCCTTCAATCCTCCTCAGAATGTGGGGCGGCCTTCACCAGCAAGCTGGAGGGGATGTTCAAGGACATGGAGCTGTCCAAAGACATAATGATCCAGTTCAAACAGGTAATTCACCTTTTATAATGAGCATCGCTTCTACCTATGCTTTGTGTCCAGTTTATAAAAGCCAACATTAAAGTTATTTTTGTAGATAAAGAGCTCAGTTTTAAGTAGCTTGCTTCATCTGCGCTGATGGAACGGCAAAAAAAAAAGCGGTCGTTTTGTGACCGTTGCTCTGAGTTGTTGTGGGTGACAGTATTTCAAAGTATTTTTAGGCTTGGTCTTGGAAAAAGTGGCCATGTGTTTCTTTGTTTTCAGTACATGCAAAACCAGAGTGACCCGGGCAACATCGAGCTCACCGTGAACATTCTCACGATGGGCTACTGGCCGACGTACACCCCCATGGAGGTGCATCTTCCTGCGGAGGTAAGCGCTCGGCTCCCGGCCCTGCTTGCTGGCCGCCAGCCGGGGCCCTGCGGTGACACTGACCTTGCTGCCGCTCTGTGGCCCTGTCGAGGCAGATGGTGAAGCTCCAGGAGGTGTTCAAGACGTTCTACCTGGGGAAGCACAGCGGCCGCAAGCTGCAGTGGCAGCCCACCCTCGGCCACGCCGTCCTCAAGTCGGAGTTTAAGGAGGTGAGAATGGCCCCGACCCTCACACCCTCCCTCACACCCTCCCTCACACTCACACACGGCTGCTCTCCAGCTTCTGGCGCTGACTGGTGTCCCACCCTGCAGCGTGCAGGAGTCTCCGGCTCTTCGTAAACCTGGAATCGTCTCATGCCAAGCAATCGCACCATCCGTGGACTTCCTGCAGTGTTCCGTCTCCTTCTCCGTCAGTCGGTATCTTAACGCGCGCTTGCGGAAGCGTCAAGTGTTCTCAACCGGGAGATGTTGCTTAGAAATGCAGAATAGCACAGCATCGTCGCCGTCGTCATCGCTGTCGGCAAATTGCAACAGAGCGGAGGCTCCGAGTGAGAGGAAGGCTTTCGGCCCGTCTCTCTGATCTCCTCGGAGGATCTGATCTGATCTAGTCGTTTCTTACAAGCAGCTAGGGTATCGGCTTCAGCAGCGTGACTGTGTAACCTGTTCCGGACTCCAGCAAGCTGAAAGTCAGGCTTGTTAACATGATGGCATATTCTGGCTTTTTCCACTCTTTCGTTTTTTTGGTACAGCAAACGGCAATAGGAGATTTCTATAAAAACAAATTCCATGCTGCATAGAAAATGAAACCTGAGAACATGATAGTTCTTTAATATCCTATGAGCCTCGTACTGACAGAGGCAAAGCGAGTTGAAAGACACAATAAACAATTTATAGCACGCTGCAATAGCAGAGTATTAAATGTCTCAACCACTTACTATAATCGCCCACATGTATTTTTAATTTTGGCACTTACCCACTAACAACCACAGTATGAAGCAGCCTTGTTCCCATACTGCAAAACCATGGTGATGGGGCAGCATTTCGTGCTCATTTTGTGTCTGGTTTGTGTGTTGCTCTAGGTCCGTACTTTAAGCGCACAGTTTTACGTATGATATAATCTAACATGTACAAGTGCACCACATAGACGTGTTGCTCTGCTCAGTTTAAGAACTAGATTTAAAGTTTTAGTTGAGGCTGTCTGCCCGTTTGCAGGAAGGAGTCTGGGTGGAGGCGAGAGCTGACAGTCGCTGGTGTCCATGACAGTCTGAGGGGATGATGCTGTGTGTGCTGGCACACACTGGACTGGCACTGACTCTGGGGTTGCTTTCACAGGGGAAGAAGGAGGTGCAGGTTTCACTGTTCCAGACACTGGTCCTGCTCATGTTCAACGAAGGGGATGAGTTCACTCTGGAAGACATCAGATCTGCCACTGGAATAGGTACACTGCCCATTAGAGTGGCTTGGCCAGTTTGGATGATTTTCATTAACGTGGTCCAAAGGCCCTGAAAACCACCTAAAAAACGTCCCTCGAATTTAATTTCCCTTGGTTGCTTTGTATGCTGTGTTGGTTGTGTAAGTGTACCCATGCTGAAGCTCGTCTTAAGCAGCAGAGTATAAAGACAAATTGTCATGGGAGCAAGGTGTCTTTGTGCTTTGCCCTGCTTTACATGCAGATTGAAGTGCCAGACCTGAATCCGTGACAGTCATTAGTTACTGTCAAAGTTATATAAACCAGAACTAACAAGAAGTGGAGATCTAAGTAAGGATTGTTTGTATTTTAGGTAGCCAAGAATCCCTTTAATTTTAAAAGACCAAGAGTCTGAGTGTCTGAGTCATGTTACCGTAATGTCATGAGTTTTACATCTGTGACATGAGCATTTTGAAGCATACTACTTCATTTGTATTATTTTGCAGGTCGCTGCACAAAAGATCATTTTAGTGATGATGGAAAGGGGTGGGAAAAGGGGGAAAAAAATGTTTTATTTTTCCATGCAAGAGGGATGAACATGCAGTTCCACGGTTCATTCTGCATTTTTCTAAAAAGAGGCTTAAAAAGGTTGAGTGAGGGGCTGTTTGCAGGCAAGTGCCTGTGAACTGACACATCGGAGGCCGCGGTGTAACAGCCAGTGGTGTGGATGAACTGTGTCCGATGGCAGAACGCAATCCGGCGAGTGTTGCTCACCCTGTGGCTGTCTCCCCAGAGGACAGCGAGTTGCGGAGGACGCTGCAGTCTCTGGCCTGTGGGAAAGCCCGGGTGCTCCTCAAAGACCCCAAGGGCAAAGACGTGGAGGACGGAGACAGGTTCCTTTTCAACGGCGACTTCAAGCACAAGCTGTTCAGGATAAAGATCAACCAGATCCAGATGAAGGAGACCGTACGTAGTTTTCACACAGTACTTCACCAATGACTGGAAGAACCCTTGCTCTCCGCGTGCATTGGAACAAGGTTTTCGTCAGTATGAGTTGAAAGTATGTTTAAGCTAGTCAGTGGTACGTGCGTTTCTGGGGGAGAATGAGAATTCGTGTAGTGACATTCCAAGTTTTATCTCAGTTTAATAAACTGAATCCGTGTAAATTAAATGGCAGTTTAATTGAAAATCTGCCACCAAAGGAAGAGTAATTATACAGCACGTTTGCGCAGTAGGTTTTTGAGAAAACCCCGATGAATTGTAGTCTTGTATTTCTAGCTGATAGGGTGTAATGCTGAAAGGATTAGGAATTTCCTCCATTCATCAGTCTGGTATAATAAATACCCCCTTGTCCCGTCTTTACTCAAGACTGAGCACCAGACTCCCGCTTAATGTGGTTTGTTCTGGAACCTCTTATCACAGCCTGTCTGTCTCTGAGGACTGTGTTTTAAGTTGCCTGTGCAGTTTTTATCGGAGATTTGAAGGGGAAGTCGGTTCAGGATCTTGAACTGCTAACTGTTAGTCATTTATAGGGTTATGAGGAAATCTCAGTGGCGGGTCTTTTTGTGGTATATCAGCTGTAGTTCCAGTGTTACGCCGGACCGTTCTGGGCGCTGCACGGGCCACCGAGAATGACCTTTGTCCTCTGGCCCCGGGCAGCGGCCCGGCCTCTGTGTCGAGTTGTGCGTTGTGACCTCGGCCGCGGCCCTCACTGTGCCCTCTCCCCGCGGCGCCAGGTGGAGGAGCAAGTGAGCACCACCGAGCGCGTGTTCCAGGACAGGCAGTACCAGATCGACGCCGCCATCGTCCGCATCATGAAGATGAGGAAGACGCTGAGCCACACCCTGCTGGTGTCGGAGCTCTACAACCAGCTCAAGTTCCCGGTCAAGGTCTGTACTCTCGCGCCCTGCGGCGTTCGGTTTGCTGACAGCGAAGGAAAGGGACTGTTGTGAACAGACAGCAGTCTGTTGTGAATTTAAAAAAAAAAGGATTCTATAACCTGGGTCACCTTCTGAGCTGACGTTTTTTAATAAAATGAGCCAGTCAAATGATGAGGGTTTTTTATCTCTTTTGTTTTTTTTCCATCGAAACGTGAAGTGTTCCGTTATATGGAAAGCATGACCACATTGCAACACGTCAGAGTGCTTATTTCTGTGCAGAAATGCCCATGTTTTGTTTTTTCTCCTGCTTGCCCATACCTTGTCCAATTGTCTGGGAGGTATCAAATACCTACATGACAGCTTGTTGTCCTTTAGAGACAAAATTGTAAACAGTTAAAGAATCTGATGCCAGTAAGTTACCCAACTACCCAAGTTACTTTGCATTCCACAAAATGATAAGCTGATAAAGCCAAGTAAGGGTGAACCTGTCTTTCTGCATGGCTCTGCTTTCTGGCATTATTTAAACAGCCAGGGCTAATCAAGATTAACATCCCCAAAGTTTCCATAATTAGGTTCTAATGTGACTTGACTGTTCTGCATTCACCCTAATGATGCAGTGCTTGCAACATCAGATATAAAGCAAGAGATTTCAGTTTTCTTATAGTCACTGGTCAAACAGATCCTGACTACTCTAATCTGAGCCGTTGGGTTTGGTGGCTTCATTAATTTTTTGATCAATTGAGGAATTCCTGTCATAGTCTTGCCCCTTGTAGAGGCAGGTTTCCAAAGTGATTTGTAGCGTTTGATGAAGATGATCATCTCTGGGTTGGCGAGTGCCCTGGGCAGATGTGCACCGAGATGAGACGGCTCAACGTTGCGCACAACCTAGAAAAGAGTTTTCTGTGCCCCTCAGCGTAGCGGCCACACGCGATTCCTGCATGTAGGGCAATCACAGCTTTTAAAATGCTTATCTCCAGACCCCATCGGCAGGCAGAGCTCGGTCACAAGACCTGTTTGATTTGATCAAATACTGGACATGCTGCCCTGTGCTATGGAAAGTACTTTCACCAGCCTCTGAGAAATGTGCGTTATTTCCTCGTGTGTATTGAAAGCTCTTTTGCTTTTGCTCTCCCCCGATGCCCGCTGCAGCCTGGAGACCTGAAGAAGAGGATCGAGTCTCTCATCGACCGGGACTACATGGAGAGGGATAAGGACACTCCCAACCAGTACCACTACGTGGCGTAAAGTAAGTGCCGCTGGCAGTCGTGGCCCGGACTGCGCTGCACTGCTGGGCGGCTCTCCGCAAGACGACGGGCTGCTGTCCCGCCCTGCCCCGCCCCGCCCCGCCCCTGCGCGCGCGGTCGGCGTCCGGAGCGTCGCGCTTGCTTTCGCTCCTCGATCCTCGGCTTTCGCTGTCGTTTTTTGTTTGTTTGTTTCCCCCCCTTTCAGTTCTCGGTTCGCTCCAGCTCTCGACATTTTCTGGCAGAGCCAGCGAGAAACGGGGAACGTTCTAACGCCTCGCGCCGTTCCGCGCTAGCGGACCGTGACTGAGGTTCGCTCTGCAGGCGGGAGGGTGGCGAAGTTGGCGTTCGCGCTAGCTGGCCGCGTCGTCGTCTTCAAGTCGAGGCGAAGTTGCGGCTAAGATGGCGCTAAGGTCATGACCTGCTTGCTTCTGTTAGGTGGTCTTCTCTTTTGGTAGCATCAAAAGAAATGTATTGCTTATAAATGCAACAGATTCAATTTAATTTAATTTAATTTCAGGAAAATTACAAGATTTGTCATTATGCACACAGACATCCTTCCACTTTCAGTGCCCGATTAGTCCACTACAGCGTGGCCATGGCGTATCTCGGCTGACAGCGAGCACAAGGATACGCCTTCCTGACACACGCAGTTTAGGGATACCTGTTGACCCGGATGGCATGCCCTTTGGATTGTGGGAGCAAACGGGAGTAGAGCACATGCCGCCCCAGGGTGAATGTGCAAGCTGCACACAGAAGAAGTCTGTCCCCGTCCCAAGAGCTGCGAGGCAGCCGGGCTCCCTCCTCTTTCAACATGGCTCACTTTATCATGCCGATGAACACTTGTCATGGCCGGGAGATTCCACACGTGCTTCGCACCAAGTCGCACGCGCTGCCCTGCTCCTGTCGCAGAGCCTGGGCGAGCAGCGCTTGTTAGCTGGTCTCCGAGTCCTAGATCACCCCACAGATGCTGAGAGGGGCGGGCAGGCAGGGTGTCCAGCAACATAACTGTCACATTGTCACCTCGCAAAAAGTGTCTTGTACACGAACAGCACAAGGGCGTACGTTGTGCTGCTGAAACGTCGTCACTCCGGGACTTGATCTAGGGGTGGTGGCCCTCAGTCACAACGTTTGGCTTTCTGTACAAGCCCAGCTCATCACGCTCAGATTTCCCCAAGCGTTTGTCTTTTGCGCAGAACGATCTGCCAGTTTTCGTGGTGGTCTGGACTACCTTGATTCATTGCTCAAGAGGGATCGCCTCTGATGCAGTGGACTTGACACTGCGGAAAGAGCCCTAAAAGTGGAGAGGGATGTGATGATCTTGGCGGGTTTTTGTGACTCATGGTATCGCAGGTTGCAATCTATTATCGCAAAGCACTCCCCAACAGCTTAGCCCAGCTTCCAGCACACTGCTGGCTCCAACGCGTTGTTCTCCTGACTAGCAGAGCACGGCGATTCCTCTGTTTGTCTTCCCTGCCACGCTACAGGGCTCGTCATTCAACAGGTTAAATCACCTCGTCACATGTTGCCCAATCAGCCTAATCGTCTATTGACCTGATTCAGGGCTTATGCCACAAAGACATTCGAGGGTGTCCCAGTCTTTCTTCATTGATTTTGCCAATCAGAACGACAAAAATATTCAATAACCAAAACTGGTATGCTTTAGTATTCGAAAAATATGCATGTATAAGTAGCGATGTTTCTTTTGATGTCCAGTATATTCACACCACCCTTATTTAGGTGATTTACAGATTTGTGCACACTGAGTTTAGTTGTTGAGGTCCTGTTTTTATGGAGTTAAGAGAGCAGTAACTTTTTAATAATAGGATGATGAATCTATAATAAGCCTAAAAAGTGCCATGCAGATCAGGCTTCTCTCGCGGAGATGGGTGTATCAGTTAGCAGCACATGCTAAAAAATGTTTGTCTTTTCTAGTGTGTTTCAGCAGTTTTAAGCCAAATCTTTTCGGATTGATGCTAACGAGCTGTTATTTTTATTGTGTTTCTCCGATTAGGTAATGTTGATCCATTACAGTTTTGCCTCTTGAAACATAAATTGTAACCTACAGGGAGAACTCTCAAGTGCAATTTTACTGGTTCACTTTCAGTTGCCCTCACGTGGGCGTGATGAAGATACTATTAATGTAATTGAAAAAAAGGCAAGGTCTGGTAATTGATGGTGAGTTTGATGAGCACCTTGGTATACACTGTATATATGTTGTTGGGTATATGACGGAGTTGATTTTTGAGAATTGTGTGAGTTTTGTTCTGGTGGTATATTGCAGAATGTGATCATGTAGATGGGTGGCATTAATAAAACTGCTGTATTTGCTAAGTACTGTATGATAGCATTGTGGTATTTTATTAAAAAAAGCAATCTCAGTATTTGGTGCCATGTCTTATTATTCTTCATGGGTATCCATCGCTTCTACGGTCTTGTTAACGTAATCTGTTCCAACCCTTTACCAGCAGCCAGGTTGTGCTATTAGGGAAGCTGAAACATTTTACAGTACATGCACTTCTGTACAATGGAGAAACAAAAGGTGCTGATATTGCATAGATAATAAAATGAAGAAAATACTGTTATTCTTTCTCATTTTTTCCTATTTTTTTTTAGCTGTTAGCTGCTGTGTATCTAGGTGGATGATCCTGAGGACCATACAAATTCTGGAATTCTGCAAATATAAAGTATTTTCAGGGCTTCCTTTCCCAACAGATCTTTACAGAAAAAAAAAAACAGTTGTCAGGAATGTCTGTCTGCTGCCTAAGGATTGTGAAGAGTTCTTCTGCCTGTTGCTCCCAAACAGCCTTTTCAATATTAGCACATTGCTTTTTATCCTAACAAACAAAACTTTTGTTTTTACTTGTTCTTTTTGAAGTTCTGGTTCACAGTGCTCCAGAAATTACAATCCCATTCATGACTTGCCCTAAAATACCCATCACATGACAGGCATGCTTCGTTGTGACTCCTGGAAGTCATTTGTCTTGAGAGAAGTCCAAGTTCTGAAGCTTAGACACCAGTTTAAATGTGTGCTCTGCATATATTATGGAACGGGTTTGATGCTGTCAAGTTTATGTATTTTAACCAAATAAGAGGGTCAGGTTGTGACTCTCCTTTATGGGAACTCCTTTACAACCAAATGAGGCCTTTAACTGCACATCCTGAGGAAAGTTTATCCAAAAGCCAAAGTCTTTAGTGTCAAGATGATAATTGCCTTGGTGGCATCTGTTACCTGCTGAGCTTTCAACCTTTTTTTCCCCCACAGACATGTGAAATAATTTAATTTGCAGGGGTAGTTTTAAAAATGTATACCACATTCCTAGTGTTGTAGGTATACAGTGAGTAATTGGTTTGAAATGCTGCTGTTACCACTTAGCCATTCACTGTTGAATTGTCCAGAAGAAAAAAATGCAGTATTTCAAGAAACTAGGGCACACAAAAGTCCATTAGTTGTATGATTAGGAAGACGTATACAGAAGAGGAATCAAAAACGTTCTTCACTGCCAAGTTTTGTTACTGTAATTAATATTAAAGACATTAATAATTTCAACTCTACAAGGAATACAATGTCATTCTCAAAGTTAGATTTTTTTGGGGGGTTTCCAAAATACTATAATCCAGCTAAGAACAAATGGGACCCTAACCAACAAAAGGGTCCAAACGTTTTTAAGGTGAGCAAAAACATCTGATTTCCTTTTAGCTACACTAGGAAATGCCCTGACTGCACTTTTTTCCACACTATACATTTGTTTTATTGGCAAGAAAATATTTGCAAAATTTAAGAACTGACCTAAAGAATTTAGCTTTGAGGCTTCACAAACGTAGCCTTATTTTCACACCGCATCTGCCTAATTGGGTTTCAGTTTTCAAATTAGATTTGCACGCTTCGTTTCAGTCCTAATTGCTTGGAGCAACAAATTAAAAAATATAAAGACATCTCTGTTGAACCTTAAAATAAACGCTTTACGAAGTTCAGAACTCTGTTCCTTTTTTTGTTGTTGCTGCGTGCCACCGTGGAATGTTAAAGATGGCTGCAGAATTTCTCTGCAAGATAAACAAACATAAGAAAGATTACAAAGGAGAGGGGGCCAGTGGGTCCGTCCAGACTGTTGGATAGGAGCCAGTTGATTCAAGGACCTCATCCATCTTTCTTGAGAGGGGCCAGAGTGTGGAGCTCACCAGGAGTCCAGCTCGGCTAAGCTGCTGCTTCCAGATTCCCGATGTTGGTTAGCTGCCCTGTAGTTGTTGGTCACCTGCCAGCTGTGTTTCATACATGATTAATTAATTAATTGCTTACACTTATGTATTTATGGACACTCCACTCAAAGCGCTTTACAGGTAATGGGGACTCCCCTCCACCACCACCAATGTGCAGCCCCACCTGGATGATGTGACGGCAGCCATAGTGCACCAGTACTCTCACCACACATCAGCTCTCAGTGGGGAGGAGAGCAGAGTGATGAAGCCAGTTCATAGAGGGGGATTATTAGGAGGCCATGATTGGTAAGAGCCAATGGGAATTTTTTTTTTTTGGCCAGGACACCAGGGTTACACCCCTACTCTTTTCGAGAGACGGCCTGGGATTTTTAATGACCACAGAGAGTCAGGACCTCGGTTTTACGTCTCATCCGAAGGACGGCACCCGTTTACAGTATAGTGTCACCATCACTATACTGGGGCATTAGGACCCACGTGGGCCACAGGGTGAGCGCCCCCTGCTGGCCCCACTAATACCTCTTCCAGCAGCAACCTTAGTTTTTCCCAGGAGGTCTCCCATCCAGGTCAATTCAATTCAATTCAAGGTGCTTTATTAGCATGACTGATGGATACAATCAGTGTTGCCAAAGCAAATAAAAATAATAAAATTAACATGGAACAAAACATGGAACAGGCCCACACCTGCTTAGCTTCAGTGGGTTGCCAGTTGTGAGTTGCAGGGTGATATGGCTGCTGGCTACCACTGCACTCACTCCAGTAAGAACAGATAGACCACATCACTTTCAAATAACCGCTGATCCGGCCCGTTCAAGTCTGGTGGGCTGGAGCCTATCCTGGAGAGCTCAGGGCACACGGTGGGATACATCCTGTCCATCACCGGAGGCACACAGACGCAGACACGCACACTCACGATGGGGCCAGTTCTCCCAGAAACCCATTAACCTAAATATGCGCTATACTGTATGTAGGATGAAGTAGCCTTAAACCGAATCGTTAATCAAAAAGCGAAGTCCTTTGTCCGGCTAATTCTTCCTTCTTGTCCGGTTATAAACTACCTTTACAGATTTCTAAATTAAACTGAACCTTTGGAAAGAATGTAGAATGTACCAGTGTGCCTTTGGCCTGGGGTAGGAAACCCATGCGAACGCACGGGGACGATGTGCAAACCTCACACCGAGGAACTGCAGCTAGGGGCCCTGCCCGACAGCAGTGCTGACCACTGCTCCGCTGGGCTGCCCCTGTGGAAAATTACACCAGAAGCACTGCTTATGATATGCTACTTGAGCACAGTAGCTCAGACAGATATGTTGCAGGAGTTGCCACCGACTTCTGCACCTGCCTGTGGACTTTACTGTGTTCACAGGGATCGGTGAAGTGATGATTTTGAGGTTTTGACCTCACTGCTTGAAAGACTTGCAGGAGTCCAGTACATGTGTATCCCAAGAGACATCTGGGCTGAATGCTGCCAGCACCACAGTCCCACTTCAACAGGCCTCGGCTCATCTTCATTGTGTTCTGAAAAGAGAAGAAAGAAAACACGACGTTTCGTGTATTTGCTAAGTACTGTATAATAGCATTGTGGTATTTTATTTTTAAAAAAGCAATCTCAGTATTTGGTGCCATGTCTTATTATTCTTCATGGGTATCCATCGCTTCTACAGTCTCGTTAACGTAATCTGTTCCAACCCTTTACCAGCAGCCAGGTTGTGCTGTTACGGGAAACTGAAACACTTTACAGTACATGCACTTCTGTACAATGGAGAAACAAAAGGTGCTGATATTGCATAGATAATAAAATGAAGGAAATACTGTTTTTCTTTCTCTTTTTTTTTTTTTTTTTTAGCTGTTAGCTGCTGTGTATCTAGGTGGATGATCCTGAGGACCATACAAATTCTGGAATTCTGCAAATATAAAGTATTTTCAGGGCTTCCTTTCCCAACAGATCTTTACAGAAAAAAAAAACAGTTGTCAGGAATGTCTGTCTGCTGCCTAAGGATTGTGAAGAGTTCTTCTGCCTGTTGCTCCCAAACAGCCTTTTCAATATAAGCACATTGCTTTTTATCCTAACAAACAAAACTTTTGTTTTTACTTGTTCTTTTTGTAAGTTCTGGTTCACAGTGCTCCAGAAATTACAATCCCATTCATGACTTGCCCTAAAATACCCATCACATGACAGGCATGCTTCGTTGTGACTCCTGGAACTCATTTGTCTTGAGAGAAGTCCAAGTTCTGAGGCTCATACACCAGTTTAAATGTGTGCCCTGCATATATTATGGAACGGGTTTGATGCTGTCAAATGGATGTATTTTAACCAAATAAGAGGGTCAGGTTGTGACTCTTCTTTGCGGGAACTCCTTTACAACCAAATGAGGCCTGTTTTGACTTTGCAGCTTGAAAGTCTTGCAGGAGTCCAGTACATGTGTATCCCAAGAGACATCTGGCACCACGGTCCCGCTTCAACAGGCCTCGGCTCATCTTCATTGTGTTCTGAAAAGAGAAGAAAGAAAACAACGTTTCGGCTGTGGAGCCTTCTTGCACCCAAAGAAGGCTCCACAGCTGAAACGTTGTTTCCTTCTCTTTTCAGCAGGGAACAAACCTTTACTTGTTCCTTTGCAGCCACCGCCTGCTGACGCAGCTCCCAACCTGAACTACTTCATTGTGTTCTGCCTCTCTGGGAAGGAAGTCGGGCTTTTGAACCTTGAATCTCCCAGAACGGCACGTTTCGGTGAACAAAAGCGAAAAGCACAGAGCTCAGTTTTGCGTTTTGCAATAGAAGAGATGATTACCTGTTTGCTGAATGTGCTCCGCGCTCCCTGGTTATGTATTTAAAAAGGCAAACACATTGCACAAAGTTCTTTTCCACCTTTGTCTTTTCCTCGGTCGTGCTATTCGTGAGAGAACAGATTGTTTGAGCACAGGTATTTTTCTTTCGGTACTCTGGCCCATCACGTGGCGTTCTAGGTGTGGTCACACCCGTGTAATGATCCAGGGCCTCATAATGTTGTTTTTACTTCATGGAAACGCAGGACCGACGAGTTTCTTCGCGACGTTGCCTTGTGACAGCTCCACGGTATTCCTGATTTTATTTCCCCAGCTCACGTTGTTGTGTGGGCCTTCGTCTCGTTGATGCCGTAACAAGCCCACCACTCCATTTCTGCTCCTATGCTGATTACTTCCAGTCCTTACGAAGAGGATCTACCACTCATCTGTTTTCCCCTCCGCTTCCTCCAATTTTCAATTCAGTTTATTTTTATATAGCGCCTTTCACAACCAGGTTGGCCCAAGGCGCTGAACAAAGCTGTGTGTGACAGTACAGGACGTTACAGTACAGGAAGAGAAAAGGCCAGGAGACGACGGAGGAGAGGGACCAAAAACTCCTCTGTAAGGAGGAAAGAAACCTCTAGGGGTCCAAGGTCAGCTGGCTGCCCGACCCCTCTGGGCATGCTCATATGATACACTTCTACAGAAGTACTAAATGTGGAGTATTAAGTCTTCCATCAGGTCCTTCTGTGTGCCAGTACCACATGCAGTTCTCTGTCGACCAGCAAGTCCTCCTAAATGCCAGCTGTAATACAGGGTAGCGGGGGAGCGGGAGCCCCTCCCAGCAAGCAAAGCTGGGGTACACCCTGGACAGGTGGCCCGTCCATCGCAGGGCACACACACACACACCAGGGGCAGTTTTCACACAAGTCACTTAACCCACCAGCATGTCTTTGGACAGGGGGTGGAAACTGAAGCACCCAGAGGTAACCCACACAAACACAGGGCCACGTTCCAAGGTCACACCTCCATTTGTGGGACAAACATCTGCACTCCAAACCTTTCCCCTTTCGATTTGTCATTTACCCCGGGACACAACAGGGGGTTAATTGCATGATATCCAGTGACCAGATGATCAGTTACATAATTTCCAGATTTCTAGCGACCAAGGGGGGGGTGCCTGTCTCTTATTCCCCGGTTGTATAATTAAGAATACAAAACGTGTGTTCAAAAACACACTTGTTTTTATTTTGGTCCGTGCGCGTTGGTGCTGACGAGAGGGACACTCATGGTCACACAGCAGCTGAGAGAGAGGAGGGGGGAGGTCGGTGCCCGAGCCCGACTGCGCTGTTCGTACGAGTCTAGTTTTGTGTCAAAGGCGTCCTTCCCCGACGAAGAGAGAAGAAAAAAGACCCCGCGTGTACACACACACACACCACCGCAGCCGGGGTGGGATGTCCAACATCCACGCAGGTCTCTTGCAATCCCCACTTTACGGTCGCGACACGGCGAGGAAGACATTCCAGCCCCCTCCCCCCGGAGAGGGAGGCTCTCGCGAGGGCGGCGCGGGCCCGGGCTCACGTGACCGCGCGCGGGGGGGGCTTAAAGGGGCCTCACGTGACTGGGACGCTTCTTCCTGGTACAGCGGCGGACAGAGGGAGAGAGACGGATTTCTGCGAGCGGGTCTGGGCCGGGTCGATCGCCTTCGGAGTGCGAGGCTGAGATAAAAACAAAAAACAAAAAAACCCCGGGGATACAGCTCAGGACGAGTGGGAAGGAGGCGCAGTGCGTGGCTCGGCGGCGTGGAGGCCCCTTTGCGTGACTGTCTCGTCGGCTGTCCCAGTCCACCGGGGCCGTGTTTTGCGTGATCTACCGAGTCAGCCGCGCTCTGACGACATGGCCCAGCGCTCCGGCAAACGCGCTTTCCTCGCCGGGATGGCTCTGCTGGCTCTGCTGGGTGAGTGGCGGCGGCGGCCGTGCGTGGGAGCCGTGTGTCAGCCCGGTTGTTTCGTGTTGACACAAGGGCGCAGCGGGGACGGGCTCGGACGAGACGCGCTGCTCTCCAGGAGACCCGGGCGGCTGCTGTGTTATTGGTTTGGCCGTCCGTACCGGGTTGACCGGGGCAGCTAGCCAGACCGCTAGGCTCTCTCTCTCTCTCTCTCCTCTCCCACTCCCCATTTTCTGTTCCCATGTTTCAAAAGATAAAACCTGACATTGCGCGTCTTTAAGTAGCCGAGCAGTGGCATTTTCAAGGAGGGTACGTAGCACCGAGGGACCGCCAGCAGCCAAACGGAGCCTGCTTTCGGTTTTCCTTTTAATAGGAATAACGTCCCAATAAAATAACATTTTTGACATTGAGTGTTGCGTTAAAAAGAGGAGGAGGAGGGGGTGCAGCCGCCCCTCCCGGTCGTGTTAAGTCGCGACGTCGGTGGCGCTCAGGTGCGAGCGAGCGAGCCGCCTGCTGGCCGCGGGCGCGAGGAGGGAGCGGGGCGGCGCGCGGCCGGTCCATTGTCTCGGCGTCGCCTCACGTGACGGCAGAGGCGCTCGGTGAAGACGACGAACAACAACAACAACAACAACAGCAGCAGCTCCGGCAGCACAGTGGCCTCGCTGTCTGTCCGCCCTGCGGCGGCACCCGACCCCAGAGGGAGCGGGGCTCGCTGGCTGTCCGTCTTCGGCGAGCCGTGAACGACGTTTCATAACAAAATTAAAAAAAAAACGCCGGTTCCGGTTCGAGCTTGGGACTTACTGGCGCTGACGCCTTTCCAATCGCCGGCGTGCGTAACCTACCCGGGTGTAAAAAAAACACAACAAAACCTAAAGGTTCCTGCTTTCTCGGGGGTGGCGTTTAAGCCTGCGTTAAGGTCTTTAAATGCGCGTAGTGGGTTCTGGTGTCCGCACGGCTTCCCGGGGAAAGGGGTGTTCACGCACGACTTGAACGGCTCCACGCGTGAACCCCCCACAAGGAGACGGGCCCTGGGTTTTGACAGTCCACCAGTGACGCACACAATTCGTGACAAAAGTGACGATGCCCGGCAGAGGAATCCTACTCTGTTGGGCCCCTGAGCAAGGCCCTTCACCCCCAACTGCTCTAGGGGTGCTGTATAAATGGCTGACCCTGCGCTCTGACCCCCAGCTTCTCTCCCTGTCTGTGTGTCTCATGAAGAGCAAGCTGGGGTACAAATTCCTAATACAAGAAATTGTATATGGCCAATAAAGTGATCTGATCTTGGGTTTCAGTTAGAGCCAGGTAGTTAAAATAACGCTGGAGAGATTCTCTTTTTTCTTTGTCACCTGGCTTCTTCCAAATACCTCTTTAAAATCACATCTTCCTCCCAGGAGATGTGAAACTGTTCTGTACCCCCGCTGTCCAGGTGTCTAGTTAATGTCGTGACCTAGGGAAGGGGCAGCCAGGTCTGGTGGGGCTGTGCACTTGATGCCTCTTTAATTGCATGAAAAAACATGATAAATGAGAGGCTTTTTTTTTTTTTTTAGCACAGTGGATGATTTTGAAACTGGTTCTGCCAGAGTTGTTCCATACCTGCCTTTCCTGGAAAGATAAACATTGTTCAGAGGCAACAGGTTGATAAGTCCTTTGACACTGAATGCTCTAAATAAAGCTTTCTGCCTCTTGCGTAATTATAGCCTGGTTATGAAGCGCACTCTTTATTGCCACACCAGTCCTTACCCCCCCGCGCAGGCCTGCTGATCTTTTTTTTTTCGTTTGTTTGAAATGATATTTTGTGACATTGCGCTACAGTCCTGTTCAGTGTTTGTTTTGATCTGAAGGTGAGGTTCTAGCGTGACCGTTTGGCGTCGGCAGTGACGCCTGACGTGGGGTTAATATGAAACCTGAGCTCTCCGCTTGCAGCCGGAGCTGAAGCCCTGGCCGGAGGCCGCTTTGGAACCGAAGGATGGGGACGGCTCTCGGGAGGGATGGATCTGTTCCCGTTTGCAGCGCGGAAATCGTGCGATAACTTGAGGGTTTTTTTATTTTTTTAGAACGCAAGTATTATGAATATTTCTTGGAAGCTCGGGTCTTCTTGATGGAGGGTCCAATGGAGGTCGCTCCTGAGTGGGGTTGTGCTCGTCCGGGTCGGTCGGCCTCATCCCGCTGGTCCAGTGTGACAGGATGGGGGCGTGGCCCCTGCTGGGAAGGCGGTGTCACTCGTTGTTGGTGTTCTTCTCCCCTCCCGGGAGCACTCGGTGTGAGAGGGGAGCGGAGATCCAGAGTGAGTGGGCCGTGTGCGCCCGCAGCGGTTCTGTTGAGGCTGGAGGGCCTTTGCTCTGGGTACAGTTCTCTGGAGGCAACGGGGGAACGTCTGCATGCGAGCTCCTTGCATCCTGCTTGCTGGACGTGCACCCCTTTAAACCCATAACGGTCTCTGGGGCTCTGGACAAGGGGGTTAATAACGGGGTTCAGTTGTCGGCGCTGTCGTTGGAAAGCGGTCACTGACGCCGTGTAGCTACGCGGTGGTGTTTTAGGCCTGTTCGCCGGGGTTAGTCCGCTGACCTTCTGTGGGAGCCCGGAGGCCAGGTGGTCAGGCCTTGACCGAAGGGGGGAGTTCTCAAGAGCCTCTCCTTCAGTTCTAACTTAAAAAAAAAAACAAAACAAAGCCTGTTTTCTGAAGTTGGCTTGTGAATGTGCTAGTTTAGGATGGGGAAATGAAGGGGAATTTAGGGAATTGGCTTGTGGGTAAAACATTTGAGTGAATCAGTTCTGTGGAGTGTGTGGGGATTTTGGTAAAAGGTTGGGCTTCTCCAGTATTTTATAGTTTTTGTCACACATCCATTTAAACTAGACCTGTGGTGCCTTTTCAAGATCCCGGTCTCTGTGATGTTGTGTTTTGAAATGCGACCATTTGCACTCCTTGTCCAAGGAAAGTTTGGAATGCTTCGGTCTTGATCACTGATTAAACTACCAGAGCATTATGACATTTGGTCAATATTGATCTTGTAGACGTGGAGGGCTGGATAACACTTCAAGCTGTGGGAGTCCAGTGAATGTAGAATCACTGAACTAGTATTTGGTGTTTCGAACACTGAAGCATTTAGGCTGGCAATGCACTGGCAGAACTGTACTCTTCTTCATGTGGGAAATCACTTGAAGTGCCTCCTTGAATGCTCTAATCGAGTTTAGCTGTAGTTATTCAAATCCAAGATGGGGAAAACATTCCCAGGGATGGGATGCTGGAAGTTGAATCCTGCAGGGCGTCTAGCTTGCGTCTCATGACCATGCCCTGTGTTGAAGAACTCTTTGTAGAGTAGTCTCAGGTGAGTGTGGCGCTGTTTAATGCGCAGTTCTGTTGTCGTTTGTGTGCGAGGAGAGCATGCATAACCGATGACGGCTGTTATCTGACCTCAAGTTCGCCGCTTTGCGCCGGCTGGGAAGCCAGTGTCTTGTTTATTGGCTGTAGCACGTTTCCTTTCCAGCTGTCCTTTGACCAGAACTGCTGTTGGTACAGTGCCTCCTGCTCTGTAAGCAGGTTTGATATCGGTGCCTTGCACTTAGAGGTGACGAGAGGGAAGGTTTTTCAGTGCAGCTTCTTCTTTTAAAGGAAGAGACTTGGAATCGTCGAGTGAAGAATTATAAGAAGAACTATTTTTTTTAGTTTTGCACCTACAAGTGTTCCACACAAATAGCATGGTTTTGTAGACTGCAGGAATTCACTATTGAGTCACATTGTGGAGTAATGGCTATATCTAAATAGAAATCTTCTCATCTTTGTTCAGCATCGGTGGATGAATGTAGGTAGCCAGTGTTTACATGTACAGTCCTCGCCCCCTTGTACGTGAGCAGAGCTTGAAGGTGGCAGTAAGCTAGGAGGGTGCTAGAGGAGGGGACAGTTCTGTTGCAGAAAGCAGTTCAGCAGCACAAACTGACATTATGTGAAATGTCATGTGGAGGGTAAGATCTGGTAAAGAATGATGGGTTTTCATATGAAATCCCCATGGTCAAACCGGTTCCTCTCTAATAGAGCTCAGCTGTCCCTTCATTCTCCCCTTGCCAGGCTTGTGGTTCTGTGAGAGCTGGTGCTCAAAGGCCCCCTGCTTGCTCGCTCTCGAGACTGAGCCCAGCAGCTGACAGGTTATACCTACACTGGCCAGAATATTGGGATCCCCCCCCCCAAAGAAAAAACTTTGTGGAGGCTTGTGACATTTGTGTATGGAGATGATCAGCTATTTTCTTTTGAAAGAGAAAACTTAAACTCCTTTTCCTTTCTGTTTGGTCTCTATTGCTGTCAAGATTTGTCATAAAGCACGCTCACTAAGTATTTGAATTTGTCTTTTAAGGCCTGTTGGGATTGGGATTCAAAGGAGCTGCTGTAGCTATTGCATTGTGCCTTGAGTGATTAGAACACTGAGCTTACAGTTTGTATGTCTTTAAGCCTCATTTGGATCCTGCCTGTGTGATTCAGGCTGAAAAGCTGTCGTCAGCAGCTGTGGGTCAGAGTACGGAGGGTCACGCTGTTGGTGTGACTGCAGGAAGGCAGTGTCATGTTCCACATGTCTTCCTCCTGCGTTCGCTACAATCTGAGCTTGAACGTGACGACGGGGCTTCTGGATTTGGAGAGGAACACTGATTTGTGCAATGCACAATTGTGGTGGGACTCTTGGGTTTACAGTAACATGGGCGGGCTTTACTGGAAAGATTGAGTGCAGTACTGGCAGAACTGCGCGTCCGTGATTAGAGACTTGCCGCCTCGGATCGCTTTGTAGCAAGTAGTTGGGTGGTGCAGGAAAAGAGTAAATACAACATGAGATTTATCCCATGGTTTACTGCCTCATGGTACTGTTGGGCTTTATAAACAACTGTCTGAAATCCTTATTGTGCGCTGTTTGGATGGATGTAATCTTTTCAGACCACTTTAACTGTTAATAAGGTACAGTGCACTTGCCAAAATAAAGTAGAGCACCTCAGTCCCTTTTGCTGCTTATTCTTTTGCTGGTGGGAAGAAGTCTTTCGTGTGTACTCCGGGCTGTTTTTTAATTATCCCCTTCTGGACATGAGTTAGTCCAATGCTTTACTGCATTACCCATGCTTCCACACAGTCATAGAGCAGTTTTGTCAAGATGACAAGATGACCGCACTGCCGTTGCTCTCAGACTGGGCTTACTGCCTTCATCATGGGGAGTCTGTTGCGCCCCCTTGTGTTTCCATCACAGACTGGCATTTCCTTGAACACGGCTAAATCTGCTTTGGCAATACTTGGAGTTATTGAGGGGGGGTTAATTTGAGCAGGGTTTTCTTTTTCATTTCCCCCCTCATGTGGAGACATTTGCGTTTTTTCCATGTCCCTAGATGGACTCCGGTTAAATTCTGACGCATTCAAATGCTTGAAAAGCTAAGAAGATGAATTCCTCTAAGAAACCGCTGGTGACTGCTGCCATTTTTAAACACCGGGGAGGCCCCTATCCGTACCTGTATTTGCCAGGGCTTCTGGGGCAAGTTGGCCCGTTCCCTGCCCCCGAAATGATCATCCTCTCTTGTCTTTCAGGTTGCCTGCGCCCGGTGCACGCTGTGGTCCTGGAGGTGAAAGAAGGGAACGTGTCCTGTATCATAGCTGACCTCTCGGCTAACTTCTCCGTTCTGTACAGCCTTAGCAGTGGCACGGTATGATCCGATTCCGTCATGGATACGTTTCGCGTACATCCCTAACCGAGCAACAGATCCAAGAGCTTCATGGCACTCCCTCTTGGATAACGATTGACTAAGTAACTTGCGAATCACACTCGTGTTGATAGTTTCCCAGGCTTCGGAAAATGAAAGTCATGAATGTGAAGAGTACGGTTGAGGCACTGTTTGGGTTTTGCAGCAGTTGGATTGATGTTAATGTGTGCTGTGGGGCTTTGTGTTTTTTTTTTTTCAGGGCACAGCGCAGTTGGTCCTGCCCAGCTCGGCAGAAGTGGACAAGGGCAGCAGATGTGGGAATACTTCCCTGTCCCCCTTACTGGTAGCCAGCTTTGGAAATGGGCACTCTCTCAGCCTGGGCTTTTTTAGGAATGAGACCAAGTATGGCGTGGGCACCCTGAACGTTACCTTCAACCTCAATGACAACGTGACCTTTCCTGACGCAAAGAGCAAAGGCAAGTGGGAGCACGTTGGTGCACTGTGATCGTGACGCTCGTGCCAACTGAAGGGCCGTGTCGACGAGCGCGGGCACTCGGGTTCTCCTGCAGCCTTATTAGTTCTGCCCTCCGTTACTCTGCTTGTATACCTTTGGAAACGCATCCTTCTGCGTTTACTTGAGCGTTGCCGACGGTGTCGGGCAGGTTGGTTGAGGCGTTTCATACTGCAGTTCTACAAGGTCCAGCAAGCCAGGACCAGAGAGAGAATGCAAAGACGAATAGCTTTTTGAATATTTATTGAAGCATCTTTCAATTGTACACATGAGGTCTTGTTTTACAGAGCAGCCGCATTTTCATGGCAGAAACTCTCCCGCACAGGGTTGTGAAGAAATATTTCTGCATTGATAACATTAATGAAATTTGAGCTTCAATGTATGGTCCCTAAATCCTGTAACAAAAGGGGCAAACTAGTAACAAACCCTGCTGGGTAAAGACAGGTTTAAGCGTGGGAACAAAGTACTTTTTTCCCGGAAGTGGAACTGCAGTTTGAACTTAGTACCTGACTAAAGATAATTTGCTACAAATGTGGGGTACAGTTTTATAAAAGAACATTTGAAAGCCAACACTGTTTAGTTTTGTTGGGTTGCATGCCGGTAAGCTGGACTTGGCTTCTCCGTACTGAATCATCTGCCCGAGTATTGATCAGCCTTTCGCCTCGCTTGACCTGGGTCAGCTGACCTGCTGCGAGGGGGTTGAGGATCACCCCAACCCTCATGAGGAGAAGCTTTCACACAGCCAGAAATGTGGACCCTGGTCACTGTAGAGCAACCTGAGACCCGGGCCAAGTGCGAGTGTGGAAAAGGTTTTTCTTGAGGATGCATCTTTTAATGTTAACCACCTTTCCACCTCATTTTACTTTTTGTACCGGTAGTAGATAATGCAGCTCTGCTTCGCTAGTGCTTTAAAATGTTGTGCCCTTGAATGTGTGTAATGTTCTTTCGCTGCCCCTCTTCTCCGTGCAGATCCACTGAACGCGTCAAGCAGCTCCACTGGTATCCTGGCTCAGCTGAACACGACCTACAGATGTATGAGCACGTCGCGGGTGGTCATGGACGGTGTCAACGTGACATTCACAAACATGAGGGTGGAAGCTTACGTAAAAGCCAATAACCTCAGCAAAGAAGGTATGTGCATTGTGTGTGCTTCTTGCTCCGTTTCAGTCAGGTTCCTTAACCACGCGCACACACACACACTTCACAAGGAAATGGTGCAAAGTAGTGCTGAAACAAAGTATGTGAAACGTGCACTTTAATTCTGTGGCTGAGGCCGTCTGCTGCTCATGTTACCACCTGAGATTAACTACTGAAGCGTAGCAATTTACCTGATGGTGGGACGTTTGAGTTGAGTGTGATCTGAGAAACCTGTGGGCGTCTGTGCCTCTAGACCAGTGTTATTGGCTCTGGTCTGAACTGTTATTTAATCTGTGGGTGTGAGATTAAGTAATGAAGAAGGTCTTCATAGACTTCCAGTGGCTTGCACATTTATAAAATAGGTTGCATGCACTTGAACGTTAAACCGCTCTGAAAAGGCTTGGGGTGTGTTTTCTGATGGAATATTCCATTTAAAGTAATATGAGAAATGCATAGAGCATCACAAAGGATTTGGGGTTTAAGGCTTTTAGACCCAAAAAAGCTCTTTTGAAACGTTTGTTTTCCCATCAACCTCTTTATACGACTTTCTTGAAGCTGGATTACATTAGTAGGTTGAAGCATCCATTGTTCCAACGTTAAAATAGTTGGAAGGTGAGTTAAAGTGCAGTGCGAAATACCCTTCAGTCTTCCCACAAGCTATAGTCATAAGTCATGAAGATTGGGCAATGCATTCTTAACATGGAGCAATTCAGGAACTTAAGATGATTTTTACATGCACTTAAATAAACATTGTTAGTGTGACAGGTTGCGCTTTAAAAGTCATTGCCTAACACCGTACTTCTTGTTGGTTTCTGAAAGTTTTATTTGAGATACTAGCTAGTCTTCTCCTTGTGTAAAAGTGGAGTTTTACATTTTCACGGGTGTTAATTGTCATTTTTCTCTATAATGATGTTGCTGGGAGTGGTACAGTAGTTGGGCCAGCAGTTTGGAGTAGCCTGTAAGGAGTATGAGTAGTTGAGCTGGCCGGAGTGGGGAATTAAAGGCTGCAGCATTAGTTGAGAGGCAATGGTATGTTAGCCATCCTCTCTGAAGCCGTTATTTTGAAGAGTTCTTCAAGACGTCTTGTTAAACCATCTTTAAAATGAAACTTGGAAGCCTTCTAGATCTGTATTCCTGATGGAAATCGGGGTGCCTCATATGTGAAGGTCCCCTGAGCTGCACCATTCCACATTGGGCAGGACCATAAGGTACTTTTTTATTTCTGTAGAAACTGTTTGCGCAGCAGATGCCAGCGCTACCACAACGTCAGCCCCTAAAACGACGCCCGTCACAACCACGCCCGTCACAACCACGCCAGTCCCAACCATGGCCCCCGGCAACCCTTTACCAGGCAACTACAACGTGACCAATCAGAACGGCACCTGCCTTCTGGCTGCAATGGGCCTGCAGCTGAACTTCACCTACTTCTCTGCTGTGCGCAACAAGGTACAGTGCGCCGCCCCTCTCCCCACGTCCCCGGGGAGGCTGGTCTTCTGCTGGGAGTGAAGTCCCAAAAAACTGCGCCTGATTAGATTTTTTTTTTTACAGCTGCTACCGCAAAGGTTCAGTAGTGAGTGTGGACAGTGGTGGCTAGGATTAAATGGGAAAAGATGTTTAGAGTGGTACAATAATGAAACAGTTTTGGAAGAAGTGTTAGCGATACGGTTTATTGGCCAGTAACCATAGTGACAACGTCCCTCAAGCTCAGGCTGATAAAAGTAAGTCTGCCGTGTTCCATTGCATCGCTTGGTTTTGTGTGGTTTGTTGACTCGGACTCCCCGGGCTCTTGGCAGACTGTGCAGGACATCGTGAACCTCCAGCCCAACGTCACCAAAAGCTCTGGCTCCTGCGAGGCCAGTTCTGCCACCCTGATTCTGATGTACGAGAGAACCAACCTGACCTTCACCTTCACACTGGTAAGCAACCCGGTTGTGCCTCAATTCTCACGTTGACAAAAAGCGAGGTCTAGGTCTTAAAAGGGAGCCGTGTCTCATTTTAGTGATGTTGTGGAAAAACTACTTCAAACGTCATCATGCAGTAGTGCATGCACACCAACACTCCGCATTAGAGATGTTTCTTCTGCTCCCACCTGAATTAATGTTCCTTTCTCGGTAACTTTGCCTCTCGCTGTGAAAGAAATGTTTCTTTTCTGCCCGTTAATAAAAATGGAACATGTTGTTTGAGCCCCAGAAAGATACTGAAACCTTCACCCACATTGTCATGATATCAGATTTATACGGTGTATTCCAGAAGGTGGCAGCACAAACCAGTTTAAAATGGAGGTGTGCACACTGCAGGGAACCTATCTGGTGTAGTCTGTTCTGATTTTATTGAACTCATGTGTAAAGGATAAATGATACATTTCCTGTGAATTGTATTACATTTTATTTTTACACTTGAAGATTATAGAGATAGGTTTGTTTCAAAACATATTCCTAAATGTAATTTCCAACTAGACTTTAAACAGTTTGCACATTACTGCATTACGGAGCACAGGTTACTGCATTACAGAGCACAGGTTGCTTCTGGCCACAGCTAGATGTCACTGTTTATAGTTTGTTAGTTACGGTTGAATCAGAGTCTCAAACTGAAGGCTGAGGCCCTCCAAACATCGGCTGTTCAATCTGACTTTGCTAGTAGCCACGCAAGTTGACAAATTACAGAGAATATAAACTGAATATAGCTAGGACTCTTCCTTCTCTAAATATTTAGAAATGGATTTTGAATGCACTACCTAAAATTGCACGCTGTCTATGCTTTTTAATATAAACGCTTTGTGCATTGCCCATTGTCCATGGCACATTTTCTTTAAAGTATAAGGTTTTCATTTATTAAAGCATTCTTTATTAATTCTGAGGGCACAGGCTTTTCTCTAACAATTCCAGTGTTTAAAGGCCACAGTGTGTAATCTGTTCTGCTAATATATATGCAGTGCTTTATTTGAGGCAAGATGAAATCGCTTGCCTCTGTGGCAGCCTGAGCTGGAATGTACCTTAATGCTATTATATTGCACAACTGTTTAACAACCAGCCCTTGTTTTTATGATCGCATTTGCTGGAGAGTAATATATTAATGTAAGTACACATACCTTTTTCCTTTGCATCGTGTAATGACAGGACCATTTTTTTTTTATTACCCATAATCTTAAGTTGGCACCTAGGATGTAAAATGAATAGACCCCTTCACAATAGCCACACCGCGTGTATTAGGGGGGAATTAATACTGCAAAATGACCGATCACAGAGCATTAGCTTAGGTGGGTGGATAAGACAGGTGTACAAGGTCATGCCAGGGCTTCTGCCACATGTGAAGCTGCTCATGTTGACCCTGAGGGTGAATTCAGATTGGTAACACTGCAGTGAACTTTTTTTTTTCCCCCAGAATTCTACAGTAAAGAAATACCACCTCAGTGCCCTCGGTGTCGATGCGTCCTTGCCGGACATGACTGGTAAGATACTCTGCCGGGCTCTTTAAAAAATCGTCAAATTTGAACGGGTGAAGGCAGCTGCTTAATGTCCCCCCCAACCCGTTTAACGGGCAACGGGGTCGGGGAGGACAGGCGGTGTTCCTGGGATTCAAGAGTTAGGCTTTCACTAACCGATCCTCCAAGACACTCCAGAGGGTCTAGCAACTGATGTACATGATGGAAAGGAGGCGTTGCCTGGTTTAGGGAGCACAGAAAGAGAAGAGGTCTTCCAGTGTCGGAGAAGGGGGGCCCTGGGCATTAACTATGCACCCCTGACAAGTTGGGGGGGCCGGAGAGCAAATCTACCTTTTCATGTGGGAAGAATTTGCTCTTCTCCTTCGCGCATTCTTTGTGGCTGTGGCACATTTCAACCACACTGTAACAGCTGCCGCTCGCCACATCTGGCTGTATGCAACGAGCGAGGGGGATCAGCAGAGCCGAGAGTAGAGACGTACCGTGTCGTTTCACATCGGCACATCGGCGTGACGGGCGTTTCTGTCTCCGCCGTGTCCGCAGCCCCCTTCAGCGCGAGCAACGCCACCCTGGATGTCCTAAGAGGCACCCTGGGGAAGTCCTACATGTGCAACTCGAAGCAGACCTTGGTGGTTTCTGACCGGTTCTCCGTCAATACCTTCCGGCTTCAGGTCCAGCCCTTCGGGGTCAGCAACAACCAGTTTGGGGCAGGTAAGAACCTTCAGTGACTGCCGAACGGGGGCTTTGTTTTCTGGGTAATTTTTATCCAACGGGATCCGCGGCAAAAGTTTGCTTCGACAGGATTGGGGTGTAGGACGTCTTGCCAAAAGGCCTCCAGAGGAAAAGGATGTCCTTGGAGTCGCCTCCCCCATCCTATAGAAAATAAATTAATTTTCCAAGATGCATAGAGTTGTTCATTTGATTTATACTTAAGAGAAACAGTGGCATCTTGTGTAAGCACATGAGGTGTCACATAGCCTCTCCAGAATTGTTGCTCTGGATTTCTCCCCTGGAGGACATGCAGGTGAGCCTCATGCTGTAGTTGCAGGTCTCTCTCCTAAACCCGGGCTTTTCTGTTGCAGCGGAAGAGTGCCAGCTGGATGAAGACAATATGCTCATACCTATAATAGTGGGTGCTGCGCTGGCTGGACTTGTGCTGATTGTCCTAATTGCATATTTGATTGGAAGGAAGAGGAGTCATGCTGGGTATCAAACCATCTAAATGCATCGTAAAGTGATGTCGAAGATAAAGGACGGTCAACCACTCTTACTAACCAGACTCTCAGAAGAACGCAGTACAAGACCTTTTAATTCTATACATACATTGTAAGGGAGTTTTTTTTTTTTTTAGTTGACCTAGGTATTGGCTTCTTGACACATGTATATGAAAATGCTATATTTATTAATGAGATGGAGCAGCAGTTTTGAATTGGCACTTTTTGACCTGAATTTGTGAGCACTTCTGGTATTGAGAGCACACCAGCATTGCTTGAACAGTGCTAGTTCAGCGATTTCTACATCCTAGGCGCCCATATGCTTGAGTCTCGCTCTGTTGTTTAATATATGGTAATGCTACACGTGCTCTTGAATCTGTAACAATTCCAGATTATTTTGGTGAAACCATAAGAACTGACTAATCTCGATTTGTACGTTGTCACTTATTTTCCCACCTTATGGGAGAGGAATTTTGCAGTATTTTATTTAGAGAAAATAAAACGCACTTATCATTAATTTGTAAATTTTGGAATAATTCTTAATGTTGGAAGTGCTAGTTCCAGGAACAGGATAAGGAAAAATCTTCATTGCACCACAGGAGCGATCACTCGTGGGGAAATTCTGCCTTTTCATTGCACCCCGTTGCTGTGTTAACTATTAAGGTTTATTTTTCCTTCACCAGTTTGCAATTCTGGTTGGTTTTTCCCCTTTAAGTTATAGGGGCTTGGTTCCCCTTCTGGATGTGGTGTACAGTATAACTCCTCAGGCCTTCTTGCTCCAATTGGGTTTGTTGCGGTTCCTTTGACTTTCCGTGCAGGCATTGATGGTAACGATGCTAATAAAAGGATTTTGGTTTGCTTTTTGTTCAGCGAATGTATTTTTTTTTTGTATTTCGGTTGACGTACATAACGACTGACTGCTCTTTTTCCACACCAAGGGGCTAGTAGGCTCCTTAAAAGGGAATTCTTGAATGTCTAACCTGGCTTTGCCAGTATTGGCGATGCTGGCTGTTGTACTCCCCTCCACCCCACCCATCGGTTTGTTGTTGGAGTTCAAGTTAATGCCCGTTTGTCCTGCTCGTGTGAGAGAGCAGCGACCTGATCCCGCCGGCCCGGCGAGATCGGGCCAAACCCCACGGCACTGTGGCTTTATCGGATCCGAAACCCTCGATGAAAGGGGCTGACTTTGAGAACACCAAAACATCCGTTCATGGCAGGACGGCGGCTGTAATGAAGGCGTGTTCAACGCCAGGCACCTCTGGGTGGCTTGTATCGGAGATCTCCGTTTTATTCGGCACCATTTTAGAGAGGGGTGCTGTGTAAAGGACTGCGCGTCCCTGCCTTGGCCCTCCTCCCGCAGTTGTCCAGGCTCGGGTCTGGGTCGCAGCCCGTGAGCTGGTGCTGTTCAAGACCACGTTTCTCAAGCTGCCCTGCAGGTTCCAAAGCCACTCGGGTCAAAACGATGAGCTTTGCGTTGCACAACGTGCGCTCTAGTTGTAATACAGACAGTGTTTAACCCTTGCCCAAATCATGTCCCGGGAGAGTGCATGTTGTAGAGGAATGGACAGGTGGATGGGGTGCTTACTAAAAGATGTGAAATACCATTTTCACTAATCCCTGGAATATATTAATTATATTCCATTCTAGTGAATTTTTTTTATTTTTGTAGGGAATGCTTCAATCTTTTTTCTATATGCATCTCAGTGAGGTAAATAAAGATGGATGACAAAGATCTCCCTGCCTTCAGTGTAATTTCTAAGCTTTCTGCCTCAAGATGTGTACACTGTTAACGTATTAGGGTGTGCTTATGCCTGAACTTGGACAGTGTGGTTTGGCTACATCTCCATTACAGTCACCTTTTAAAACTAGTTGGTATAGGATTGTGCTAAGTGAAGTCATTTAGAATTGATTTAAAATTCAGATGTCTTGTAGCTCTGAAGGACCACAGTCATGCCACCAGTGACCAACTGATTTGGCTTCATTTAAAACTTATCGTGGCTCTTATTCCAGTTGTTTACACATCGATTTAAAAGTGTTCTGCAGTGCCTCCTAGTCTGCTCCACTACCATAGCTGGCCAGATGTCAAATTTATACTCTGGCTAAAGGATTTCCAAAGCCAGACCCCTGCTGCCTGTGCAGTAGGCATCACTGTAGGGATTTAGGCCGCAGTAAATTCCTCTTTAAGTGACTTTGCTTATGAGCATGTGTGAAATACCAGGTGGAGCTACTTCAGATTGTTTTAATCTGTTCCAAGCTTTCACCACGGGAACCATGTGGACTTCTGCCACTGTGCCGAGGGCTATATTCTTGTTGTTTTTTTTTTTAATTTGATTAAAACTTTAAATAAAATACATTTACAGGAATTGATATCCCTACAAATTTCAACACTAAAAAAAATTGTAGAACAACTCCTATGAAGATGGACTCCCTAAAAAGAATCTTTGGTGTCCAGCTACACAGAATCCTGCCCATTTACTGAAAGTGATTACAAAGCAAATGAGGATCTCTCTCTATCAAATTACTAAGCAGGTTTATATCAAATGTGAGGTTGTCTAACTCTACTCATCACCTCAAGGCTGTGTCACTTCTAGAACAATGCAATTATCTATCCTTCTGTTTTCTAACTGCTTCCTGCTGGTGAGAGCTGCAGTGGCAACAAGACAAGCAGGGCAGATGACTCCCTTTTCTCCAGCAACAGTCTCCAGCTCCTCCTGAGGGCCCCCTTGGAAAGAGAATCGCATGGGCCTGTCCTCAATCTGCCCTAGGCTCTCTCTGCAATGTGCTGGGACTGGTACACCTTTAGGGGGAGACATCCAGGAGCCATTCTCCTGCGATGCCCAAGCCACCTAAGCTGGCTCCTCCTCCTGGACTGCTGTGATCTTCAGGCTCATGGACCGTAAGCCAACCACCCCTCCAGAGAAGCCACAGCTGCTGTGGCTCGTAGCTGCAGTCTCCTTCTTCCAGTGACCACGGGTGCCAATGGGGCCGAAGAGGGACGGGAAAACCGAGAGCTTCGTTTGAGAACCGTGCCAGTGTGGTTCACTACCGCGTCTGCATTACTGCAGCTGCTGAGCCATCTCGCCCTCCTGAGCAAGACCTCCACTGGGGGCAGGGGCGTGTGGCTTCCCCTGGAGAGAACAAGCCCCTTTCCCAAATCAGAAACCATGACTTCAGTTTTGAAGGTGCTGAGCCCTGTCCTGACTGCAGGCTGGCACAGTGGGCTGCAAAGCTCTCCCGTGCTCACCAGAGATCGGTTCACCTGGGGCAAAGAGAACAGCACAGATGCAGCCTTCCAGTCCCCATACTGGATATATGCAAAGTCTCAGCTGCACTCTGCTCACGCAGATCAGGACCAGGAGAAGAGACAAGACACACCCTTGGCAGAGCTCGATACCCGCCTCAAATGTTATTTGCTCCTCTTATCGCAAATAATGTGAACACAGCTCTCGATCCATGAATACAGATGTAAGACAGCACACGGAAGTGGTCCAGGACCCCCCCGCAGGACACACAGGGGTGGCAAACCCTGCCTCCACCAAATATCCACTAATCCGCTAAAAAACTACAGCAGACAAATTCATGACTTAATTTTAATGCATATACAAAACAAATCTTAAACAGTGCCCTGCACACATCTACTGAATACAAAAAAAAATACTTCAGCAGCGCTACATCCATTATAAAAAAGTAATCCTATTTGATAGGTCACGCTACATTTGCAGAAATAAGTATTCAGGAGAAGAAAATTCAAGTATTGTATACATCTAAAATACAGAACATTTATCAGATTCACCATTATAAAAGATTAAAAGGAAATCGTCACTGCCTCGCCGATTGTAGACAGCATATGAAAAGTGATAAAATTTTCAACCCCGATCTTTTCATACATTAAAAAGAGCAGTCTGAATAGAAATGTCACAGATCTTAAATCATGTTTTTTTTTTTACAAACTAAAACAATTAAAAACAAATATACAATAACAGTCTGGGACTGATACAGTAAAAGATCTCTCCCCTAGCAGTGCTGATTGATTTAGATACATAAACTGAAGGGACTGATTTAACTTCAGTGCAGAGTGCAGAAAGATGACCCAATGTTACAGATTGACAATGGTTGATAAATGCCATATTAAATATCCTTAATGAACTCTTACATTCTAAAATAGGTAAAGTGCAGAGGCATGAAGATTAAAAAGGATGAACTTTTATAGAGATTTTTTTACCCTTCAGAAGTACTCTCTCGGGCTTAAGACTAGTCAAAATCAGCATAAATCACCAGTGCACATCAAATATTTAGTCATTTGGTTAAACTTATATCTATTCATACACTACAGTGCAGATTTTGTACAACAATCTTTTGAAAGGCCGTAAACTGGTCAGGTACCTAACAGTCTTGGAAATTGGTAAAAGTTTTACACTCAGTGCAAAAGATATTGTACTGGAATGTTAAGAATCTTGCTACAGCATCTAGTTGCTCAGTTTGGAAGCAGTCACTGTTCCTGGGACAGGATTCTGGCTCTGCACATCTCACGGAGCTTGTTGACTGTTGTCATGGAAAGACTTCCAGGCTCTGTAAAGATTTTCTGAAAAGAGAAACATGGCTGTTTATTTCCACCTTGCTACAGGAATGTAGTATCACAGGAGTAACTATGTCATAAAGCAATTCACTCAAATGTTCAACAAGTGTGAGGACAAAATCATTTCAGATTGAGGAAATTTGATCATTTTAAAAGTATTAAAGCAATGCACTCAATTAAGAAAACACAGAACTGCAAATATTCATTATTTGCTTCACTATTTCTTCTTGGTATTGGAGCACAAAGTTCTGCATAATTTTCAAACCATAATTTTCCAAAAACAGACAAAATGCAGAGCTTTTCCCAACACCACATGGAACTCATAACATTTTCCAATCTATACAGGCTTATTCATGCACTGCGACTGGGAGGTAATTCAGAGGACATGCAGAGGAAAACATCTCAACATCCCACAAATCATACTGCTCTGTTCCTAGTTTCACAAGACTAGGCAAACCTAAAAGTCAGCACGGTTCATGAAAGCAAAATGCAACGGTTCTTTTTAAATCTCATCTTCAGCACCACCACCTGATTTTCAAGTAAGCCGAGAATTTCGCTCGGCATTCATTTTTTATACCCTCTTCTAGTTTGGGGGGAAATGCCAGTGCAAACCAGACCAGGGGGGATGAGGAACGTACAGCAAAGTCCGCATGGACCGAAGGAGCGTTTACTCACACACAAGTGCTCAGGAAGTCACAGGTCTAGCTGTTGCAGGGCAAGGCCAGGCTACCCTGGAGAGCAGAATCTCACCCAGACTGCAGGCACTTGGCCAGCTGGGCACCACTGCTTGGAGAATCCTCCTCAGCCAGGTAGCACCATGGACTACAGCCACAACCTGCCTCCTGAGCAACTGCCCTCACCAACTGAGCCCCAAGAGACAAACCCCCGTTTGTCACTTCCTCCCCCCCACACAGGAAAGCAAGACCCTCCAGGATGCCAACGCCACAAAACTCCAAGGGTTTTGCTTTGCCATTGATAGACGTTTTGGCGTAATGACAGCTAACCCGTGATGCAAACCCAGCATGTCAGCTTGCTTGCCATCTTTAGACGCTGTCTTCCCCAAAGCAAATAAGCTCACCTGCATGAACGCGTGACAGTCCTCCACAAACGCCCCATGGATGATCTCCTTGAACTTGTCACAGATATCTGGGAAGTTTTTGCCTTGCAAGATTAAAGCCTGGTTGTGCTTGATTAACGTCAAGGCCACGCGGAAGATTATTTTTGATCCCTCGTAGAACATGCAATCCCAGATTCTCAGAACGGTCTGTGAAGAAACAGAAAGTTGACAGGAGTATGAGCAATGCAGCGAGGGGCGAGGACCAGTCGTTGCTGACACTTTGCAGCTGTCATCAGGGAGGCTGGAAAGAAAGGGACAGCAGCTGCCAGAAAATCAATTAGGATTCATCAATTAATCATGCTTTCGTCTCTCAAGGGACATGCACAATTTACTTTCCATTGGCCTCATTTGTGAAGAATCTCCATTGATACCATGTAATCTGCAGAACTTGATGGACAGCAATATGGAATTTAGCACCCTAGCAACTATCTCACCATACCTTTCATCTAATGGATGATGGGTTCAAGACACTAAGACAATATTGACATTTCACAGAAACAAACTGATAACTTCTTGCTGGATGTGAATAGGTTTCTTGTAACTGGACTTACATCAGGGACAGCTCTTCTAGAAACTGCTTTCCCTGATGTAAGTCCAGTTACAAGTATTACAATTATAAATCTAATAAAATAACCTGACGCACTGAGAACATGCTTGGAACACCAGCCTGCAGGCCCCACGGGAATGTAGTTGGAGACCTCCGATTTAGACTAACCAGCCAGGAGCCAGAGACTTTGAAACCGTTTCCCACAAACAGTTCTCCAATTGACACTAAAGGGACAAATGCGTCAACTTAACATTTCTGCTTAATCAGACCTGCGGTACAAGACGTCAAGAATGGGTAATTGCACATTTATTTTTAAATTAACATTAGTTTGAAAACTAAATACCTACTTAGCCACCTGTATCTCAGATAAACAGGGCTCTTCATTCTCAGCTGTTCTTACAGCTCTCTGAGGTCGTGTTGGTTCTTGAGTCGGGGTTCTGAACCGCGGTCCAGGGGCTCTCACCTCCACAGGTAGGATGTCGATGAACAGGCAGATGAACCAGCGGGAGACCACCAGGGTCCACATGACGTTGTGCTGGACCATGATCTGGGACACTGCTGGCACCTTCAGCCTCACCAGCTCACCCAGCACCTCCTGGTCCGTCTTCAGGCCCAGCATGGCAGGAGTGTAATAATCTGCGGGAACACCAGTACAACGAGCCTGTCAACATCGGTGTGTTTCTCCAGCCTTCGCTCCCCGACTGAGAAAAGCACAGAAACCCCAGGAAACGACTTACAAGGAGGCATGACACTTACTACACAGGCTGTAGAAATTCCCTGTGAAGGGGAAAGCACCCTTGTTTTGCTCAAATATTATACCAGAAAATGTCTTCTGTTTGGGAAGCATTACAGGATTGTCAAAAAGTTGCTTTTGGGCTCTGTAGGCCCGCAATCTATAACCTGCTCAGAAATATTTTAAATGTTCAAAATTTTTTTTTTTTTAAAGATCTTCCTTCAGATAACTTGTAATTTGGAGTAACCGTTACAGAGACGGATTTTGAGACGCTCTTTCACAGGGTCATTTGTTTTGTCAAATTCCAAAGAGCCCAATTTATACATCAATAAAACCGCCCTGATCTTGATTACCCACAATCTATACAGTTGCAGGCAAGGCCATGTTTCACAGGTGAGGTGGTGTTATTCTGGAGCACCTGTAGTTCCTTTCTTTCGCCACACTTCAACCTTCGCACCACTTCAGTAAAGATTGATCTTGGTCACATCTGTTGAAACTTCTAACTTTATAAATCAAATAAAACATTATTCAGAAGCTCTCCTGGCTCACCTGGTGGAGGTGGTGTCATGGCCTGGACATGCCTGGCCCTCTCTGAGTAATAACTCACTCATTATTGATATTGTAACTAATGGTAGCAAAGGCAGAATGAATCCTGAAGTCTACAGAAACAGTTTACATAGAATAACCAAGTAGTGCACCAAGAGAAGAAAAGTATTGTCCTAGACTCTCCACATCTAAATCCAGCTGTATGAGCATTTGACACGCTGAAGGACAACCTCAAAAAGAAAAGTTAGAATGCTCCAAGAAGAGACAATAGAGGCCATTTTGGTTGCCTCACTCGAGGCTTAGTGTTGTAGCCAGGAAAGAGAATTTGAGCCGGAAGCTGGCAGGAGCTTGAGTTCTGTCCCGGCCGAGGTAAACCCCACAATCCCTCACCCCTCTTCTCTCCCAGAAAAAGACAGCTACCGCAGACTAAGCTTCCATTATTACACTGCTTTTAATGAGATTCCCTGGAGATAAAGTACGGATTGCAGGGCCACGTGACCCTGTTCCTAGTTATACATAGCTTGGGGTGGGCCGTCCACAAATAGAACAGACTGTTGTGCCAGTGTGAAGTGCTGTTCACAAGCTCTGTGCCCTTCTCAGAACAACTATCACTATCTCTTCACAATACTCAGGGGCTCTGCAAGCAGCTAAGGATGTTTTCCACATTCACAGACAAAATAAAAAAACAGCTGAATGCACAGACCCACACATACAACTGAATCTCGGTGAAAACAACTACCGCCAATCGAAAGCTCTTCTGAAATATTTTTTCCAATCCGCACCGCTGGAAATTCGTTTTCAGTTGCATTTCCACAATTGTTTTTATCCTCCTTCTCTGTGCATTAGCACAGCTCAGTGATGCAACTCCTCCCTCCACCTGTACCTCTGCTTAGAAAGAAATCCTTACAAACGCAAGAAATGTAGGAAACTTTCTCTTAGAAACCTCAAGTCCATCAGGGGATTTGGTTTTTTCCTTGCATATAATTTTGTGAAGTTTCAAGAAAGAAGGGGTTAATGAGAGGAGGAAAAAAGATCCACAGTATCAAACTCCACCGTCTCGAACAGTGGCATGCTATGGGCATCAGAGCACACAGTAATATCATCTACTAAAAACCACCGTTCTTCTATGAAAAGACAGACAACACCCAGTGCATCATAAACAATAAGAGGTTTTAAGTGCTGACTATTGAGCTTATGAGCATTAACATGACAGTAAAGGAAGTGACAGCTGGCAGAGAGTAAGAACATTACACGCCTTCAGATCAACTGAGGTCTTAAGAGCTTTTTACAACCGACATGGGGGTTTGTCTCTGTAGTGAACAAAACTAGATTCAAAACTCAGAAATCCTCTGCTGTAGTGAAAGGAATTCTCAACAGAATTCAGTTGGGTGTAGCTAAAAAAATTCAAAACAATCATACTGTGATTATATCTAGAGTGAAACCAATGATGTTTTTTGATTCCTTTCCTAACTTTAATACAGGTTAATTGACTTGGAAAGCATCCTGGAAATGAAAGATTCTTGAAAATGTTTTTGAGAATAAGTATTGAAAGGAAAACCCCCACAGCCCCAAAGTTATACAAGCCCGTTTTTTTACTTCAACCCCTGGGATACAATTTTTAAGCAATGGTGTACATAAATGTGATCATTTGATGTCAGTGCAGACTGCAATTTAGACGCGTTTAAAAATAAATCTGAAATAAATACAAAAACATTTTCCGGCAGGGACTGGGGACATCCTCATTTTAGGAAACATCTCACAGACGTTAGGAAAATTCCATTGAAAAACCCCAGTAGCCATTAGCATGCTTAAAGTTTTGAACACCGTTGTACATTTCATAAAGTAAATCTCACTATAAATGTTTTTCAAACATACTTTGAAGAAAGCTTTTGTCTTGCCTGGACCCTTAGGTCTATTGAACATGGAGGCAAACTAAAAACTGCCACAATGCTTCACAAGGGGTGACTTTCTTTTACATAAGCAGCACACAAAAGCTGTATTATGTAGGTCCAATTTGTTGTCAAAAAGCAGCCATGTCTAAAGTATGACAAGAACAAAAAGCTGAACTGCAAATCACAATGAAATGCTCTTTTCATTCTTCAGTCCAGGTTCAGAAAAACAGAGCTCCTGTGACTAGAGGCATGTACTGTACTCTGCCGAAGTTCGATGCGACTGTCAGAAACAATCTTCTGGTGGAGAAGCCAGGACCCTCAGGGTCCTCATTTGGAGACAAGGCTTAGCCCAGCAGTCCAGTGATGCTTTTGTGTTGGAAACTAAGCCCCAACGACATTTGACACAAAGACCCCAGTTACCCAAATTAATGTCTGGACCCTTGAGACACAAACTAGACTGGAAATAAATTCCAAACTTAGGTTATGAATGAACAAAACTAGAAAGAATCTTGTGCATTTGTAATCCTACTACTTTAATGAGTACCTGCAATAACCCCTTTACCACAGTAATCTGTGAAAGTCAGATCTTACTTTGGCTGTAGCTACAGAATTATGCTAATTCAAGCTTCTACATATTACTCACGACAGTCGCTTCTAATTAAACAGGTTATTGCAGCACCCCTGTATGATGATTAATGAGACATAAGGAGCTCGCTGAACTGCTGAGACTGTGGCTGTGAACAGTAGCATGGCATAACAAATCGCACATGCAGGACAGGAGGTGTAGCCCCCGTGCTCACAGCATTCGGACATCGCATTCAGCATTCCGGTTTCCTTGAGAATCTGGTGACCCAGAACGTGCAATTCACCTACTACAGCCCTGTGCAAAACAATGAACAAGAAACTACTGTTTTGCACATTTATTTTCTTCACGAGGGTTTTGTTGGCGGTGGCATCGATTTGTCACCTTTGCCTTACTTTAACTTCCCAATGTGACGATGGAACTCTTGCCTCGACCTCCTTTCTGCGACAAAGATTTTACAGAAAAAAAAACAAACTGGTCAGCGATCAGTAACTGCCCCCGACCCGTTTCTCATTGTTCCACCACGAATCAGAAGCCTCTACACCATGTCCAGCCCTCGCCAGACGTGGAGCGAGTTCTCCACTGAGCGGAGACACACAGCTGGCCCAGTGAGCTCCAGATCACACACTGGCACATCTAGAGTACAGCAGGGCCCTCTTGCCTGAATGTCCAGACTTGTCCATCACACCCAGAAACCAGTAATACACAAGAGATAATACTTAGAAGACCCAAGAATCACACTGTATATAGAGCTGGAGCCGATACCATCTCCTGTACTGTAGCTTGAGCAGCAGTGGAGTCCAGAGGGTTAACCACAGGCAGGCTTAAGGATCTCTTGCAATGGAGAAGGGCGAGGGATTAACCCTTTAACTCTTTCAGTGCTGAACAGAGAATATATCCAATATCTAGTCCAGGAAGAAGCCTTCCTGTTGAGATAACTGAATTGATCCACAGCCAATGGTATTCATCCAAATCACCCTGACACAAATTCAGATCTTCGTTTCAGAGGACGGTGAACTTTTTCGCAACATGGATCCAAGTTTAATTTTGGTAGAAGTCGGTATCATACAGTATACTGCATCACAGGTTCCTTATATTTCCTGTATCTTCACAAGTAGGCACTTCTACAAAGCAGTGCATGCTTAGACTCATTAGAAAGATTGCAACAAGTATTACATGATTTAACGTGCTCTCTGTGAGTGGGCCAACATGTACACTACGAAAGCCTAGTCCAACAACCCTGAATCCAAGAGTCACTTTAAATACTAAATGTCCTTCATTCCATCAAAACTTGGAAACTGCCTCTCTGCATATGTCCGCAAGAATATATGTAGCAGTGCATCATTTAAACATGGTCTTTCCTTGTATGCATTCCTGATTTGCATCTCAATCTCAACCATTAACAACATCAGCAGGGAAGGAACAAGGATGAAACATGTTTTCTGCCAAAAGTCCGCAGAGCCATTGGCCATTGTTCACATTGCAGGTGTTCCATAGTGCCTTGCAGGAGATCTGGTATCAAACAAAGGAGCAGTCAGGCTCACAGGTGTTGCTGCTGTGTGACAAGTCGAGGCCATCCTGACTGACATGAGTACAGCCTCCCATGGGGAAACATGCCAAATCTGTCATTGCCTCCAGGAAAACTCCAGTCACAGTCCGCCTACAGCAAAGCCTCAGACGTCAAGAAAGATCAGAAACACTCATTTAACAAGGGGCCGATCAGATCCTGAAATCTGGACAGTAAACATTCTTATTACGGCTGTTCAAATCCAAAATGGTTATCCAACAAATCCACACTCATAATCCAGAACTTGGTACCTTATGTTTCACACGGATCCACTTTCAAGAAACCAGGATCTTAGTGCGAGATTATTCAGGGACTCTAAACCCATGTAGAAAGATAAACACAAAGGGATATGGAAGGATTAAATCATTTTGACATCATGACGTCCCATGACAGCTTGAAAGATATCAATCTTCATTTTGTTATTTATTTGAAAACTGTTTCTGGGTTAGAGGTTTTGGGCACATGAACTCAAGTTAGGCCAAGTGCTGAGGAGCAGTGTGTTTCAGCCGGTCCCCCAGGCTGCGAGAGGACTCTTGCTGCTGAATGAAGTTCAGAAGGGCCCGTCAGCCCAGGGGGAGTCAGAGAAGAACTGATAACGTGGTTGACAGGCAAGGCAGCTTGAAAGCCTGCATGTCTCCAGCCCAGACTGTGCACGTGGTCAGTATCATGCCTGGTGAGTCTAGGGTCTGGCAGTTTAATCCAGCAACCCAGCTGCTACAGTATTAAAACCTGAACTAGAATATTTCATTTTCCTCCTAACAGGAGGTATGCTCCACTCAACCAATCATAATGGTTACTTTTTCATAAACTCAAGATGCCCACCTCTTCATTGAAAATCTTAAGAGGAATTTTAAAATTTTTACTAAAACTTTTTAGTTTATTTTTAGGAGAACCGAGTCGGTTTTCAATGGTACCGACAATATAGTACATGTAAACACTGACATTACATTTTTTTAAGTTGGTCTGATGCAGTGGACTGAGCGATGCCGGTTAGGGCAGAAACACAAAGAGGATGGTGACAATGACTCAGGCTGCGTACTGTGTGCACACAGCTCTCCTGCTAACTTCCCAGCTCCTCGTCCTCCTCAATCATCTCACGACGCGACACACAGCACGCACTGTGAAACGCCACACCACTGAGGGGGTTTTAAAACAATCTCCTCGGGTCACTCTTTCACTCCTCCAGGTCCTCTGGTTATCATCCAGTTCCAGAGCTTTCAGCTTCGCAAGTTTAAAATTACTGCTGAGGTGGCTGACGCGTGATTTCATGACCGGAGCAAGTAAGAAATGTGAATTCAACATTTCAGATGTATAAATCCTGCTCCAGGGAGGCTCTCTGGAGATCATCACACAGGTCACCTGCAGATATTAGTGCTGTAAGGCCTACCCTGTCAGCTCGGGTTAACATGCTTGAACAGAGCAAGGTCGTCTGGGAATCACCCCTCAGCTCACCCTCACCACACGACAGCTGTGGGAACTCAAAGTGCTTAAAAGATTTTTTGGGGGCTGTGAGCTTGAGTTGCCTTTATGCCTGGTGAGAAAATGAATATCGATCCAAATAACCTGACAACCGCAAAAGATGGGACACTTAGCGTTTCAAATGTTTTTTAAATCAGAGAAGGGCACCAACTTAATTTAAATATTTAACTTAAATACAAACGAGAATCAGGAAAATAATTCTTCCCATTTCACCGAAACGCACGAATTGAAAACTGAACTTCCCAGCCCTGTTTAAGCTTCATCACGTCACGATATCAGTTTTCAACAGAAGAATACAGCAGAACTGGAAGTAGAGTCATGTTAAAAGGAGAACTTAAATCATTTCTTTTATCCATCTCATAAAAAGTCATATGATGTGTGTGGGGGAAAAAAGAAGACAACACCCTGTCTTTACAATCAGAATACGGCAGTTATGTTCCTAACATAACATCACTTTATTAACCCTTTACAATTTCTTGCACATACCCCAGCTTGCTGTCTTTTGTCTTTTCACATACCCCAGCTTGCTCTCCATGAGACACACAGGCAGGGAGAGAAGCTGGGGGTCAGAGCGCAGGGTCAGCCATTTATACGGTGCCCCTGGAGCAGTTGGGGTGAAGGGCCTTGCTCAGGGGCCCAACGGAGTAGGATTCCCCTGCCGGCTGCGGGATTTGAACTGGCAACCTTCCAGCCACAGAGCCACTACTCCAGAGGAGCGGTCATCAATGGTTGGGAACAGCTGCCCTGAAGCAACGCTCCCGACCCACTTAGCTGTCATATATATGGCCCGCGACTTACTTACAAGACATAAGCTCAGGCAGAAAACAGCTTCTAGCAGTGACAGAGAAATGGTACTTAAAATCTGAGACGCCACAGGAGGGCATCAAGAAATATTGAAAATAAACATACCATTCGCCTTTTCCTACCAGTAAAACGGGTAATTCACTGCACTTCTCTTACCAGGTAGTATTCGTCCCAGCAGGGCCTCCAGCAACCAAAACGACTTCTCTTCATCTTTGGTGACGATGATCAGGTATCCGGTTATGAAATTCATGCCCTGTAAATAGAACCCAACTGGCTTCAAATCAGGGCAGAACCAAAGGCGAACGTCAGAGCTACTGGAATTGGGCAGATTCATCCGACTGGAAAGGTGTTAATGAAGCATCTAAACACAGCGGATGAAAAGGTGGACTTTTAAACGTGGTGAACTGGGGGCAAATAAGCCGCTTTAATGAGATCTAGCTTCAGAGCAAAGGTTGTCAACACAATTATTTCGGAATGACGCAGATGCCAACGGTAATTTATTCGAGTTTAGACTAGATTTTAGACGGAGGACAAGGAACGCGCCGCAAACAGCTGTGACCCACTGCGCACCGAGAGAGACGGCCGTGATGATCCCCCAGGACGTCCAACTGAGCCCAGCGGTAAGGAGACACATCAGATGAAGTGTGAATTACAGTGAGCACCAACCTGGAAAGAGTCATCGCCGAGGTGCTGTTGAAATGAAGGGGACTGTGGAGGAGAAGCAAATGGGGCCACTCTCTGCTCTAAATGTGTTGGAAAGTTCTAGGACATTGCCAAGTCGTGTTCTCTGCAAGCGTTGACATGAACCAGCAGGACAAAGGGAGGCTCTTCCAGCAGCTAATGTGTGAAAGGCATCCATCAGGTTATTTCTGAAAGGTTTTCCCACGGAGGGAGAATTCCTAAATCCCCCCATGTGTTGGTGCTGGATTGACCATCAATGGGTTTCGGGATTTCCAATACCCGAATCAAGATTTAAACACCCAGTCTGTGTTGCGCTCGGTGAAGGCTTTCTCATTTTAAACTGGGAGAAAAAAAAAAAACTTCAATGAAACTTCTCCAGGCGTCAAAAGAGCACCACACTGTCTGGATAATAACAATTAGAGGTTTCTGACACTAGAAGATGATTGGGGCTGAAGCTTAGTTTCAGGCTCGGTAATTATTTCAGAGTCAAGCAGAGGTCTCTGGCCAGAGTTTATCCTCCATTGCTCTGAACATGCTAATGAAATCAGTAAGTAAAACTGATCTTCGGGGGGGAAAAAAAAAGACATTTAAGTGTCAGATTGATTCCTTACAGCCCTTTCAAAGGGTTTATCCACTGAAAAGAATGCATTAACACGACTACGAGACATTGCATAAATCTTGCAAATCACACAAACAGCCGTTCTGAAACGTCAACAATTAAAAACAAATTCCGAGGTGTGCTGAATTCACTCATCCGAACACGTCATACTCCTCCTCCAGAGCCTTAAATCAGCCCTTCCTGCCTCCGGCACCAGCGGTCACGGGGAACCGCAGGGCTCGCTTCCTTGTAAGGACAGCACAAAGTGCAGAGGAGAGGATCATCCCGTTCCTCCAGCCCGCCGTCCTGCGCTCATTGCGCTGGTGCTCCTTGTCCCCGTGCTGACAGCTCGTTCAGCAGCAGTTCCGCAGGGTGCAAGGCACCCAGGCTCTCGTTTGTGAAGCGTTGCCGTGTTGTGTGCTGACGAGTGCGTTTTACATCACATTGCTCACAGAGTGCAGCCCTGCTCTGCTGACTGAGAAGGGAGAGTGAGCAGTGGGAATGCTGTCCAACAGTGGACTTTAATCCTCTGAAAACTGATCTGCCCGATTCACTGACAATAGAAGTCAACTGGACCAAAGGTCTGATATCCTCCATCTGCTGAGCACAGCACAAAGGGCCCCTGCAGACCCCGGCGTTTTAGGCAATGGCACAGAAAGGTAAAAATGCACATCGACATCATCCTGAAATCAAGCACTTCAAAAGATGAATGCATGCAAAAGTATTTCCCTTTGTTTTGTTTTAGCATCTTCCTTACTGATTTTGAACATAACCATTCTACTTTGTCCTTCATGGAAGGACGCTCCCAGCAAGGACTGCTAGGTTTTCAGTGGGTCTAAAACGAATAAAATATTTTACACAACACTGAGAGATTAAAAACAAAAAGGGTGAAATAATGTGATGTAAAAATTATGAAACCGTTATGGAAAGGCTTTGTTATAAAACCTCCTTTTTAGGTCAGCAGCTCCAGTTTCTCAGCTGCCTGTCCCCAAAACCACAAGGAAATTCATCCTCTTTACAAGACTGGAGTCTTGTTTGAAGAAAAACACAGCCTTCTAGCCACAGGTGTTGTACTGGCATTCAGATCACAGGAAGGGACACTTTGGAAGGAAAGCACAGGAGGTTAATCACCCTCTGTGCTTCAAAAATTTTGCAAATGCAAAAGTTATATGCAATTCCCCGGACAAATTTAATGGCTATTAGCATTGGCACAGGACACGTCACATTTCCTGCTGAGGTTAACTTTTAAAGCATCTCAAATCGGTTACAGCGTGTGCTCTGCTGGAGGGTTTGGAGTGAGTAGTGAACTGGCCATAGAAGATCTGACATCTTCCACTCAGAGGAAGAGGCTCCAAGAGCATACAAATAAAAGCCTGAAATATAGGAGTCCGTTTATATGGAGCAAAATCCAATTAAACAGACAGGGCTCAGCACACTAAAAGGTGAAAAAGTGAAGTCTGAAGTTCCTGCTTCTATGAATGAGCAGATAATCTGTAGTTGTTTATTTTAAGAGTCAGATTACGGCCTTCTAAACTCGATGGATAAAACAGCGATAGACAAGAACCACCGGCAGTGATACATCAACATTGTTCCCAAGTTCTGCTTTCCACTGAGCTGGGACCTAATTTTATATTTCACAGCAAAAGGTGTTTTATGTAGGTGCATCAGCTTAACTCAAACGCAGATGAAAACATGCAAGAATGCACTGGACTGACACAGGTGCTCGAATAACGAAGATATTTTGTCAAACACTTTTTTTAACCTCAAGGCCTGAAGCCCAAGTTTTTTTCCAAGTTACTTATTAACAAACGAGTTTCCAGAGTGAAGGCCCCGACAATAAAAAAAACTGTTTACAAAAAGATTAACTCTTCATGTTTTTTAGGAAGACTGCACTGCTTTTCTTTAACCAACAAGGGAGGGGACAGTTAAAAAGACTCCTTAACAATGCAAGAGGTTTTCAGTGCAGAACTCCAGGATGCCGAGAACCGATTGTAGAGCACAGGGAGGTTATCACATACAGTACCTGACAGTACCCCACATTCTTGTTGTGATGGCCATAAGCTACCAGCACATTAAACAGTGCATGCTGTAAGCAGGGCTCAGCAGTTTTGCGGAACTGGATGTTGTCAGGGAAAGTCCTGTTCAGATCTGTAAGAGAGCAAAACAACGCCGTTAAAATATATCAGCATTCGACCGCCGAGACTGACTGCTGGTGTTCTTGCACCTATCCAAACAGCAATTAAATCAGAAGAAAAAATATTTTCTAGATTTTTTTGCCCAGAGCAGAATCAAACTCGGGTCCCAGCAGCTGTGAGGCTGCAGTGCTAACTGGCCACCTCTCAGCCTCACGGGCTGCTGTACGTGGTTATTCGCTCGACCGAACAAGAGGCAATACCTCAGAATTAATCTATCTGTTCAAAGTCAAGGAAGACCAGGCAGAGTCAGCACTCTGCACTATAGTGGAAAAAGCTGCACAACTGGAGAATCACTAGCAAGTGTGGGAAGGAGTCATGGTATTTACTAGGCATGCATCTTTGAAGAAACATGAAGTTCACTCCAGAAACCACGCATGGATCATGGATTACTTAGGAATGGAGTATTTAATAAGTTCCAAATATATAATAGCAATTTTCCTTAACGGGACAAAGTCGGTCTTGAAAATGTTGAGGGGTTCAAACCTGAAAAAAATTACCCATATATTGCCTAAACTGTATTTATTATTCCATAAATGTCCTAAAAGAAAAAAAAAAGAACTGAAAGAGTCTTAGAAAGATGTGAAAAAAGTTACACTGTTCTTCATGAATCTGGAAATCTTTTTTTAATGTGCCTGTATTTTTGTCACAAAATGGAACATGGAAATCTGACTTCAGCATTGCCAAGTCCATCCTGAAGGCAAAAGTCCTTTTCAGAAGTGTAAGCATAACCTGGTTTACATTCTTTAAAGGCAGTTTAGCCACAACACACTCAGTTCCTATCCAATGAGGGCACGCTTCTTCATCCAGCAAAACCAAATCACTGATACAGCACTTATGCTTCATGAAGCAAAAGGAAAACAAAGTGACCAATACATACAGTACATGACACATAGAAAAATCCAACCAAATTCATATCCTGAATCCCTGGACTTTTAGCAACACCAGTACTGCACTGAAAAATCAAAATAACTGCAACAAATTCACAAAGTGATTAACGGAATAATATCAATCTTTTTTGAAGCAGTTATGCTGACATTTCATTGCATGGATAGATACACGCTGCTTAATCCTGCTCATCAACAGGGGATTTAATGCGAGTGTCTCAGGCTGGTCGCAGGTGTGGCCGCTGATGAAAGCCACCAACCCATGAATCAAGCTCTGCACTTTACAAGCGCAGTTTTGTAGGATTCTGTCCCATTCCTCTCATAGACCCTTGACCAGCACATGTCCGTCTCCCACATCCAGGGTTGGCTTTGTGCCAGCTCATCCCATCAATGCTCGGTGGGGTTCAAATATAGGGAGATGAGCATCTCTAGATCAAGCCATCACATTGCTTTCTCCCTCGTTACACAAGCAGCGTGGGGATGCTGGAATACTGTCAGCCTGCAGGAAGGACAGCGACGCCCATCACTCCCGGCGATCAAGATCAAGATCTCAGTTAGACACTCCTGCCCAGACCTCCCAATCGGCTGCTCTGTTAGAAACAATTATCATCTCATTCTGCATGTCAGCGCTGCTCACACTGACACCCATCTGTGTGGCCTACACAAGCCTGACTCAGCACTCAAGAGCACCTGGCTGCACTTCTATCCAGAGTTCTGATACTCCCGTATCTCCAGACTGTCTGATGGCTGTGATCACCCCAGATGACTAGCAATAGTGTGCAGGCTGAATCCAGCCTCTCCAGCACACAGGTGACACTAAACTATTCCCTTGATAAGCTGGACATACTTGTTACTGTCTGGGTTTATCTTTCTCGATTTTTACCAGGCTTAACCTGCAAACATAATTACAAATAAGGAGGGGCCACTCCGCACACCTAGTGTGTCTGAAGCATAGTTCAACAGGTTTAATCGTGTTATAGGCTGCACCCATTTATCTCAATTAGCTGACTTTGCTGCATGAGCACTAAATTATTTCATTAGTCATTTATAATCAATTAATCAAAATGACACCAAACAACATGTAAATCAACTGCACACTTCATTTTTCTAAAAACACACTTGCTTACAGTATGTAAACAGACCGATATGTTTCTATTGACCCTCAGTATGTAATATTCTCTAGATGGCCTAGCCTAAATTACATGGTGAGAAAAAGACTAGATTCTAAGAGCGTAGTTTTTCCACCAACAAAATGTTTTATAGAACGTCACTGCGTGCCTCATACCTCTAGTTTCAGTGGGACATACAATGGCAGAGAGAAGCCTGTCCAAGTCTTTCCTGGGGTTACTGCCCTGAGCACACTGACGATTGTAGGGTAAACAGAAACCAGCCCTGAGTGAGGTCTGAGCTCCCCTTCTGCACAGACTCCAGGAAGCTTACCCACGGCCACACTTGTTCAGGTCAATCAGGCTGGGTCATGTGACTGAGCAAGGGTGTGTCTGTGTGTGAGTGTGTGTACTCATGTGCCGAGTGTGTGCTGTTTGCCTTTGACTTCAGCGACCACATGAAAAAGCTTGCCCTCTGTCAACCATAGGGCTTAGTTAACCTACTTTTTACACAGATCAAGGATTTAACCTTAAGAAGCTGATAAGCACTTCTTTAACCCATTTGCCGCCTGGAGCTGCACAGCAAATAAAATCAGATTTAAAGCTGAAATGTCACGCTCATTTCCCACAATGCAGCAGCAGGTGACAGAGCAAGGGACAGAATTGCAGTAAACGGTAACCCTCCAAATACCATTCTTATAAAAACATCAGCCTCCATCACTTTTTCCGTAATCATAATTCTTAAATAGAAGGCTAGCCTAATATTGATTGTGGGGGTTGCAATACAGGGAAAAAAATGACAATTCTCCCTGACACATTCAGTTTAAAGCGTTCATGTCTTCAGTCACAAAAACCTCTAGGGCAGAGGGCAGCTAATGGAGAAGGTTTCTGTGAAAGAGCTACGTGATGAGATCCTGAAGCCCTCTGTCGCACGTCAATCAGAAAGACCCCCAGCTGTCACTAACAGGCTGTCTTATAATGCTGCTCTGCTCTACTTTCAACAGGCTCTGACCCTGTGGGTTAGTCTGAACCTCTGCCTCTCTGCCAGGCTGCACTGTAGTCGCATCCACACCCTTTTTATGTTAATGGTGGAGCACAGCTGCCAACTCATGCAAATACAGTTTTGGAAATTCCCCTTTTTTTCCCTACAGTCAGGTTTTACAGTGTAAAATGGTAATTGGCATTTTAATCATACACAATGACTTTACACACACCTTTCCCGGCAACAGTTTCTGAGCTGGCTTTCAATCCATACCAAAATGAAAAACAGCTCATATTACAGTAGCAAAGATAGTTTCTTTGATTTTGATAAAATTGTCCTGTCCACACCGGCTCAATGCAGAATTACTCTGCCACGGTTCCCAATGTCAGGCGAAAGACCGGACCTTTAAAGAAGGCGTGCTAAATCAGATGAATCAGCCACATTTCCATTACTTCCTCAGTGCAGCCGAACCCGGCGCTATCGGAGCGCGTCGGACGAGACTCCTCCTCTTGCGAGATTTGCAAGGCAGAGCTCCTACCTGTCTTGATGGTGTCCACCAGCTTGGCGTCGTGCTCGGCCTCCAGCAGCTTGCGGTAGTAGCCCGGGTTCTTCTCCATCTGCTCCTGAGCCCCGCTGGCCGTCATCCAGATGAGCGAGCGGTGCTCGTTTGGAATGCCTTTCCGGACGTACCTCTTCACTGGCAACACACACACACATCGCTCCTGGTTACACACCATGGCCGTGACACTGGGCCAGGTCCTGCTTGGGCACCAGTTTTCATCCTACAGTACCTACTCACTGCTAGGCCTGAGCTTCTCACAAAGCCACAGCTTCTCAGGTCAGGTAGAAGAGGGCAGAGTCAGTGGGTTTCGCATGACGACAGAAGCATGGTTAAACGCATTAAAAAGGACATTTTGCATAGTTCTATCTTCCCAAATAACAAGCAGTTTAGCGTAAAGGCAGAAAAGTGGAAAAAGTATACATCACATACAGTATATGTAATATCCATGAAGCTGCATCAGTTTTAAAAACACTGTACCTCATTTAATCGATGTAATTTCAAGAGCGTGAAATGTTACATATGGTCGCTGCAGAGACCCATCTGTTTCATTATTAATTCAAGGAAATGACAAACACACTGAAACGTCAGGATATTACCAGCACAAAAATAACACAGGACAGTGCACAGCACATAGAGACTACAACTGAACGAAATTGAAAAGAAGCTATCAGACTCCTGTAGCAAAGAAATAGAAAAACTGTTGAAATTGACTTTTACTTGGAAATTCTAGTAAAATTAAAGTACTGCCTTCTTATTTCATGTATTACCCTGTAGAGATGAAGGCCAACTTCAAAGAATCTAATCAGATTATGTGTTTGTTTTCATCTTCTAAGAAGCAATATGCTTCCATGGCCCCATAAATAGGAAAGACAATTAAAACCTTGCAATTCATTCCTGGATTAGTTATTCCCAATGGTAGCTGTTCAGAAGACATTATCCCCATGAGCTTTAGGATAAACTTTCACATTCACCTCTAAACAGAATATGTCCCTATGATGAGCCCTAAACAAAACTCTACGTAACATAACAAGACCACATTATGCCTCATAAAAGTCACCAGCATGAAAAACTCAAAACGCTGAATATCTATTTTTCACACCATATTGCTATTACAATATCTCACACAACAGACCACTGCTTTCTTCTTAAAAACACAAAGTTATTCACAAGAACTAAAAGGTGCGCCAGTGTTCAAATAAGAGGGGTGAAGAAAGTAAAAACGCACTGTCTGCCTGAAGAGAAGCTTTATACTCTGAACTCGGCCTCCAACGAAATAGACTCATGAGATTTTCTGCTTTTTAAGAAACAAAAGAAAAGCTTCAAATGAAAGGAGCCCATTCTAAACTGATCCAAGGATCTCATCCATCCTTTTCTGGTTAAGTATTAGGTTCTGTCTTAGACCCTCCCCATCCAATCTAAGAGGTAGAGAGGGGCTGGCTCTTACAAAAAGACACAACATGAAAATAAACACCAGGAACGAGAAAGCTGCATGCGCGATGTCACCATGGAGCGCTGCCATCGTGCATCTTGTAGCCAGTCTTTAAAAGGCACAACAGCGCCTGCACTTTCTGCGGTGCTTAAAGCAATGCAGTGTGGGGAAGCAGCTCCTCATGAACTTTTACCACAGCAGCATAGAAAGTGTCCTCGCTAGTGGCATCACTGTGAGGTACAGCAGTACTACCCTGCATGACAGAGACGCACTACAAGGGCTTGTGGCAACAGCACAGAGGAGTACAGCATGTGACTGACCGTCAATCAGTGAGATTCACACCATCCGCCATCACAGTAAAGCCCAATCCATCATTCAGGATCCTGAACCCTCCTGGCCACAGACGGTTTGTTCTCCCCCCTGTGCTCTGGCCAGCAGTACCACACTGTTCAAACACAGACCACTAGACTGAAGAACAGCTTCTACCCCACTGCACTGCGAATCCTTAACAGCTCACTGCAACGTCTCTGACTCTATACACATCTGCACTACACACTTTTTGCATGGTCTACAACGTTTTTGTTTCTTTCACTACTATATATTTCTTGTTCTGGTTGTATAGTTTATTATACTGTGATGTACTGTCTACATCGTATGGTGACGTCTGCTGTACTGTGCGAGTCCCAAGACATCAGCACGAATAAGAATTCCAGTGTACAGTACCTGTACGTATGGCAAACAACTCCCCATTCTCCTACTACTGCTGGAAAGAGACAAACAGAGAAGAATAAGTGTTCACTGCTGATCAAGTATGATTCTGGAGTATCTTGATCACGGTCTGATCTGAAGTCTCTGAAAGTTCAACAGAACAGAGGACATTTTATGGGTTTATACACTACGTATACATTTCAGGATACAGAAGACAAATACAGACAAATACAGTAGCTTGTTTCCATAGCTGTTCTTTCCATTTTTAAAAAAAAATTGCAATGTAAATTAACCTATAAATACACTCAAATGTCTATTAATTCACTGGAGGCATTCTGTGCTTCAGCCAGCCAAAATAAAATTATATGGCCACAAACTACACTGCAATCACTTGTTTAGAACAAATATTAATCAGCAAACTGGTTCAGATTTGTCAGGGTAATCGGGAATAGTCTGAAATTGGACTTGTAAGAGATAAAGCTACTTAATAAAAGTTTTAAGCATTGCAAATCAAGGGATTTGAAAAGACAACAGCCTTTATATGATACAGACTAATATTTACTACCATGCAAGTGCAGCACGATGAGAGATTTACAACAGTTTTAGTTGGTCCAGTGTTGTGCAACTTTTCATTTAAAAAAGAAAGCTCCAGCGTTATTCATTTAGAAAATGTTTTAAAATGTTTCTAAGTAATATGCCCAAGTACTCTAATTGCTGAAGATATAGCATGTAAACCTAAAATTCATACTGTGCAGCCAGAAAAAAAAACAACAACAAAGATCTTACTTAACTTTACAGTGCACTGTTAGAGTGGAGGCACATAGTATATTCAGATCAAAAACTGATTTTATTAAATGTAACTATTGGGCGTATAGATTTGCTAGCCTGGCTGCCTTACAAAGCTGGGGCCCTGGGATCAGTTCCTGGTCTGCATGGAGTCAGCATGTCATCTCTGGGTTCATGTGGGTTTCCTCCAGGTGCTCCAGTTTCCTCCCACAGTCCAAACACATACTGGTAGGTTAACTGGCTTCTGGGAAAATCGGCTCTGGTGTGGTGTGTATGTGCCCTGTTATGGACTGGTGTCCTATCCAGGGTGTTCCCTGCCTTGCACTCGCTGCTTGCTGCTTGCTGCTTGCTGGGATAGCTCTCGCTTCCCTGGGACTTTGTATTGGATAAAGCAGTTAGAAAACAGAAGGATGGAAGTAATACTCCCATGCTGTAGGAATGCAGAAAACATTTTTCTAGAAAAATATTTTTGTTGATGTACAACAATACTTACAGTACAGCCAGCAGGACACAGAAACCCTAACATGTCTGCACCTATGTTAAATGTAGCCATGCTGAGTATTCTGAAGTTATTTACCATAGTTGTCAAATTATGTGGTAAAATATTGGTTGTCAAAATGATCAGTTTTATACACGCGAGATGCAGAGCAAGTTGCATTCACAGAATTATTCAACCACAAACAATCACTCAATGAAAAACACATTTTATGTGCTGTGAAACTCAAAACCTGGGTTCTTTCTTCAGTCACACAAAAGAACCTTTGCAGAGTGTTTACCCTGACTGTGGTTTAATTGTTTAATGGCTCACAATTCACAGCCGTTTCTCTGCGAGATTAACTTTGGGCAGTGTCCACTTAGACCCTTCACTGCAATGTCTTCTGACATGACTTTGCAGGCCCAACAGGAATCAGAAACCCAGATGCAGAGCTCAATGAATATCTACTGGCAGGACCTTCTAGTTTCAACAGGCCATAAAAGACTAGAAAAGAAAATTTTCTGAATAGGTTCTAGCAAAAGGAGAACCGAATTACAAGACATATTAAAGATGTGTGATTGAAGAAATCTGCCTGATGCTCAGTCAGCTTTGTATCTGCATTATACTCCGCAGACAACAGCATTTACACTGACAAGCCCAAAACACCCTTATATGCAATTATAGGTGCTTGTTGAAAACCATAATGTGTAGCTCTAACCCCTTACAATGCAATGTTCAGGTATAGTCTGTAGAACACTGGAAAGCAGGCTTCTAGAATTCACAAGAACACACAATAAACAGAGAACAACTT